AAAAAAGTTATTAAAATATTAACCGGATTTGATACGGTTTAACCTAATCCATGAATAAACTACACATATGACTCTACGTAAATGGGCCTCCAAAGCACGTGATGGAGTTAAATGAACTTCTTGTTTTCCCTTTATAAACCCATTTAAAAAGCTATTTAAGGAAAATTAACAATAAATAAATTGTTTTTTACCCAATAACGTCAATAAGAGTAATAGTAATTATTATTTTTTAAACAAAGGAATAGTAATTCTTATTTCTTAACTTTTTCTACATATGTAACCATTCAATATGAATAATTTTTTTTTTTTTGCACTTAATATGAATAATATTGCTTTATTGTAGATTTATGTAATTGAAACACAAATATACATGCATTAAAAATGAAATTTTCATCAATTGAAACATGCCAACTAGTCTTATTCAAAAATTTTCGTCAACAGCGCTTAAAAAGATGAATACGAAGATCAAACTTCCTAAATTAAATTTTAGCCTTGAAATTTTCATTAATACCATCTTATCCCAATTCCTCATACCTAACTAAGTTATATTTTTAATTCTTTTACGAATGAACCTAATTAAGTCTTAATTCATGTAAGAAAAAGTTAAAATTATAGTTGTAAATCCATCGACTGCTATATTATGATGATAAATATTTCAACAATAATAGAAATGATTCCATCAAAATCCAAAAAGAATTCCTTATCTTGCAATGGGATACATGATAATGAACATATTCTGCGGGACCAAATATTTTTAGTGATAAAGAATTTTTTAGTTTTGTTTAATAATTTTTTATTGGTTTAAGTAATTTTTTTTATGTTGAATTTAATGAATTCATGAAAAATTATGATGATAAATCTTTGAATTATAAAAAATTTAAAAATAAACAAATTCTATTGTCACTTTAATCAACATCAGTTGATAATAAATGTTTTCATATATTATAAAGAAATTTTAATTTTCAATATAAAAAATAAAAGTGAATTAACTTATTGATCACTTAATTATGATAATACTTTTAAAATGATTACAAACTTTTAAAATTTTAAATTTAATCACTAAAATTTAAATATATTTTTTTGTTATCTAACTGTTACTTTCTATGGTGAGCTGATGTTATAAAATCACTTCAATTGTCAGTTACCACGCAATATTATTATGTTAGTAAATTTTTTTTAAAATTATAATATTATATTAATAATATAATATGATATATCAAATAAAATAATAATATCACATAATATCGGATAATTAATATATTAATATCGTATCAATATATTTAATATTAATACTTGGATGATAAAAAATTATTTAAAATTTTGTACCTAAATTTAAAATTTTAATAATTAAATAATTATTTTGAAATATAATTATAATTAAAAAACCAATAATATATTTTAACTTAAAAATAAAATAAAAACATAGAAATGAAAGCGAGTGCGCAAGCGACCTGTAAGACCTGCGAGAACAGCCCGACCAAGCACATGCTCCCTTGGACCTTGGATCCCCTGCTGCAATATTTCTTTCAACTCTTAACCAATCACATGCTGGACACCTGACGTGACCGTCGGCTCAAGACAACAAATGGAAATGGGGACAGAGTAGTACGCCAAACAAACCGTGCACATTTCACGTGTCTGATAAGGAGGATGAAACGTCCACGTTTTACCACGTCATACGGCTAGCTGTCTCCAGCTACGCCAGAGATCTTTGCCACGTTGAAATGGTCATCTATCTCCAATCGTCCAATCGTCCAATCGTCATCGAGCTTCGCTTTCGATAGTCTATTTAATTTCACGGTCAACTTTTTTTATTTTTTTTTCTCTTGGTGATTAATTTAAAAATAAGAAAGAAATTTTCTACTTTTTTTTTTAAATTAAAAAAGAAGTGTGAAGAAAACCTGAAAATAACGTTTTTCTTCTCAGAAAAAAAGAAAGAAAGGTGGGGTTGATTGAGTGGTGATGGAGGAAACAGCTAACCCCATGTTAGGATTCTTTAATTTTCATGCACAATCACGAGCCATTCGCTTCTGCTAGGTGGGTGAGTGTTTGCACATGTCTTTTCTCTATTAAACTAATTATTTTTTTATTTAATGATGATTTCCCAATTGATTATTATGAAACACAAAAATATGTTCCATTTCTTCTCAGTTAGTAGTTTTTTTTTTTAAATGGCGTTTCAAATACTGTTCTACTACTTGTTTATTACTCCCATTAACAGATTAGTAAATTATTTAAATGTTATTTGGACTTTGAATTTGCACTCTTATTGCGTTCCTTTTGTCAATGCAATATTTTCACCATGAAGTTCCATTTCGATCGTGATTGAATCGTTTATTTATTTCTATTGTCTTGACTTTTGATTAATTAGGTATTAAGTTTTAAATTTGATTTTATCTATTAGATTTGTAATTTGACATTTATTACAGCAAATATTTATTTTTTATAAGTAATAAAATAGATTATTAATTTAATTCGAAACCATGAAAATATATAAACTTACCACGAAAGATAGTGGGAACTCTGCTGCAATCTGATAGATGTTTCCTAGTTGTTTTTCTAGCATACACCAAGCCTTGCCCTTGGAAACCATGGAAGAAAATACCAGAAAATGGGATAGGGACCCCACCGGCCACCGCTGGCAATGTCGATTGATAGAGTTTTATATGACGAGTTCCTCACCTCTACGACCAATTTGTCTCACCCACTATTTTAAGAGTCAACTGGTTGGTGAGGCAATCACTTTTCATGATTTTTTTTAGTTTTATAAAATTTCCTTCGTCATATTTTTAATTATTATTTTTTATTATAATATGGATCTCATAAATTATTTTGGTCTAATCATTTTTTTAAATTTTTTATATTGATTTAGTATATTTAAAAATTCTATTCTCTTTATATTGTTTGAGTAAATTTCGTGATTGATCATTGAATTTATCCAAAATATTATTTAGATCATTAAACTTTAATTTATCCTTATTAGATCATTAAAATTTATTAATTGGATTAAATTTATTCACCTTCGCATATTGAAATAAAAAAAAATAATAATGTGAATATCAAATAAGTGATAACATCAAAATCATAGTCAGAATTTGTATTGACCATGATTATTTTGAGATATCAGAGTAAAAACTATAACATTTGATGGTTTATGTGGCTAATATATATATTTTCATCAATTTTTTTTATGAAATGTGTTAAAGTGAATAAATTTAATATAGATTACAAAGTTTAGTAAATTTATTGAAATAAATTAAAATTTAGTAACTTTAATGAGATTTTAGTTAAAGTTCAATAACCAATACTGAAATTTACTCTAATTCTCACAAAAATCGAATTTTAATCCATAAGAAAAAAGAAATTATTTTTTTTACCATCCGAACAACAATTTTGACTTTTCTAATGTACTAACTTGTAATAAAACAGAAAATAAGTTTTTCCAATTAATTTGTTTTTGAACAGGAGGAATGTTTATTGATTATTGATTTCTTCATTTGTTTTTGAATAAATTTATTTCTTAATTGTTGACCTAAATATAAAACCATTAAAATATGAAAAATCAACAAGTTAATCAATTACCAGCTTAAAAAAATGCCATCTATCTTAGAGTTGACTCAATCAATTACCAACTTTAAAAAATGCCCATTAATTTCATGCTTATCAACTTGGCAAAGTAAGAAAGCTACGCCTCTACAATTCCTTTGGTTCAAAACCAAAATAATGAAAAGGAAATAAAAGATTACTAAATTTTTAATAGTTTTCTTTTTGGAATTAATGATTATGCAAACAAATTAGGTAAAAGTTAATCTATTAATAAAATATTGAAATTTTAATTTGAATGATCGTAAATTAAATACGGCATGCGTCCAAGCATCCTAATTAAGCCCAGCAAAATTATGGTGGCAAAAAGCTTAGAAAATCATAATCCAAAAAAAAGAAAATCCAGGTGGATATCTCTGTAATTCCCATAATTAGAAAAATATATTATATAAACCATAATATCACTTGATCAACAAGGAATGGCACATTAGCATATTCTTACTCATGAGAATATCATTTTTTTTTTCCTAATTTTATAATAATTTCTTTTCATCAGTGAAACAATTATTGAAGATTGGACCCACCTATATGACCAGTGGAAAAAATAAAATATATACAACCAATCCATCAAGACGAAGATGCCAAGAAACATGGACATTTTATGGGGGAAAAAAAAAACCCAAGCCTGAGTTGACTCGGAACCACACCGAGTCATTAAACGAAACAAAGGACAGGTTCACGTGGTAAGACTAGATTATACGATACGGCTATTGAATTAAATTGTCCCTTTTTTTATCAGGACCGTTGAAAAATGGCAATCAAAACGCGCTAATGATTGTGATAAATTCCAAGCAAAACTTGTTGGTTGCCCAAATCTACTGTTTAATTATGCACACAGGGACTTTTATAGCCGAAACAATTGACTTTTAGGAAATTTATATTACCAAATTTGGCAGGGAATTACTTTTTATTTCGAAACAATATTTATTTATACCTTATTAAAATTAGTTAAATCATTTTCAATAAGATACGAAAAGAAAAAAATTAATGTCGTATAAGATATTAAAAGTGATAGTTGTGTATACAATATAAATAATATAAATAAGCATTTAAACTCTACTTAAAAATAAAAATAAATCCCCGAATTTTATTACATAAAATTAAAATTAAAATTATTATTTTATTGTAAAATTATAACTTTAACATAAGCGTGCCTTATCATTAAAAAAATTACAGCTGAGATAAACTAGATCTGTTACCTGGACCCATTCAACCGAGTCATAATGAAAAAATATTATATGTCCGAGTCATAACTCGTCAAACAATCATTAACCGCCGTAATTAAATCAAAGAGGAAAACCAAAATCGAAACGGAAGTTACTGTTGATAAGCCTCCTCTATTCTTATCTTTTGTACTGGAAAAGTAAAATTTAAAACACGGCTATATCGCAAAGTTTTTTATTTTTGAAATAAAAATATTTAGTTTCATATAAATTCTTTTTTTTTTTTTTACTCCTTTTGTGGTTCCCGTCTCCATTAGCTGTGTGCCTTTCTCCTCTGCTTTTCGTTCTCGATCTCTCTCTTCCTATTTCTGACAAAACGAGCCGTTTTCTCGCATATTAATTCCCCCTTTCATTTAATCTTATATATTTTTTCTCTTTTTTTTTTTCAGCTGGTTTTTCCAGTTTGAATCACCGAGTTGTGAGGCGTTTTTTATTCTTATTTTTCTGTGTTTTTATGGTATATATTGTTTGAATTTTGTAAAGCGAGATAATTTTTCTTGTTCTATATATATTTTTTTGCGGTTTTTTCGGTGATCTGTGTCTTGAACCCGAGCTTTGAGGCTCGGGGAAACTGAGATCCGAAAAGCTAATGGCAGCCGAGAATTGCACTGATGGTGTCCCCGACCCGAATCCTTGTTATTTGCAGAAGTTCAGACTCTACGAGACTCGCTCGGTATTTTTTTTCTCACTCGTATATACACACGTTTTTGTACATGTATTCGTAGGCTTGTGTATATGTTTACGTGTGGACAGGTTTGGTTTAAGGATTTTGAGTTGTTAGTTTTGATTTGCATATATGTTTATTACGCTAAAGCTCTTCTCCAATTTTTTTTTTTTTGGTTTTTTTCCTCCTTTTTCTGGCTGTTTAAATTTCATTTTGTGGAGATTTCTTTTGTCCAGATTCTTTCTATTTTTTTTTTTTTTTAATTTGAGCGTATATGATGATTTTTAGCTTTAGCTTTGAAAGCTGCTTTGTGATTTGCTCTGTTTTTCCCCATGGGTAGCGTGATAATGGAATTATTTTTAAATGAAGTTTGAAATATTTACCAATGGATGCATAATTTCTTTTGCATATGAAATAATTCACGAAATCTTGATTTAGTTATTTCTGATATAGTATTTTGTGAGGTTGACTCAGATTGTTTTGGCTTTTGAATGCGTATGGAACTGGTTTTAATTCGGAATATAAAGTTTAATTCTAAAGTTTAAATTCTGTTTGTCAAAATTTCTGCTTGTTATTATCGGCAGTGGTTTGGTTGAATTTGCATTTCAGAATTCTTTCTATATCCACCAATAGAACTTTTTAGTATTCTAATTCAACTTAACAAGATGAAGTCTTCACCTAATAAATAGGCTCATGATTGTAGGTTTCTTTGTTTGGATTTTTGTGTGTGTACAGTACTCTTTAACTGCAATCGTCTCCTATGAAGTATTTGACTGTTTTTTATCTCATAAAGTCGGTTAATTACTCCTGAGATTTTGGGCAGTGATTGTTAATGTGCTTGGAAGCTACACAAACTTTCTGCTTGCATGATATAGAAAATTGTCCGTATGCTCAGAGCAAGTAGTACGTTATCAGATAACTTGTCATCTTTTTCCTCTTTTTCCATATGATGCTTATAGAAATAGTAGAGCTGCTTTTGTTTTTATATCTCTTTCCTTTGCCCCCCAAATTTCTTTGAGCTGATAATTATGTAGTTTTGGTCTTCATTAGACAATATTAATGCAACATTTGTGTATTCTTGGTGTGCAATAGAACTTTTATATGCTTGGAAGAGACAAGAACAGAACTCTTTGGAGGGTACTAAAGATTGATCGATTAGACCCATCTGAACTAACCATTCTTGAAGATTCTACAACATATTCAGAAATTGAATACTGTGATCTGTTAGGACGGATACATGAAGGAAACAGGTCCACAGGTGGACTTAAATTTGTTACAGCTTGTTATGGAATCATTGGTATGTAATATCTGTCAGGTTCTTCACCTTTCTTCTCAGTCATTTTTAGTATAAGCTAATGATTTTCTCCCTGCTAATTTAGGGTTTGTAAAATTTTTGGGACCTTATTACATGCTGCTGATCACAAAAAGAAGGAAGATTGGTGCAATTTGTGGCCATACTATCTATGCCATTACCAAGAGCGAGATGATTCGAATTCCCAATTCTCCTGTCCAATCCAATATGGCTTATTCTATGAATGAAAAAAGGTCTTTTGTCAATTCTGCATGTAAATGTAATATGTACTTGGTACTTATAAGCAGACATATGACATTAGCACTGAAAGTATTCATTGTCCATTTGTATTTAGACGAAATTGTGTTGTGTTGTGGTTTTTTATCTTTTCTATTAATTTATGTTCTCTTTGAGTTTTAGAGTTCTCTTTTTAAAGTAGAAGAGTTCCATGGTGTAGAGGTAATCTCTGTACTATATTTGTTGATACACCCTTCATGTTATATTGTTGACATGGGCTCGTGCAATTTGAACTTATCTAAAGCTCTTCTTCTGATTGAATACATTCCTCTTTTTTTAGTTTTTTGTTCTTTTATTTCATGTTGAACCAATTAAGTCAGCTTTCGCCTCTTTAATGTTGCATCTCTTAGTTAATATCATTTGTAGAGGCTATTGCCAGTTTATTTCCTGCATATGTACAGGGGCCAACTTCATTGCTGTGTGATGTTAGTTTAACATGTTGAATGAGACAAGGTATCATCAGGGTTTCTGGGGGAAAATTACTATCTTTCTCTTTTATTTCCTGGTTAAAATTTATAGTTGAAGCAGTTTTTTTAATTTCTATTTGTTTTTCTATTCATCAAATAGTAACTAGACATGCGTTAACGTGGCTTGCCGTTTCTTTCTTTCTTCTTTTTGCTTGTTGACGTAGATACAAGAAGCTTCTCTGCACAGTGGATCTTACCAAGGATTTCTTTTTCAGCTATTCATATAATGCCATGCATAGTCTTCAAAGAAATTTATGTAAGAATGAGACAGGACTAGTACACTATGAAACAATGTTTGTCTGGAATGAGTTCTTGACTCGAGGAATCCGGAATAATCTCAAGAATACTCTGTGGACAGTTGCATTGGTATATGGCTTTTTCAAGCAGGTATGATACATTTTAGGCTTCTTCCTATTCATTAACTTTTGTGATAGGTGAAAAGGGAGGTAAGGATTTGCAGGAAGATGGTTAAGTTGAAGTAGCTATATTATCTTCTCTCAGTTTCTATATCTGGTTTTTGCTTGAAACATGTTACTTTAGAAGAATGGTTTTAAAGTTTTCATCTAACATTTGTTGTTTTCGACTTTGATATCCAGGTCAAACTTTCTGTGTCTGGCAGGGATGTTAAGTTAACTCTCATTGCAAGACGTTCTCGACATTATGCTGGAACGAGGTTTAGATGTTTTACAAGCTACTGATTGAAATGTCTGCTGGACTAGTTAGAACCGCCCTTAACAATTTCATTTGGCCCATAATTCATTAGGAAAATTAGCTTTGTGCTAGTTTCCGTTGTCAAATGCTTTGTGATTTCACCTAGTTCTATGTTTTCTTTGCTTAATTTTGAGTTCTAATTTGTGATTGCATGCTTCTGTCATATTATAAACAAACTTTTTTTAACTTACTTTTGTTGCCGATCTTGATTCAAAAATGACTCACTTTAGTTATTTCTCTTCTATGGCTCAGATATTTAAAACGTGGTGTGAACGAGAAAGGTAGAGTAGCAAATGATGTTGAGACAGAACAAATTGTGTTTGAAGATGTTCCTGAAGGATGCCCCACACAAATAAGTTCTGTTGTCCAGAATAGAGGCTCTATCCCACTTTTCTGGTCCCAGGAAACTTCACGCTTGAATTTGAAACCTGACATCATATGTATGAATTCTTTATTGTTAAATAAACACACTGAGAGCCATAAATCTGTAGTTCTTGATGGTAACTACTGTAGATTTTCCTAATTTCACCTCTGTTTCCAGTATCAAAGAAGGATCCAAATTATGAGGCCACAAAACTACATTTTGAAAACCTTGTAAGGAGATATGGAAATCCAATAATCATATTGAATTTGATAAAGGTAGGCCTTGTGCTGATAATTTGTTAGTTTCCATAAACTTTGTGATGTTCTTCTATCTGCAATGGTTTCCTGATTCATTCTGCTTTCTATTCTGGTGATTGACAGAGGTGGGAGAAGAAACCTCGGGAAACTATTCTTCGTGCAGAGTTTGCTAATGCCATCAGATTTATCAATAAAAGTTTATCCAAGGAGAACCGCCTGAGGTTTCTTCATTGGGACCTAAACAGACACTCCAGAAAGTACTTCTTTGTCCCCTTCTTTGCTTGCTTATGCAAAATTCTTGCTTACTAATCTTTTAAAGGATGGTTGACTTAATGGGGCTTGATCATTTTCTGCAGAGCTGCAAATGTCTTGGCACTTCTAGCCAGAGTGGCTGATTATGCATTAAACTTAACAGGCATCTTTTACTGGCAAGTAACACCAAATTGTAGACCGGAGGGGTTGTTGAATTTATCTTGCTTAGTGTAAGTTTCATATATTGATTTGATCATATTTTCATGATGCTGTATTCTGTCTTTCTTCTTTGTTATAAGTTAAATATTTTTTTCAAATATAAATATGTAAAATTCCTATTCTCTTTTGCTACTATTGTTTGATTGAAGGGTATCTCAACTTGTAATTATGCTAGAATGCACATCGTATATGCATGTGTAACCTACAGTGCTATTTGTGCTCTCTTGCATTTGCTTTTTCATTGAAAAATATAACCTTTTAGGTTGATCATAAATGTAGTTTTTGTTGATTTGTTTTGCTGGTGCTTTTGCTAATTATTCATGTTAACTACTTTTTTCTACTTTGCTTGCAAATCTATTGCAGGCAAAATGATGAGTGCTCGGCTCGGATCCCTTTTGAAAAAATTGATGATGTTGAGAAGTTGGAAACGGATGTTGGTAGTGATAAACATAATTCTACTGAGAATGTAAAACCCCCCATGTTTCAAACTGGAGTCCTTAGAACCAACTGCATCGACTGTCTAGATCGCACTAATGTTGCTCAATATGCATATGGATTGATGGCTATTGGACGCCAGCTCCATGCTATGGGGTTCACAGAATCCCAAATTATTGATCAAAATGGTCCTTTGGCCGAAGATTTAATGGGAGTTTATGAAACAATGGGTGACACACTTGCCCTACAATATGGTGGCTCTGCAGCACACAACAAAGTAATCCTTCTTAGAGATTTAGGGAGCTTTCGTGTCATCCCAAAAGAAACTGATGAAAATACAAAACAATTTTCTTTTTCAAATTTAATAAATGTTCCATCCATGGCTATCAAATTAACTTTTATTGTTTTAAGATGGCAGAGTAAACTTTTAAACCTTGTGGTAATAACATGGAGTGGCTGGCCAAGTATCATGACAAGAGAGCTTACTAGTTTGGCTTCAGAGCCATAGATCATTCTCTGCTTTTGCTTGTACTGAAAACTTAAATTATTAGGTCCTGAGTACTTATTAATCTGCATCGATCATGTTAAACAGATATTTTGCCAAAGGAGGGGTCAATGGAAAGCAGCAACTCAGTCCCAGGAGTTCTTTAGAACTTTGCAACGTTACTATAGCAATGCATACATGGATGCAGAGAAGCAAAGTGCCATTAATTTGTAAGATAAAAACAAGCCTTATTCTTTATATGCCTTTTGTACCTTATGACAGGAAATGCTTTTAGTGTTGTGCAAATTGCAGTTCTTGATATATTATACCTAGGGTGTGTTTGGTAGCATGGAGGGTCTGGTGCGATGGGAAGTCCCATTGCACTACCTCATAATACCAAATGCTCTCTTAGTGCATAAGGATGGTGGTGGATAACACTCCTAGAATTTGTTATCATTCTTTGCAGGTTCTTGGGTCACTTTCAGCCACAACAGGGTAAACCAGCACTCTGGGAATTGGATTCAGACCAACACTATAGCATTGGAAGGCATGGTCCTAATCTTTTTAATGAGAATGCTAGGTATTTCGAGTGTCCGAATTGAAAATACCTGTTGTACCAAATTTCTAGTTCCAAGGAATTTTTTGAGACTATATATTGCGAAATAATCCTAGTTCTAGATATAATATGCAGATATTAAGCAATATTCTAATGTTTCTATATACTGTGTAAGTCTCATAACTTTTATGATTTTATCACAACGATTGTTTTCAAAACTACACAATTTTTGGATTTGAACCAATCAGGAAGAGAATGCTGCTCTTAAATAATAATAATATCAATATTCTTTCATCTGTTTGTTATGGGATAGGTCATAAATATTTTTGACCTGCTGTTTTGTGATCCCAGTTTAATATGGTAAATCTAACCTTTCTTGCAAAAACAGCTAATGAGGTCACTTTCAAATATCTGTAGGCCATCTTTTAAAAGGTCACTGTCTGATGGCAACATTCTTTGTGGAACTGACTCTCCCATGGCTGCTTCAAATGTTGGACACTGTCAGCCTTTGTCTGAAAATAGAGAAGGAGCTACCCATGGTCTTTCAGAGTCCACTCCAGAGATGCCAACTTGTGAAATTCCTTATTCCAGGTGTGTACCAACTTTTTTGTTTTCCAAGTTTATTATCTTAATGGTTGATATAATAAAAGAGTAGCTATTGGTTTAAAATTTCTGTTGAGATTGTAGTTCTTGCTAGAAGTTTATAGCAAGGTTTCATCCTAAAGGTGCCGACAACTTAAATTTTGAAATCTTTCTGCGGTTGTACCAAGGAACTATGATAATAAATCACCTTCATTAAAATAATTTTAAACTGATTCAGAGATTTCAACTGCTGTCTCACCAAATTTTTGCTGGTTTTCTAGGTTTACTCCAAGAATGTCTTGCAGGCAGCTTTTCGGAGATATGGAGAAGGACCATTTTCTTGAAAGTAATCGTATATGTTATGATGAAAACGGGGATGAATGTAATTGCACCAATTTTGATATGGACTGGCTTTCTTCATCAGGAAATTCATGTGACGATGATATATATGACAGGTAGTTAAAGTCACCCTCTGTAATCGTTACTTTAAAAAAGAAGATAACTTTCCAGTTAATGTTTTTCTCTATAATCAATGATCATTGTGCCAACTACTAATTATTTCCATTCCCAGCCATTACCATCACCAACAAAAGTTAATTTGAGCACAGCCTTCCAACTACTTACTTTTCAGTTTGTTATTAAATAGAGGAAGAGAGAGAGAAAGGAAGGCAAAAAGAGTCTCATGGTTTTGTCATTATACTATTGACCAAGACCCACCAGGAGTGATAACTTATACATTCACTTGTAGGTCCTTATTTTACATCTACATTTTAGAACAATTGCATTAACTTTTAAATATATGGCGAATTTTATTTACACTCCATTTATTACTATATACACCTTACTTCTAAATACATCCCAAATTCAAAACTTAATTTCCTATTTCTACTAAATACAGTCTACCCCTCACTTTTTATTTTTCATTCCTACCCTTTCTCTCTTCTTCTCTGTTCACTTTTTGAAATCGAGCTTTTCAAAAATGAATATTCGAGAAGCTTTGAAGTTTCTCGAAAATGGGCATCCGAGAAGCTTTGAGGATTCTTGAAAATCCATTTCTGAAAAGCTTAAAGGCTTATTGGATATTCATTTATGAGAAAACTCAAAAGTTCTCAAATATTCATTTTCAATTAGCCTTGAGTTTTCTTGGAAATGGATATCCGAGAATATTTGAGGCTCCTCGGATATGTGTTTCCGAGAAGCTCGATTTTACTTTTAATCACTAAAAAACCTTAATCATATGCTTATGAACTCATTTACTTGATCATGTGTGTGTGAATGAAATTGAAATCGATGTTCTTAACATGCATGACATAAACTTGTTCTTTAGGTAGAGCTTCCAAAAAATTGAGAACACTATTTTTTTGTTTTGCATGGCCAAAATGGAGTTTTTGGTTTTCTAAGCTTAGGACAAAAACATCTTTATGCCCATACATACTTGAAAACAAACATGTCTCTTTCATTCGCACATATGATCAAATAGGAATGGGCACATTCTTGACTCATGTATTTGCATGCATGTTAGTCCGAGCTTGAATACTCTATAGAACATTGATACTGACAATGTCATTAGTAAACTGGCAAATCAGATAGTATCTAATCTTTCGGCCACCGGTCTTTATTGCTGAATTTGCCAGTCTGTTGATGACTTTTTTCAGTAGTCCAAAGATTAGATATCTCGATTTTTTCATTATCAAGAGTTTATAATTAAATATATATTTAAAAAATTTTTTATGTATTCTCGAAAGCAGATTTTGGAGAGTATAGAATGACTCTTGGAAATTCATTTTCGAAAACTCAAAATATTCTTGGAAATGGATTTCCGAGAGTTATATTTGTTCTCGGTAATTCATTTCCGAAATTATATTACTTTCTCGGAAATTTATTTTTGAGAACACAATATAATTTTTGAAAATCCATTTTCGAGAAATATGAGGTGGTTTTGGGGTGTATAAGCTATTAAGGGTTTTTTTATCATTTACTAAAAGTTAAAACTGGTATTTGGTAAGTGGGTATTTTTGGAAGAAAATTTTGAAGGTGGATGGAGAAAATTTGATGGTGTATTTAGAAAAGCCCTTTAAATAAACACAATTTATACCAATTTTGTCAACTTGAATGAAGAAATAAGACAATAAGCATTTTGCCATCTCCCTTTGAGGTGGAAAAGTACTTTAGAAAAATGAAAATTTCTACAGGTACAAGCTTTCCAAACTAGAATAGAATGTCTGCAACCTCTGGAACATCATCTTCCTCTGAACTTAAAACAGAATGAAATTAAAGACAGAGTTGAAAAGGGAAAAATGGAATGGAAGTTGGATTTTGTTGTAGTAATGTCAGTATGATAATGTTGATTGTGGTGAAAAGATAGTTTCTGCAGTGTTTGCAGGGAATATATGTCTCTCCATTCTTGCTGTCTGAAACTTCTCTAAATTTACTTGTAGTTGCAAAAATTGCATTTGATTGCTGAAATCTCATAGATGAGTCTGTATCATTTCTTGCAGGTCTACCATGGGCTTATCCTCCGAAAATATTGGTGCTGAACTAAAAAATTATATGACCACATCTCCAAGTGAGTCTGGTTCAAGCATAAAGGTTAGTAATTTGTTGTTTTATAATTGATTAACAACTGTAACTGAGATGAACTGTCCATCATCCATTCATCCTACTTATTTTTGTCCTAACCACCCCACCCCCACCAAAGAGAAGATTCTGTCCTTGAAATCAAAGCACACGTCTGCTGGGCAGTATATAAAGACAATATTTTTATCTTAACTAAGCTTAGAGTTGCTAATATTTGAGTTGTATCCCTTATACATCATACCTTCTTTTTTTTTTTTTTTTTCTTCATCCGTTTGATTTTCCCATGCCATTAGTTGAAAACAATCTGTTTTTTTTTTTTTTTTTTTGGTTTGTTTGTTTGTTTAGGGAGGGGACCGAACTGCATCTGAACTCACCTGTGATGGTATTCTGGATGAATTTTCTGAGAGCTTTGTGGATTGGGTAACGCATGGAGACATGCTTATTCCGATGAAGTATGCTTCGAAGTAACTACATGATAAAATATGTTCCGACTACAATCAAATTGAACCCATCCGAAGGATGGGAGTTCATTTCAGAATAAAACCGATAGAGATCGGCTGAGAAAGAAGAGTTGCGGCTTCTGCCAAGGAAAAGTAATTTTCAGCTCATGTAATACTGATAGCATTTGCTTAATCATGAAATCCTTGGTAGGAATGTCATGGAGGAAGCAAGCAGAAACGGTACATAGCTAATTTGATTTTGGAGCTCTGACCACCTCTATCTACCAAGATTCGAAACACCATAGCTTTCAACCCTGTAAATATTTCATAAATAGATAATGCCTTAAGAGCCCTTGAAATTATTGGCATCCTTGTATTTCCTTTTATTAATAACTTTTTTTGGAAGTAGCATTTCTACATTCATATCCCATCATGTTCTGGATTTCAGTTTTCAGGATTTACCACCACCAGTCAGAGGTTGGGAATTCAGATTTAGATACCAAAAAATAAAAAAAAATCCGAAATTTCAAGACATTTTCCCCCCTTTCAGTGGTTTATTTGCTTCCTTCTGAATATGATGAATCGGTTGGCTGAGCACTAGGTAGTAATCCTCCTTGATTCACTCTCCAGAACCAAGAATAGATTTGAATTAGAAACTTTGAAAGTCAAGAAAGAAACCATTTTCATATATTAAGTGCAAGGCAAGAATGTAACCAAATTGTAATATAGAACCCTAAAACTAAACTTAAACTAAGGAGAAAATCTGTAGTTTAACAATTATAACATCTTAAGCAAAATATATTTAATTTGTGAAAACAATATCGCAGTAGGAATGAATGAAAATTGAAAAGCATGTATTAACTTTCTGATAACAAGTCATCAAAGTACAAAACAAAATAATTCATAAATTAAGATACCAACACAAATAACAACAATCTCTAGACATTTATGTCTGGAAAACTATAACTAAACTGTGCCAAAAACACAATTCCATCTTAATGATAGAAGTTCAAAATAGCTCATTTTTAATAGCAAAAACATTTGTCAAAAGAAAAATCTCTCATTCCCAAACAGTGGGAGCAGTAGTAGAAACATCGATTCCAGAAACAGGGATTTGTGGGGCACTTGCAGCATCCCAAACATCAGCATTAACAGCAACTGCATTTGAAATTTTGAAGTAGATTACTCAAAGAAACAATCATTGATATGTAGTAAATTAAGTGATGTTCACGATAATAAACCATCTTACCTTGTTCACTCCAGTTAACAGCAGGGACACCAGAAATAGGTGGCTGAACCACATCAGCGGACCACTGATCACCTATTTGTGCAGGCCATTGGTCAGCTCCTAAAGCACCCATTCCATAATCAGCAGCAGGGAGTCCATAATCAGGGGCAACAACTGCTTCCTCCTCTTCCTGCTGTTTAGCTTCCTCAGGCTCCCTGTAGAAAAATAGATCCACCTACATACAATGTCAAGTATGAGGACACGCATAGTACATCACATCCAAATCATATCCACAACATCATCATGGTGTGCTCTTTTACCATCACATCCCACTTCTGTCCAGGAGCAATTGTACCACGCATCTGAAGAACCATCCTTGCTAACAGCCAGAAAAGACAGCCAATGCTGTGCTTTCCCTTGTTATTAGCAGGAATGCCAATGTCAACATATCGCATTGGAGAGTCGGTATCACAAAAAGCAATGGTAGGAATGTTTCCAAGAGCTGCTTCCTTGATAGGCTGTGGATAGTATACTCAAATGTTATCCAAAAACATTGTGCATAGAAAGTATAATTAATTTACTGTATATTGAAACATGATATAACTCAACTCAACCAGAGTAAAATTTACCTGGTGGTCAGTCCTAGGATCAGTAAGGATAAGAAGGCGAGGCTCACTGAAGGATGTCTGGAGTTGGTTAGTAAATGTACCAGGAGTGTGCCTTCCAGCAATGGCATGACAACCAGTGTGCTGTGCAAATTTCAGTACAGCTCTCTGACCATAGGGTCTTGCAGATTGGACAATGATGTCCTGAGGGTTCTCTATAGCAACAATTACATGCGCAGCAAGCTGAAGCTTCTCCCAGGTCTTGCCAAGGTTGATGATGTAGATTCCTATGAAATACAAAGAGATAATTCCATCAACAAAAACAGAAAAAAACACGCATGAATATGTAGCTTATAACCAAGTAGACTAAGATAATTCATGCTATCCTTAAGAAATCTATTGCATATAGTAATCCTTCTCTGAAGGATGAACAAATTCATTCCATCTAGTCAATTATGTTTAGTACACACCATCAAATCGGGTGTTTCTGATTATAAATTTAACTGGCAACTAAAACCAATCAATCATCAAACATTCGCAGCTAAAAAGATCGGCCCAACATATAAATAACAATGTCATTTCCGCACGCAACATATTGGTCCAAAAATATCCAATTGTCAAAATACACAGAAGCCAAATAAAAAGTTCGGTTACCATAAATAACCTCATGTTTCAGACAAATTCTGCATATATTATATTCCAAGAAATGGGAGAAGCTAATTTTCATCTGATAAGCTAACGCATATAAAAACAAACAGATTCTTTCGATTTAATATATTTGACAAATTAAATGAGAAAACACACTAAAACTAAAGTCTTCAACAGCTAAAAAGTACACTCTCTAGTAATCAAACAAAGCAAAGAAAACCCAAACCCTTACAAACATAACACTGAACAAAATAAACACAAATCTCAAAACACAACATATGCAAGAAAAAAAGGGAAACTTTAAGCTTCAGCAGCAAAAACCCAGGAACTCAAACAAGTGATAATTCAAGTCAAAAACAAAACTGAACCCAAAATACAAATAGATATAAGAAAAGAAACGAAATAAGTAATAAGAAAATACAATAAATTTACCGTCATTGCGGCGCTTAAAGACGTAACGCTCCATTTGGAAATCACAGTTCTTGGTACCGAGATGGACCTCAGCAGCCAACATCATCTGGATGTCGGCTTCTTTAGGAGATAGCTGCCTCGCGGCTGCTGGGACCGTCGTGGCGGCCATGCTTCGTTTTTCTTAACTGCTAAAAACCCTGAAAAGGAGATGGGGTTTTCGCAGAGGAGATTCTAATGAAGACGTGAAGCAAATGAGGCGGCTCCGGTGAGAGGGCTAGAAGTGAGTTTTTCTGTTGTTTATAAAGTAGGGTTTCGAAGACTCAGCCTAAGGAAAACCCTACTTGTTAAATGACCAATTTAATCTTGTTTTTTATTCGTATTTTCCAATTCACTGACCAAAGCCCAATAAATTTTTGGGTTGCATGAGGAAAGGGCCGATAGTTATGTATTTTGGTATAATTTTAGAAAAACACAAAAAATTATATGGAATTATAAAAATAGCCCACAAACACTGCACTCCACTGCAAGCCTGATTTGGTCTCCCTTGAACTCAAAAGTCAAACCTCATTGATTTAAACCCTAAACCCTCTTTTAGCTATTTTCTGATTGAAGCCCTTAAAACTCGAAACCTCACAATACGTAGAGCTGTTGAGATCGATATAGCCTCATTTGCTTCCTCTCTCGGCTTCTCCAACGATGCTTCCCTCCCTTACTCGGGCTTCAACGATGTCGATTGTCGCAAAGCTGGTCCCCTTAAACCTCCAAAACCCGCGAAAACCCTTAACTATGAAACCAAAGTTCCGATCCTGAGAAGAAACCCAACAAGACCCTAATCCCCAGAACTGATAAAAACAACAAAAACAACCAAAGACCAAACTATAAAAACCAAAGTTCCGATCCTGAGAAGAAACCCAACAAGACCCTAATCCCCAAAACTGATAAAAACAACAAAAACAACCAAAGACCAAAGCCCAAGCCTCTAGTTTTGTCACCTGAAGACACCGATAAGAATAATAGTTTTTTAGAGGACCTGATAAGTTTAAGAATTTGCCAGCTCTGCCTTTGATGAAAGCGAGTGGTTTGAGTGTATGGTACGAGGATGAATTGGAGTTGGAGAAGAAAGTGTTTGGAGAAGAAGGGAAGGGGAAGAAGACTGTGGAAGTTAGAAATGTGGAGTGGAGGAGATTGGTGGAGAAAAAAAGGGAACTGGGGGAGAGATTGATGTGGCAATACGCGAAAGATTATGAATTATCGAAGGGGAAGTCTGGGGATATGAAGATGGTGTTGGCTAGTCAGAGTCAGGGACGGCTGCTGATAAAGTTTCTGCTTTTTCATTTGTGGTTGCGGATAATCCTGTTGCCAATTTGAAGTCGCTTGATGGGCTTTTGGGTATAATATTTCTTTTTTCTGTTGTTAAGTTTTAAGGAGTTAGGAATATTTGGTTGTTGAGTTGTTGGTTTTAGTGTATTTCATTTGTGTTTGTTTTGTGTTTAACCCATTACTGAATTTATGCTCATTTGATGAATTTTTGGTTGTGTTTGCCCGCAAAGCTTGCGAGAGCGCTTATGCTTTTGTTGGCTGTTCAAAAAATAAAAAAATATTGTTATTAGATAAGCTTTTTGTGAGTATGCTTGTTAATCACATGTTTTTAGTGCATTTGATTTATGGCTATGGGTTTATTTCTACATGTTGAATGTCGGAGGCTTAATGATCTTTTCATGAGGTTCTTTGAATAACGTACCAAAGACAAAAGTGTCCTGTTCACTACATCAAGATTATTATATGCATTTGATTTAATGGCCCCAGATATTTCCCCCTACTTGCTGAACTTCTGTTGTTCAAATGAAATTCTCTGTTGCAGGGTTAGTAACATCAAAAGTAGGAAAGCGTTATGCATTTACGGGATTTGAAGCATTGAAATAACTTTTTATTTCAAAGTTAGTACTCTCTCTCCCTACCTACCTAATCCCCTTTCTTCCTCCATGAGTTACTTCTCAATCTAGCACATGCTAGTGTCACGTGGCCATTACCCTCGCCCTTCAAAACCGGCTTATCATGGTGTACAACGCCAACATTTTTATACCCCAATAACCCTCCTTTCATGTCCGATTTGGGATTGGAGTGCCTTGCCTACTCTCCCTTGGAGCGCTTGGCGTGATATTCTCTCCCACCCAACCTTGTGACGCCCTCGTCATGGAGGCTGGGTACCCTGCCTACCCGCCTTGAGGCGCTTGGCGTGGGTTGAACGATCCAAGGCCTGCTTTGATACCACTTGTCACGTGGCGATTACCTTCTCCCCTCAAAACCGGCTTATCAAAGTGTGCAGCGCCAATATTTTTATACCCCAGTGAGCCCCCCTTTCATATCTGATGTGGGATTGGAGTACCTTGCCTACTCCCCTTGGAGCGCTTGGTGTGACACTAGCACATGCATGTAGTTCATGTGCTACTTTAGGATACTAGTGAAAGTTATGAGTTAATAGTGGCTAAAGTAGAAGGTATAAGAGCTTTTATGTGCCAAGATGTGCCCACGATTGGAGACCACTGTCTGTAGTGGCTGTTCTTTAATACTTTTTCAAGCTAATGACATTATGGACATGAATCATCTCTATGCACTTGTGGATGATGTCTAGGTTTTAGGAGGTCAGTGTAGATTTTCCAAAATCCTAGGTAGCAAGTGTATTTTGACATAATCCGATGATTTTTATAAGTTTTATGTATTTTTCCTATTTAGTTACATGCTTCAATTTTTTTCAGGTCATTGCCTGATCAAAAGCTGAAAACACTTCTACAACGTCCTGTTAATGATCTTCCAAAGACAAAAGATGACTATTCCATTCTACTTTTCTGGTATTGGGAGGATTGCTTGACGCAGAGGTATATTTAACCTTTTTTTCACCTAAGCAGTCATGTGGCTTTAGTAAGCTTCCTATAAGTTGGTCTCATGGTCAAATTTTAATCAGGATGGTCCTTTAGACTCAGAATACATTAACTTAGGCATGTGTATGATTTATGATTCTTATAAGTTGGCTTCCTATAACTTGGCTGGTCATGCAAGCATTAGTTGATTAAGATTTGTTTTGGCTTGTGTATGGTTTACCTGCACTTGTAAAGAGTTGAATATGTAAGAAAAAACTTAGTGCTCTTTTATGTATAATTTCGCTTAGTGGATGGGCTGGATATGATATTTTTATGATAGTGATGCTGTATATGTCTCATCTGTTGCTTTTGCTCTTTTTTATCAAGTAAAAGGTACATCTTTGATATCATTAATTATCTGTTTCTAGTATTAAAGAATCTCAATGTTCACATCAGAGACTGCAGCTGCAATATGGAGCTTTAAATTACTACAAGCTTCTATTTGCATTTACTATAAAATCATTTTTCTGGCTGTTGTGAGAATGAGGTATTGTGTGGTTAACGGGAGTAGAGGATTGCATCCTTTTAAAGCAGAGGATACTAGCTTCTATTTTACTTAACTGTGCTGCCAAAATGTCCTTTCTGTTAAATATCCCTCGTGCCAATTTCAACTGGAATTGATGATGTACTTCAGTCATACAAATCATGTCTTACACATATTGAACAACTTTTTCAGGTATGAACGTTTTGTCATTGCAGTTGAGAGGCATCGAGACATATGTTACTGGCTCTGAAAGACAAGGCACTAAAAGTTAGTCTTATCTGCTAACCTGTGCATTACTTGTGATCATTAGTGGATTTTACTTTTGTGGATGATTGACTAAAAAGAGTTTTTCCTGTTTATAAATTGTACAATCATCAAAGTTTTTGACCTTTTCATGGAATGTTGTTGGAATTCCCAATTAAATGGTATTTTAAGCTGAATGGATGCAGCTAATTGGAAGTGTATCTGATTTTTAACTTAGTTGGATCGAAAAGAGATCATAGATCAGTCAAGAACATGTTGCTCTGAATTGTGCAAGGTCAAGGTTTTACTTTTAGGAATGGAATCAGATATAGGCTAATATGAGTACTTAGAAATGCTTGTCCTCTTTCATTTGTATTTTTATTAGGTTATATTACAAAATATCTGAACTTTTTTACATTTTACAGACCATGTATGTACTGCTAAAAGCAAATCAGAGCAAGAACGCAAGCTGCTATCTTCACTAGTTAACAAAGTAAGTTGATATTGAATTACTTGAACACTAAATTTTTTTCCTCTATTGAAGCTGTATACATTATAAGCTTTTTAGGCTGTACTAATTAGTTTCATTATATTTTGGTTATCTACAGCTTGGAGATCCTCAAAATAAGGGTGTATCAAATGCCGACTTTTATTTATCAAACTTCTATCAGACCACCGTAATATGAAGGTACAAGCTCTGATTCCTTTGCCTTTTCAGCCACTTGGTGGGTATTTAGATGTTGCATTATGACCAAGTTAAAAGGTAAGAGTTTTCTTTGAAGTAGGATATGTTTCAAAACTAGCTAAATTTGCAGCTTAAGATCATTGGTATTATGGTATATAAGAGCAATTGCCTTGCCTCTTGGATATAGAAGGTGAGGTAGACATAATTGTAGGACCGAAAATTTGAAACTATTGAAATGAATGCCCTGGAATTATCAATGGTGCTATTTCCTGCGCAGATTACTACAAGAAAAATTTTCAGGCATTCTTTCACATGTTAGTGATGCATATAGTATTATATTTATGCTAAGAGCTTTCTTTTTTGGCAGGCTGTGGTTATTGATGAAGTGGATACTTTTCTTTTTCGGCCTCATTTAGGACTACGTGCAAAGTATCATGCTTTATGTCCATCTACTTCTTGTTCCAATATGATATTATAAACCTTGTAACTTACAGTCTTTTCTACCCATGTATCATCATTGTTATTTACTCTCATTAATAGTGAATCATGACGTGCCTAATTGTGGTGATGTTAATTAAGGAGGTTCGCATTTTATTTTCAAGTCATCCGATGAGGGAGAACATTTCATAGGGTCTTCAGAAATTCAAAAAAAAAAAAAAAAGCAGTGTTTTATACTAATTAGCAATTATGCGGCACATTTTTTACTCCAAAATATTTTTCTTTGATTGAATTGCCATAAAAGTTCTATCGCTGTGAATTCATTTAGAATTGCTTGTAATAATTAGAAGTTTATCCCTGTATTACATGAATTGTTTGTTTTACCAATATAACATTGTCAGTTTTTGCTCTGGTTGTACTCTTATGGATTATGAATTGATTGTTGATGTATAGTCTTATCTTTAGGTTATGATGCGATTCATTTTTTTTTTTAATTTTAGTTTTAGTTGGGAACTTTAATATGCCCTTGGTCATGTACAGGTCAGGTCAATTTTTTGAGCCAAATTCATTTGAGTCACAAAGGAGATGGACCAAAGGTAGCAAAACGTTTGATAAATGTATACTTTGCACTTTTTAAGGTATGTGTGGGTTTCTGTTCAATTACAAGATTTAGTTTGTATGGCTGCATTTCGTGTCGGGTTTTAATAATTTTCTGTTTGCATCTGGTTGTAGTGTTAATATGTTTCATTAACCTCCGAGTAGCAAAATGGTGAAAAGAAGAGATTAGAATTTATATTTCACAATTTCAGGTACCGATTAGTGAGGCAGGAAGAAGTAAGCCACTGGATAACAAAAGCAACAAAGCCATAAAAGATACCCATAAGTCTATGGAGAAAAAACTAAAGGGTACTGGAGAATCTCATGTTGAATTGGATTCAGGGCTTCTGTCCGCGCTCCTAACAATAAGTATTGTCTGTGAAAGTTACTATGCATGATTTTAAAAAAGATTTGCAACTTTTTCCAGCTTCCTCAATTTCTCCTCTGGCATATACACAGGGAGTTAATAGAGCATTTCCTTATGTTTCAAGCAATGAAGCTGATGACATAATTGATATAGAAAGACCAATGCTCTTTCAACTGGTAGGCTACAAAACTTGGCACTTTATTCTTATTAGACAGCCAGAACCTGGCTAATAGATGCTTCATTGCTAGTCATTGTTGAGCATTACCATAATCATGCATCTTGGATGTCAACATGGACAATTAATTTTGCAGGTTCATTCCGAGAACTTTAATGTAGGAGTTCAAGCAGTAATGCTTCTTGATAAAATCTCATCAAAAAATCAGGTTGCCAGTGACCGATTTTACCAGGCCTTGTACTCAAAACTTTTACTTCCTGCTGCTATGAATTCTTCTAAGGCAAGTGAAGTTGAGTTTGGTTAATTTTTGTTCCAATGCAATATGGTTGTGATCTAATGCTTCTGGGTTTTATAACTGTGGGCTATGATGTGATCATATATAGGAATTTTTGGAAATAAATGTATTGCACAAAGCTTTTTCAATTGGATATTGTTTGACATCTGGGCTATTCATTGACTTCATAATTATGTGGAACATGATTGTAAATTTTGTTTCTGGTTATTACTTCTTCAAACAGTATTATAATTCACTTAATAATATATTAGCATACTAAAGCTTTTGTGGATTCTATTACTTAAAAAATAACAAATTCCTCACATTTACATGGCATGTCTTTTCAGGTAGAAATGTTTATTGGACTTCTTATGAGAGCCATGAAAAGCGATGTCAATTTGAAACGTGTTTCTGCCTTTTCAAAACGTGTATTGCAGGTAATGCACTGCATTCCCTCTTTCCTTGCTCTTTTTTTTTTTTTTTTTTGATGCTTGGAAGAAAAGCGTACAAGGACGATTGTCCGTGTGCTTTCCATTTCATTGTCAATTTTTTAAGTGCATGAATGAATGTTGTGTGGACATTTATATAAGTATAATCATTTTCTTTTGTCTTCCTTGTTGGCTTTGATTAGCATATTTGTAATTTTCAATTTTATTACCGTGTTGCCTGTGGTTCTGGTTGGGAAGAAATGGGGCAGGATATTTGTAGCTGCAGAACAGGACAGCTCTTATTTTTCCATGGCAGTTTTATATCTTTGTTGAGTTTCTTGTGATGTTATTTTCTGAGTTTGTATAACAGGTATTCTACAAATGAACTGGCTGTTGTCTGATTTCTATAGCTTTTGGTGTGCGTACATCTTCAAAATTTAACAATTTGAATCTGGCAGGCTGCACTTCAACAACCACCCCAATATGCTTGTGGTTGCCTTTTTCTTATCTCAGAAGTTCTCAAAGCAAGGCCACAATTATGGTCAGGCTGGTTTCATTTAGATGTGCCATGCACCGAATTGTATTCTGTGTAGAAGTTCTTCTCTTCTGACTAGAAACCTTTTTCCATTGTTCAGGAATATGATGTCCCAGAATGAGTCAGTTGATGAAGATCTTCAACATTTTGAAGATATTGTAGTGGAAACCGACAGTGAACCTAGCTTGGCATCCAAGAAAGAAGAAAGTAATGCTGATATCCATGGTGATGGATCTGCCAACTCTGATGGTGATTCTTCGGAAGATGAAGTTGTCTTGCCATCCTCTTATTCTGATGATGCGGAAAAGTTGTTTATAAGAGAGAGTTCAAAGGATCTTCATAATCCCAAAACAATATCTGATCAATATGCATTAAAATCTCAAATATCCTCTACCCAATCTTTCCTGCCTGGAGGATACAATCCAAGGCACAGGGAACCTTCTTATAGGTATGTTTCCTGTCATCTTTTCCTAGCTTCTAATGTTCCACGTAGTTACTCTGCTTATATTTTAGTATGTGTGACTGACTAATTGGTCTTCATATAAATTGGCATCATTATCATACTAATTATTAAGAGAATAAGGGTTTTTCTGTGAATCAAGGAAGAGAGTAACTGCAACATGATTACATGGTCTATGGGCTTTTTCTCTTTTCAAGATTTTCGTTATATCAATTGCACCAGGAATTTTATCTTCAATTTTCTTTTTAATCTTGTTGGATTTTCAATGATGATTTTGTTCTTACTGCGACTTTGTGTGTATCACTGTCTCAACAGCAATGCAGATCGTGCAAGCTGGTGGGAGCTGATGGTACTCTCAACACATGTTCACCCCTCAGTTGCCACCATGGCTACGACCCTTCTGTCTGGGGCCAATATTGTTTACAACGGAAACCCATTGAATGACCTATCACTTACTGCCTTTCTTGACAAGTTCATGGAGAAGAAACCAAAAGCAAGCTCATGGCATGGTGGATCCCAAATTGAACCTGCCAAGAAGGTTAGCTTAAACTTCTCATTCAAAGACCTTTTGCTTTGAGGTTTCATTCACTATGTGGAACTTTCTGGTTTTGTGCCATGCTATTGATTGATTGAATTACCTCTATGGTGGAAGTACCTAGCTGCCAATAACTTTAAAAAAATCTGCTGACATTTTTTTGTTTTCTCAGCTTGATATGAGCAACCATTTGATTGGACAAGAGATTTTGTCATTAGCTGAAACAGATGTTCCACCAGAAGATCATGTCTTTTCACAAATTTTATATGAACAAAATGAATTCCTCTAAGAAACCAAAAAAGAAGAAGAAGAAGAAGAAAGGCGCAGAGGAAGAAGCTGCTGAAGAATTGTTTGATGTTGGTGGCAATGACATGGATGATGATTATGTGGATGGCGGTGATGAAAGTGATAATGAAGAGATTGAGAATATGTTGGATTCAGCCAATCCTTTTCTTGATGCGGATGGGGACTATGATTATGATGATCTAGACCAAGTCGCCAATGAAGATGATGATGACTTGATTGGTAATGCCAGTGATGCGGAGATGGAGTTACCCTCAGATGATGCTGATGGAGAGGATTTTCACACTGGTCCAAACAGTGATAGGATCGATGATGATGCCCCTGATTGGAGACAGGGATGATCTTAGCGATGATGAAGAAGGATTTCATCAAAGAAAAAGGAAACGAAAGTCTGGCAAAAATGCTTCTGCATCTCCCTTCGCAAGTTTTGAAGACTGAGCATTTGCTAAATGGGGATAGTCCCACTGAGAAAGAACCTACAAGAAAGAAGAAGCCCAAACCAGGGAAAAAAAATGTCATCAAAGTGAATCCTGCCTTACCTGACTTGTTCAGAATCTCTTGGGTATTACATTGGGAACGCTTTGTTTAATCATGTGCCAGAGGATTGATCCGTTGAAACTTTACTCTCCATCAATTATGGAAGAGACATGCCTCGCTCCGGAAGAAGGAATGAATAATATTCCCAACTTTTTCCGTTAGGAGTTAAGCTAAAACTGGTAATGATTCCAGTATCTGCCCCATTCTTTGGAACAAGATGCCCAGAAAGAGAAGGGACAAGAATTGGCCAGGTAAGAAAAACAGATTTTGTTGTCTTTTACAAGGTAATAAGATTTTCTTAGTTGTTTGTTGTTTTCATCTGATACAACTTCGATGGAAATTTTGATGGCAAGTGGTAGATTTTGTGAATGGCTATTGACGTATTCTTAAACAGAACAAAATTGGCAGTGTGCTTCATTGAATAAACTCTTTTGAGTTCGTTTGACTCACCACTCCCTTGATCCTTAATTATCTTAATCTTTGAACAAAAGATTTACCTATATCTACTATATTAACAAAGTCGAGGAAATTTTCTTTCAATTCAGCAGTTTTACCAGCAGATAATCAGAAGCCAAGTGGCACAAATCTACCGAATTACATTAAATTTCAAGTGAAAACACAGATGACATCTAGATGCATCAAACAATATTTGATTCCTCGAGTTTTCAATGGAAATGCCGATAACTCCTTGTTTCCCACAAAAAAAATAGCCCTTCTTTTAAGCTATGGCAACTTCCACTGTTTTAGGCTTTGGTGGCGGGGGAAGCTTTTCAACAACCAGAGTCAAAACCCCATTTTCACATTTAGCTATAATAGCAGACATATTGGCATTCTCAGGCAACCGGAACTTTCTCACCAGCTTCTGGAGTGGCTTCCTTTCAAGCCTGATGTATTTACACCCTTCATCTTCAACTTCCTCACGTTTCCTCTTCCCACCACTTTTAATCACCAATGTGTTCTCATTTTCAACAGTAACCTGAAACTCAGGGCAAGAATCAATGTTAGCGAAAACATGATAACAAAATCAAAAACCCTGAAAGGCTTTTTGGTTTTTTTTTTCCCCTATTACCTGGATATCCGACTTGGACAAGCCTGGAACATCGAAGTAGAAAATGAATTCCCTGGGTGTGTCCAAAATGTCGGCTGGTATGCTCTTACTCTGGTTCTCCTGAGTGTCATGAGTCCGTGAGGGGAACATGAATTTTTCGATGTTTTCTGGGAAACTAAACCAATGGGTTATTGAGTCAGCAACTCGGCTCATTTTCAGACGCTGTTGAAGGAAAAAAGAAGAGTACGCTAGAATCTTTGACGCGAATAACTACTTTGAATGAAAAGGGTAGTACTTGTTTCTCTTGTCTGCTTAGCTACTGAGAAAATTGCCGTGGGAACAGATATATAGAAAGAGAACAAGTTTACTGGAACGATCTGGAAAAATCTCGACTATTTTGGAATCCTCATGTGCTTACACGTGTAATTTTTGGGGTATTGTGGAACACTCGTATAGCCTTTGATGGATGTGACGTGGCCTTTGATGTTGCCACGTAACTTACTTATTTATATATATTTTGACCATTTGATTTCGGTCATACATCACTTGCCATGTGACCCTGTCATACACTCATATTGGATCCTTATTTGGGCTTCTGTCTTTCCTTTCTTTTCTAGATCAAGATTTACTGATTTGGGCTTCAGTTTCGTGCCATCCACAAGCAATAGGCCGAACCTCTTCCATTTCTTTTATGGTAACAGGTGAAAATCCAGGAATTCGAGGCATTAACCTCTTCCATGCTACAAACATTAATATCATTTTGTTAAATATTATTTTTTAATGGTAATCCTATGAAATGAGTTACTCTCTTAATTCTACCATGTTAGTATTTGAGAACAAAGTGTTAACAAATACATGTGCTAAGTTATTACAATATTAATACATAATTAGCTTCCTAATTTTTGACTTGATTTGTGATTTTCCCTAGCTATATAGGAAAAACTCCTGATTTTCTCTAATCGTAGTCTTCAAGCAAGCATAGATTCTTTTATAGCTAATTAAAAAAAAAACAATGATTAGTACTAGGTGATATCCCACTCGGTACATGACATGAATCCTCCAAATCTATGATATGATCTCGAAATGTTCCTTCTAAAGCACATGATCCAATTGCTGAATCTTGTTTCTTGTTAACTTGCAGATTTTCCACCCAACTGCTAATTATGCACCGGAACCTAGTGAACCCTACTTACCTAAACCCTTTATCGAATTACGGGTTCAATCATTTAACTCATTGTTTATCAACTGAAAGTGTCTCTTTGACTTAATTAGCTTGTGAGACTGGAGATTAAGGTGAGGGATTAGGGTTGATTTTAAGGGCTTAGGGGGCTGATAATCAAAGAGTTTATGTCATTAGAAAAGTAAGTAGTTAATCTTGTTATGTCTTTCTTTTTAATTTTTTAAATATGATTAGAGTTATTTGTCGTCTTCCTATGATTTTAAAAGTCAAATTATTTTACATCAATTTAATATATTCAAAATTTTATTTTATAAAATATTTTAAATAAAGATCGAACTCTGATCAATATGGAAAAAATTCTCTTTATTAATTGAATTAATTTTTTTCGTAAGTGATTTTTAATCTAATCTTAAATTTGACGTTACGGAGAGCTATGTATCCGATTAATCTTATATATATTTTTTGCATAAATTTTTAACAAACAGACACATATACGTGGTTAATTAATTACTCAAAAACATACCACTGGGACCACTGGTAGTTGAACCCATTAGAGTTATTCGTCTCTAGTGGCAATGTGCCCTTTAGCTACCATTGGAGAGGGACCACCGAAATTTAATCACTTGACTTAAAGCTACCTAGTTTTTTCTCTCTGATTTAGTGATTTTCTTTTCTTTTCCTTCTAAATGCAATTGATTCTATCAATGATAAGACTTGTTAGGGAAAAAAGTTTAATCTCGACAACCAACCCAAAAACAATTATCGAAAGTTAGCAAAGCTTAAGGTAAAAGTTTCTGAATAATATTGTTCCAAAAAGAGTTGTATGTGTGTGTGTGGTGAACAGATATAATGAATTGGGGTTGGCAGCCTGTATTTTGTCGAAGGCTCCATGCATGAAAGACAGAAATTCTAATTATAACAGCCTGTTTGGTAAGGCATATAAAATATGTGAAGACAGAAGTTAGAACAAATTGTAACGCATATGGGGGAGATAAGATGTCACCAGCTCGAAGCTTTGTTTTTTGCTATGGCTTTTGAAACAGAAACTATATGGCTTTACCGCTTTAGCATATGGAAGTGGTGACTGCTTACCAACCAACAGATTGCGTTGCTATTAATGATACATGAAACAAGAAGAAACCACCATTGCCCTACCATATCATTCTTGTTACATTATTACCCTTTTATTTACATTTTAATTGATTTAGACATGAGGTTGTTTGATGATAATCTTTTATCGTTGTATATCATGTGAAATTTGAGAGTCCTCGACTTCAAGATATATATATATATATATATATATATCAGAAACAGTTTTGTTAAAAAAAACCCAGTAAGTAGAGATGGTTTATGATTCCAGCGGATAAAAAAAGTGAGATTTAAGTTAATACCACTTGAAAATCAAGTTGTGAAAGTTAACACCATGGAAGGGTCTTGTCTTTCCCACGACAAGGTTTGGATTCATTCACGTGGACTGCAACTGCCATGACCCCAACTATGTTGAATTACTGTAAAACATACCCTAGACTCGAATGGAAATCACGTGAAAATGAAAATAGAAGAAAAAAAAAAACAAAATTTGAGGAAAAGGGTATTCATGTAAATACATATAAAAAAGACAAAGAACATTTTCCCTAACAAAAAAGTCCCCCAATTATCTCATTCTTAGCTGGTAATTGCTATTTGCAATGTTTTTCTCACCCTTTTTCTGTCTGTCCCCCCTCCATTCCTTTATATGTGAACCTCCTTCCATATTTCTCTGCAATTCTTCTCAAAATAAAACCCTTTTTCTTCTTTAGTAGTCTCCTCTCTTTTTGACAAAACTAGGAAGTTCTATAGCAAAAGCTAGCCATGGCAAAAGTTGGGAAGCTAACAAAGCTGAAGTCAGCAATAAAAAGATGGCCATCTTTAACGAAGCTGACCTGTAGCAGCAGTGCAATAGCGGCTGCAGAGTCCGAAGACAAGTCAATTCCAAAGGGTCTTCATGCAGTATACGTTGGAAAGTCGCGGCGGAGATACCTGGTAGGGTCTGAGATCATCTGTCATCCGCTTTTACAAGAGCTGATTGATAGGTCCTCTGGTGGAGGTAATGGATTTGATGATGGTCATGAAGTTGTGGTTTCTTGCGAGGTTGTTTTGTTTGAGCACTTGCTTTGGATGCTTGAGAATGGTGGAGCTCAGTTGGGGTCCATGGAAGAGCTGGTTGAGTTCTACACTTGCTAACAAAAAGGGAAGAAAACAAAGCTAAAGGCTTGTCAAAGTTGTAAAAAGATTTAGAGGCATGAAAAGGCAGAGAAAATAATAATGAAAATCAAGTAGTATAGGCAGTTAATTTAGTGTATGTGTGTCCTTTCGGGATGGTGAGAATTAACCCATTTGATTTTACTGCGGGGTGATGTATGTTGCTCATCAAGAACTTTCATTAGGAATTTTCTTTTCTTTTCTCTTCTTCTTTTCTTTAGAATGCTTGGTAAGAAGGGTTACTTTTATATGTTTACAACCAAATGGTTGAGAAATGGAAATTTGGCTGTTTTCATAATTCAATCTTCTTTCTTCTTCCTTTTTCATTTTCTTTGTTATTTATGTAATTAATTTTATGTTTAGACATAGCTAGCCATGTGGAATGAGGCCTAATTCTCAACTCTTTGTGCCAGCATAAAACAAGGTGGCAATCAATATTTGGACAGAGATCAAATCAGAAAATGGCTGCTTTAGTTCACTTAGTTGATTTTTTAATATATGTACAAGTAAATAATGCACCTAGTTTTTTTTTTTTTAACTTTCCCTAGAAAAATGAGAAAAAGGAAAAGAAATTATACCAAATTTTAGTTTTGCTTATGGCCCTTTCTATTAATAGTCCATTGTACTGAAAAGGATTGAATGCCGATTTTAATGAAGAATAGGAATTCCCTTCTCCTGAAAATTTCAGCAAGTGGGGTTTACCAGGACCGCCTTGTGAGGCGCCTTTTGTAGGACAAAACCGTGAGGTCAGGGGGGCCAGAGCGGACAATACCTCACAAGGGTGTGAACCGTGGCGGTCAGGCTGATCTGGGACGCCGGAAGGGTGAGTGCCCGGGTCCCGGAGCCGCGCGGGTTCGGAGCTTGAGTCTCGACCCGTGACAAGTGGTATCAGAGCCAGCCCTAAACCGTTCGATCCACGCCGAGCACCTCGAGGGAGGTAGGCAGGGTGGCCGGCCTCCGTGACGAGGGCGTCACGAGGTTGGGTGCGGGAGAATGTCACGGACCTAAGGGGGAGTCCTGAATCCCACATCGAACATAATAGGAAGGTCCCTAGGGTATAAAAGGGTTCACACCATCTCCGCCTTGTGAGGCGCCTTTTGTAGGACAAAACCGTGAGGTCAGGGGGGGCCAGAGCGGACAATACCTCACAAGGGTGTGAACTGTGGCGGTCAGGCTGATCTGGGACGCCGGAAGGGTGAATGCCCGGGTCCCGGAGCCGCGCGGGTTCGGAGCTTGAGTCTCGACCCGTGACACTAGCATCAAGCTTGCCTAAGCATGATGTAGTAGAAGTAGCTTTACAAACCTCCGAAACCATTTTCTCCACAGCCGTCTCAATTAAAACCACTTCAGTTTAGTCCTGTACAGAGATGTTGATGGTAAGGCAATATAGACAATGTCATGTACTTCAGTTTTGGTCCCCTATCGTTTGTCATGAACCCCAGAAGACTATAGCTCATCCAAGATTTGCTCATAGAATCTTACTGGGGTTATGTCAACAACAGCTCAATATGCATATCATCTTATCCAAAGCCTAACTTCTCTTACTGTACTACTTGAATAAGTTATTTCAGCGTCCAGGAATCTGCAGTGAAAGTGCATTAATATCAACCCCAAAGTTAATGTTATTCCAAGTCAGATCCTGTTCAGCTTGGTGAACAAGGAGCAAATGAAACTTTTTTTTTTTTTCAGTCAATTTCCTTATTTCAATCAATTTTTGAGGCAAAATGGCAACAAATTGTTTCACATTGAAGTAGTGTGTCAATGTTGGTATAAATCATCTTAATTCACCTTACAACACAAGACAAAATTTCGGTTGGTTGGCATGATATTAATATATTATTGCAAATTATTAAGAGTTTTTTCAGGAGTTAGGTGAAATTTGAATCGACAGTATTTTTAGGAACAAAGAGGCAGAAGAGGGAGAAATCATAGAATTATGATTCTAGATGTATAAAAAATTTGGTTAACCTGTCGGAAATGGACAAAAGTATTAGAGGTTTAAATGACCTTAATCTAACCATAAAACATGCTTGTTGACATTAGATTAGTTTTTTAAGCTGCAAATGATGGAGTAGTTGGGAGATGCTTGCTAGCATCCAAACATTGACACTCGACAGTCGACGCCATACTTTTCCAATTGTTATTTGTTTATTATGCCAATTAGTTGAATTAAGTGATTGTTTATATGTATCATCAAAGCTAATTTTGTGTAAATGACATAATTAATTTCCCATAAAATGTTTAGCACAACATATAAAAATAAAGAATTAAAATTTAGAATTAAAATTTTTATGTACGAAACATCTAACTTAAAATTAAATGATAATAAATAAAAAAATTTAACTTAAATATAAAATTTTATATATAATAAATATGAGATAAAATCATTTTAACGTTAAAAATGAAAACTTTTAATATAATCATAAATAAACCGAGGAAAAGAACGAGAGTTTTTTAAGACTGATAAAATCAAAGAACGAAAAAGCATAATTAAAAAAAAAAAAAAAAAGATACCCTTTGGTTTGTAAAATATTGGGATAGAAACAAGACCATGAAATGAGAATATTAATTTCGATATATCCTAAAGTGAAGACCAAAATTTGAAGATACTAACTTGTATATAAACAATATTGCTTCATTTACATGTCAATAACTCTAAAAATGGTGCTATTATATGATTGTAACTGAAACTTGCATCATCTTAAGCTCCTTGTTAAAAAGCAAATTTTGCTATGTTTAGGAGATAATTAGCAAAAACTGTTGAACACTCAAAACTGTGAGGTCGGTCTGTTTGTCCACTCGCTAAAGAAAGAAGATTACACGTTCAAATCAATACTGGAGAAACCGTCCTTAAATCATGGGTATGTCAAATTTTTTTTAATATAGTCAATTATTCATGTTCGCTGGTCGCCATTTTTATGTCGATAAAGGTTTAGCTTAGCAGTAAAGTGGAAAATTTATTAATTTAATGAATAAAATCCTGTAATTTAATCAATATATTAATAAATTAATAAAGCAAAACCAAATAACACTCCAAAACACCGGCAGCTACCCAGCACAGTTATATATAATTGAGGAGCGCCCGTTAAATGATAGGAACTGTGTGCGCTTACCACAGGTTGCATTGACTGATCGTTACCGGCTTCCGCCGCAGAAAGTCGGTTCTTCTAGGCCAAAATAATCAGCCATTATCTTTTTTTGCACATTAAAAACAATATCGGTACGGAATAATTCAACAATGTTGTACTCTTATGAATTGTACCAAAATTAGGCCAATTGATGATGAGATTTTGGTCAAAAAGGTCTCTCCAAAATCCATATGTTACCTAATATAAATTAGAAATTTAGAATGATTTATATGCAGGAAAAAAAAAAAAAAAGATGCAATCAACAGATTAGGAATATGGAAAATTAGGTATTTTTGGCTGTTTCGTATCGGGCCATTTGGGCAAATTGTAAATTTATAATCAACTGATCAATGCTAGATTCCCAACTGGCAACAGTAAGAGCAAGTTGTGATTTGGAATCAAACATGGCTTTTTTTTTTTTTTTTTTTGTAAAAGCAAACAATGATAACAATGCTATACACACAAGTTTTTGTCACTCTTTAAGTTAAGCCAAAGGAAGCTGGATTTTTTTAATACGGAACCACAAGATATATAGTAAGAAACAATAATAAAATTTTATTAGTTACTCAAAACATATCTATTAATCTTGCGACAAGTTATATTAACCTTTGAAAAAAATGTTTAAGCTTAATTGCGTCATATTAATAACAATTATAATTTAACTTATGCGTAAGATTTTTTAAATTTCTTTTCTTCCTTATCACATTAAACCCCAAAATTTTTCAATAAAAATGGGTTTTATGATAAAAAAAAAATGGCTTTATTCATTATATAAATTTTTTAAAAGATAAAAAAAAAAAAAAAAACCTTTTTCACTAACCCCAAAGAAAAAATCTCTTTTTTTTATCAAAAAGAAAGAAAAAAAATCTTTTTTGTAATTGGGCTTTGAATTCCTCCCAAAGCCCATTAAAGTGTAAAACCAAGATGAAAGCCCAAAAAAATCCGATGTAAACGGCCCAAAAAAGAATAAAATAAAAGGAAAATAAAAGATGCTTCTTTTTCCCTTGTTGCCAACCGTGACGGTGAACAGTGAGAGACGCCAACTACCGTGGCTGCTTAGCGACCGCTGTTTTTTGTTACTTTAATCCAATATTTTAGTATTATTACCATTCTAAATTTTCATTTTTTTTTTTGTTGAGTTCTTAAAATAGTTTGAATTTTGTTCGAGAATTTGCGAAGAAATGTCAAGGTTTCGCGGGTTATGGCAAGCTTCCCTTGATGCAACCAGGAAAGGTAAAACTTTTGAGCATTAATTTTAATAATCAGTTTTTGTAACGTATTAAATAAAAAAAAAAGAGCCCTTTTTTTCACTTGCTAATTGATTTTGAAATTTTGATTTTTTTTTTTTAAATTGTAGCTCTGACATGGAATGTTGAAGATTGGATCCCTCCAACTGAAAAATACATATTCAATTTCAGTTCAAAAGAAGAGCTTAAAAAATGGCATCTTTATTCTGATTCTGAATTTGGAGGTAACTCTACACTCACTCAAATTCAGTTTCTTAACAATGTTTTTTTCTAAATTAAGCTTTTGCAATTGTTTTCTAATCGTTTTAATTTTCAGGGTTGTCTTCGGCTTCATTGGAGATCAAAGATGATGGAAATAAATCAAGTGGTAATAGTCAATCTAAGTTGTAATGTTATTTTTTTGTTTACTATACATGTGTGTGTGAGTCGCTCTACTGAGCTGATTTTGAGCAAATAATTTAATTTGGCATCCATGATTCTGATTCGCTTTTCACCGTGACAACTTCATGTTTTCATTGTTTATTATTTATCTTATTTGTGTTCCTAATCACTGATCATGGATAACCTCTTTGTTAGGAGATTTCTCTGGGAAACTTTCCCTGGATGTTGAAGAAGGTTCAAAATGGAAAATAACTAGGAGCGGCTTCTGTGGAATGCGGTCCAAGAAGGTGAACAATTGTTCCAGTTCTTTTAGCTGTTATAAATCTGTTGTGAAGTAATTTTGGCATGTCCCGATTTGTACTAGTTTAGTTAGTTTTACTGTGTCGATGTGGATGATGTCAAGTTTTCACATTCCTTGCTCATATCTCTCCGAGTCTTTAGTACGGACTTTGGATTTGGCAACCAAATTGATAGATTTTTACAGACAATAAAAGGATATGTTCCTTAGTCACTGAAAGTATATTATGAATCTTGAAAAGGTGTTTAGCTTTATGAATGATGTATAAAAGCTAGTTTCTAAACTTACTTTTTCAATTACACATATTGAAGTGATAATAGTGTCTGGTGGTATCTATGTGCAGGCTTTCATATGATGGGTCTTGTTATGTTTATTTTGTCAAACTTGTTCGTATTCTGTTAAAAAATTCACCTTTTTCTTAGCTTTTATAGCATTAAGGGTTATTTTTGTTATTTTTTTGTTATTTCTTACTTCTTTCTTTTTATTATTTCTTTAGGCTGCTCCATCATATCTCATACAAAAATATTAATTCTGGCCAATCCATTCGCTAGCTCAGTCTTTAGAATTTTTTTTGGAACCTTGTAGCTCTGTTTTCCCTTTCTTTAGACGTTTCATGAAGTTGAATGTGTATATATTTATATAGTATGTGAGAGATTTTAGTTCTATTTGTTTCAAATGAGTGAATAATTCAATTTTAGGTTTCTTTGTAGGATTTCAAATGTAGAGAGGTAGCTTCTCTTCGTAGATAAGAGCAGAATATTTTCACTTTTTTGTATAAGCACCATAAGTGAGCTTGGTTCTTTTGCGATAATATATTTGCATTTGATGACCCTTTTTTGTTTTCATTTTTATTTCTTCAGTTTGATGGCTACATTGATTTGGATGCATACGATACAATAGCATTTAAGCTCAAAGGAGACAGGAGATGTTACATATCTACTGTGAGTTGTTTTCTCATGTTGAAGTGGTGAACATATATCAAGGCTTCTACTTATGTTGTTTATATCTTTTAGACTTGTTTGAATTTTATATAACTGACAAGTGTTCTATTGAATCTACAAACTTGATGCAGATTTATACAGAGAATTGGGTGAATTCACCTGGACAGATGGAAGATAATTCATGGCAATCTTTTATTTTTGTTCCCAAAGACAACTGGTATATCGCAAAGGTAAAACTGTCATATTCCTTAAGCTCATATTCTTAGAGATTGATGTTACTGGTTTCTACTCATGGGGTGCATTTTAAAAGGTGACTGAACTCTTGAACGTAGGATTTAAGTTGATGATGGCCTTTAGATATATTCCTAAAGGAGGTTTTACTCTATGAAGTAGCTCATCTTTCTAATTGATTCGGGAAAGGTCTCAATTGCATGGTTGCATCCTTTGTGAAATGCTATTTTATGGTGGGGACCAAGGACTGATTTGGACCAGCAACCGTGGAACAGAATATTGGATGATGTATTTAGTTACAAAAATTTTTGGATTGTGCTCCATAATTTGTATGATCTTGCAGATTCCTCTTGCTCGTTATTTGCCAACATGGAGAGGAAATGTTATAGATGCAGCGTTGGAGATGAATCCATCTCGTATTCTTGGCATGTCTTTATCTGTTAATGCCGAAGGCGGTGTTCCAGGTGCTGAATCTGGGCCTGGTGATTTCAAATTGGAAATTGATTGGATTAAAGCCCTGCGGACAGAATGAATTATGGTACTCTTAACTTAGTAGACATCGAGGCCTTAAATTTTGAAACGATTCGTTTGCCAATAATAACGGCTTAACATGGTGATTGGGCTTTTCCCACTGCCCACCAATCGGCCTATTGAGACAACCCTTCAATGGTTCCATTCCAACCAAAAAATGTTGGCTGGTTTGCCCATTTGTTGGATTCAGTGGGCAATTGAATGCAATTGCACTTCCGAGGACAGTTAAGCTTTAATCATAAATATCAATGTCAGTTAAGTTCTTTCAATATAAATTTTTTATTAAAATTTTTTTAATCATATTTAAAATAATTATTTTTATTATTACTTTTAATTTCATCAAAATTAATCGCATCATTTATTACCCTCAATCTAACAAAAGTAGTAGTGTCCTTGCAAGCAGCAAGTAGTGGATAGAATGTCACTCTTTATAGCCCTTCAGGAGGTTAGGGAGGGAGTGAGAGGGGAGTAAAAATGGCTGTTTATCTCCATTATTTACGTCAAGATCTGTCTGATTTATTCTCAAATTTTGAAGATGGTGTGAATCTGTGAATGGAAGAACTAGTAGCATAAATTTATGCCAACCAATCATTTCTGAAACAAATACCATGTTGTCGGTGGCCGATTAAAAAAATTGCCTTTTCTTTGAAAATACTTGATGCCTAACCTATGATGATGTGAAAGGTAAGAATGGTCATTTCAGTGTCAATTTCAGCAAAAAAAAAAACTAACTGGCGGCTTGACATTTGCTAAACTTTAACACCATCATCTGCTATTTGACCATACCTAGATTGGCTTAGCATCCAATGAATTTCTTTGTAAAATAGTAAAATGAAACAGAAAAGGAAAGAAAAAGGAAAAAAGAAAACTAGCAGTGGTGGGCTGAAAAGGACATTTCATATTGTGCAGTTAATCTATCAGAAATCATTGTTTATCCAACTAATCTTCCTGCTTACATTTATGAATCCAATTACTTACAAGCTGCAACATTGAATTTTTTTTTTTATATAAAATTTAAAAGTAAATAGATTAGTTAATTTTTTAAATTAAAATAAAATATATCATATTTAATAATTTAAAATAAATAATTATAAATCACATATTCAAAATAATTTTAACAAATAACCATCATAATCGATAAAATTCAAACTTTTATTTTTTACATTATTCTCTTTTCTCTCCCTTTCCTCGTTATAGTTAAAGATAAAATAGTCTTTATTCAATTTTTCTGTGTAATCTTATAGCAACTGCCAACGGGGTTTGGCTTTTCTCTATCTGATATATGCCACTTTGTTTACAACTATTTGACAGTTAATCGATTTCGGATCGCAACTTGCAAACCGAACATAATAAGAAGATTTTATTATCTGAACAAAAATAAAACCAAATAAATTTTTTAAAAAATCCAAATCAAACATTTTGATTTTTTTCGATTTATTTCAGACTTCTAACCACGCAACCTCGTCCGCACAATTAAAATTCTTCTCAAAATACTGCTTATGGATATAGGCATATAGTCATTTCATTCCTCCTTTGCCAATCCCAAATGCATTACAAAACTACTATATATAGATTTAAGAGTTAATAATTGCAATAAACAACAATTCGGTTTGCAGTGCAATTGACAACTTGCAACATTACATGAATTGTTACTCTCTTGGACCAACTGCCCATATGCTTTTCTTTGCTAGTTGCCTTTCCAATTTAAAAAAAAAAAAAAAAGTAGGAATTTCGACATATGTGGGTATCTGACACGTCTTAAAAAGGATGTTGTGGGTCAGCCAGAAAGACATTTAAAAGGACCCTAATATATGGTTTTTAGAATTTTGGAAAATAATAGGAATGACGTGGAAAAATATCTTCCAAATGTGACACGTGCAATTGCAATTGCAAGCTTGAATCTCCACATTATTGTTCCAAGTTCTTCAATTTCCACAACAGGAAGCAAATGTGCAGTTTTTTCATTCGTTTTCTCGGGTAGTTTACATCCTGGATAGCTCCAATAAAGGATCATTGGTATTTGAATCCAAGACTTTTTACTATCGAGACGAATGAACTAGCCAATTGAACCTATTCTTTTCTTAGATATTATCTTTCATTTTGACTGCAAATGTTGACTGCTATATATCTTCAATCTTCAATCACTGTTTCCAGAAAGCACTTCATCCCCAAATGCTGTGTTGCCCTATTGGCTCGCTGATGCAACCTACTTACTAGAATATTGCCAGCTTTGCCTTTCTATTTATTGGGGCACCGCCCGTCTCCTTAATAATTCCAGACTGGAGCTGGAATCCCGGAATCTGGCATAGAGAAATTAATTAAAAGAAAACAAGGGGAAGTCTTTATGAGTTTATTTTGCTTGGCTAAAAAAATTTAATTGGATATATATTAATGTGTCTGTGAGAGAAAAGAGTGGATAAAGCCGATCAACCATTGGTAACAATATTTGAATGAAATTAAGTGATCCAAATTCAATGATTTGAGAGACACTGTCGTAATCATGGTTGATCCAATATACAAAATCATTGAAGTTCATGCACCTTCTCTTATCTTTAGGATTACAAAATTTGTATATGAATCGCATTATAGTTACTAAAAAAATCTTCTAATACAAACTATTGCATAATAACCATACGACATTTCTTTGTTTGTGAAGTGAGATTGGTTTTAAAAAATAAAAAAAAAGAAAGAAAAGTTAGTTTTTCTCTCCATTTGTACAATACAACCACTTAATTAAAAAGAATAAAAAGGTTTAACAGATTTGTCGGTTGCCTAAGAGCTTAAGTTTCATTTTAATTACCAAAAATCTCAAATGATATGTAAATTAAATATAAATTTTCACTAAATTCTTTTTATATGTCTTGATTTTGGATTGAGTAACCTCTTTTAATCTAATTTTTTGCATAAAAAATTGAGGTTTAAATAATTTCATCTTAAATCATAAGTGATGGTGTGATATTTTGAATAAAAATGTTTAGGGTTCGCTTAACGGTTCAAATAAAAATGCATAGTAATAACAATATTTTTCAACCACCTTTGTTTGTCCAAAATTTTTTGTGTGAAACATTTGAAATGTGGAGGAGAATTTTTTTTGAAGGCATTTTTAATAAAAACATCTTAAAAAAGGTTTTTTTTTTTTTTTGCATTTATTTTATTTTTGGTTTAAAAACTTTTTTAAGGTATTTTCCGATAAAAACGTCTTAAAAAAAGCTTTTTTTTCATTCATTTGAAACTTAGAACAAAATATTTTTTAAGGCATTTTTCAACAAAAACATCTTAAATAATCATATTTTATTTTATTTAAAGTGTTTCTAATTGAAAAATGATTTAAATAATATTGTTATATTTTTAAAAAAATAATTATTTAATCCTAGTTAGTTATTTAAAACATTTCCGATAAAAAGCGTCTTTAATAATTCTATTTATTTTTTAAAAAATCATTTAAGACGTTTGTTTAGTCCAATATTTATTTGAATAATAGTTTATTTAAGGTGTTTTTTATGTTAGAGGCATTAATTACAATATAAAAAAATTTAGCAATAAAAACTTATAATTGACTTGTAGTCACTTTTAAACATACTTTTCAAAATGATAATAACTATTTCGTATTTTTTTATTCATGTCAAATTTAAAAATAACACAATTTTTTTCTTCGAAATCCTAAAATATTATAAGGAAATATAGGTTTTTGATTTTGATACTTTGAATACTTTTAAAATCTGTTACTTTTTTTCAAAATCAAATTATTTTAAACTAAACATTAAAATCAAATACTTATTAGTAAAATTTCAAAAAAAATTTATGAATTCTTTCAAACCAAACAACTCATAATTTCGTTGCTTATTGAAGTTTGGACGACAGTAGTACTCTCTGGGTTTTGCTGCTTGTTAGATCAACTACTTTCTTTCTTTCTTTCTCTATGCCAATTTTATCCAATCGTTGAATAGTAGGGATCTTGACTGGTTGCCCCTCATTCCATATCTTCATAAATTAATCAATGTCAACATTTTCATACATACTTGATTCTTTTTGATCTACCAACTTTCTTCAAGTTAGGCCAACTATTCCAAAGTGAATTGTGATTTCAACTCCGCTTCTTTTATCTATTCCTTGATTATAACCAAAGCTATTGAGATATAATTAATTAAGAAGTTATTTATAAATGTTACGAAAGAAAATTTGTATCATATTGTGTGACACACCCAATTTCATATTAAAAAATTTTGTGAATATGATATATATATATATATGTAAAAACATAATCTAAGTTCAAATCTATGAAATATTTTTTATAAAATAAAATTATAATATTTTTAAGTTAAAATGAATAATATTTGATATGTTGAGTATGAATCTTTACAAATTGAGTATCATTTTGATATTGAATTGAAAGCAATGAAAAAGGATTTTCATTAGTTTGGGTGTAGATTTAATACTAAATCCATATTTCAACAAAGCATAAAATAAAAGATCAAAATGCTTATTCTTATTTGTATTAAATTGTATTTTTTATGTCTTAATTTTATTTTTATATTTTTTTTGAATATTTATAATTCTTACTTTTATATTTTAAAACTAATTTTATGATTTTTAAAATTTTTTATATTAAAAAATATGAAATTTTAATATTAAATAAATTAAAAATTGAAACAGAAAGAATAACACTTTTTAGCATTAACTTATTTTTACATTATAAACATTTTCTTCTATGGGAAAATTGAAGAGATTTTATAGTTATATGTAATCTCAAGGAAAAAAAATCATCATTAATACATCCCTTACTAAAAAATAGGTTGGAGCCCTCAAAATTTTGAAGAGCAAAATGTTTCATGGGAGTAGTGTACTCCTAGGTGCATGCATTTTTATGAGCCCAAAAAGGATTGTGTCAAAATACACATGGCAATTTCCAGAATCATGATCAAAAATTTTTATAATAATGATAACGGAATTTTTTCAAAGAATTTAAGAGATAAAGTTAATTAAACCTAAAATTGAGCAAGTTGGGTATGAAAGTATTATAGACTCTGAATTTATTTATTTATTTACGACATTACAGATGAATAGTATAGAAAGGATGAAGAAAGACGAAGTTAGCGTCAAAAAAATACAACATAAGTTCATACTTTTTAATATAAAAAAAAGGAAAACGATGAATCCTCCTGTTTTCAATCAAGTTGAAAGACAAAATTAATGGATAAAGTTTGTGCCCCCTTTAGCTAGGCTCAAGTTGGCCCAACTTTTGATCTTACGTTAAAATTAGAAGGATGACTTGTATCTAAAAAATTCATTTTATCTCATTTGATTTATGTTTTAAATTTTTTTTATTTTACTTGTAAAAAGCGAATAAAAGAAAAGACCGGGGATATTAAAGTTTTTATTCTAAATTTATTAAATATTATTTTTAAATAATTTTATAAATCAATTTAAATAAACTTCAAAATTCTAATTAACAGTTACTGATGAAAAAAAAAAAAAAAGAAAGGACAAAACCAAGGAATATTATCCAAAAACAGGTAGTGTAATTTTCCAAATCCCAATCATATTCCTGGAAGCTATCCACAAGCTGTTGCAAGCTAAGCAGTTGAACATCAACAATAAAAGTGGGACCCAACTTTATTTTTTTATTTTTTAATTAATTAATATGGGCAAAGTTGTAGTCAAAAAAGGATCCTTTAATTCCTCTTTTAACAGTAAACACAGAACCTTCTGGATACACAAATCTGCAAAATATCTACCGTTCGATCAATCCCCACCGTCCATCAACCTTATCTACCATCCCCTTCTCTTGTTTTTATTTATTCTATTACTACTTATTTTTTTGTTTATCTATTTGATTCAGTATTAAAAAAATAACAATTAAATAAATACAAACCATAAAATTTAAAAGCACCGGTTTCTGGAGAATTCTTGGGCCTTTGTGTTGTTGGGAGAGAAAGGGGGAAACAGTCTTTCTCTCTCTGTTTTTTTTTTTTTTTCTCCTCTTAAACCTTTACCTACACGGAAACATATGCTAAGGATTCCGTGTTGCAGTTCCACAAAGATGTAGTTCTAAGTCATGTCTATAAAATTATAGTCTTGTTTTGATGTTTATATCATAGGTGGGTTTGGCTTGGTTTCAAGTAATTTTGGTTCCTGGTTCCTGGTTCCTGGTTTTGTGTATTTGTGTTGGTTATAGGTTATAATCTGTCGACAAGAAAAGGACTTTTGGGATTGTTGTTGTTAGTTTTGAGTTGGGTTTCTGTCTTTGGTTGGTTTGGTTTTGAAGAATGGCAAATGGAGCAGAGAAAAACAATGATTTTTATGCAGTTTTGGGGTTGAATAAGGAATGCACTCCAACAGAGCTCAGGACTGCTTATAAGAAACTTGCCCTGGTTAGAGTTTTAGCCACCTTCTTTCAACCATCTTCCTTTTTGGTTCTTGTTTTCCCTTTTCATCCCACAATTCTATCAACTCGGTCTTGTTAAAATTGAGAAGTAAATAATAAAAGAACCTTTGAAAGATCATGGCATTTGATTTAAACTGTTTCAATAGTGGTCTCAATGTATACTTATGCATTTTGAACCTGGATTTCATAGTTCAGTGAAAAGTCTTATTTTGTCTAAGAAATAACATCCAATTTTATAAACCGATCCATCGGATTTCTGGGTCTTTAGTGTGACGTTGAAATGATGGGTTTTCCATAGGAAATCTGGGAAAATAGATAATTGGATAATGAAGAAGGAAATTTGACTTTATTTCCATTTCCATTGCGGAAAAAGAAATAAAAAAGATGGGGTTGGAATATTTCCCGGAAAAATTATGTGAATCGATGGAACATTTCTGTAGTAACAGCAAGTTTCTTGTTTGTGTTTGTTGGGCAGAGATGGCACCCTGATCGTTGCTCAGCCTCGGGAAATTCAAAGTTCGTAGAAGAAGCCAAGAAGAAATTCCAGGCTATTCAACAAGCCTATTCTGGTAATTTTTTCCTCGATGCAATTGCAATTTTCATGTTTATTTATAGTTTTAAAAGAATGGTTTTGTTGCATTATTTAAGTGGGAATTATTGGATTTACCTTCACCAGTTGCTGTTCTTCACTGACTTTTTAATTATTTTGTGCATGTTTTTCTGCCCTGACTTGTCATACAACAGTTCTGTCTGACGCAAACAAAAGGTTTCTGTACGACGTAGGAGCTTATGACAGTGATGATGACGAAAATGTATCTTTCTTTTCTGTTCTGAACATCTTTTTTATTTCTCTTTCACTTTCGTTTTGATTCCTCCTTGTGATAGATGAGATGAAGGTTGATCAAAGCAAAGAATAAATGTTTATTTTCCTTTTGTTATGCAATTTTTATTTGCAGGGCATGGGAGATTTTTTGAACGAAATGGCAGTGATGATGAGCCAGACAAAATCTAGGGTAAGCTTCTGTCATTTAGTTTAAACAAGGAAGAGATTCCATTGTTTTTTGGATCCAATTTAGGTCTCATTTTCATGTAAATGTAGAGCAAGTAATAGGGTAAGGGTTGCTTTTGGAAAATCCTAGGTATTAGCTGTTTTTAACCTTTATTTATGGCATTGCCTCTGTTTTAGTTGACAAAATAGATTGCAAATGGGCCAATTAGAGGTCACGAGTCCAAAATAAAAATGACTTTTTTGTAACCAAACTTTATTTTTTTGCTTTTTGTGGTTGATATGATCTATTATCTGTTTGGAATCCCATAAAATCCGTTAGAGTTGGTCCCATTATAGGGATTGGCCAAGGTCTCCTTGCCCTACGGGAAAGACACTTGAAAGAAGGACTTTGTGGACCTTTGGAAAGTGTATTTAATTAATTATATTTGTATGTTCCAAGCACGCTTTCTGTCGTGGGTTTAACGTTTTTAGGATTCATATAAATGTGAGAGAGGAAATTAACAATTAATAATACTTTTACCATTATGTTAATTGGATTGCATATTTAAAGTAATGCTGCTATAATATACAACTGGATGCCATTTGATGGTCCTAGAGATTTCAATGCATAGAGTAGAGAGATTCGATGCTTTGTCTAAAGATTAGTAACAAATCTTAATCTTGGAGAAACATAATATGGAATTGATGAAGGTAAATCATGATTTTTTGGCTGCTTTTTCACCCTTTCACCAAATGGCTCTAGGATTTACAAAGAGTTATTACGAGCTCCCTATTTCAAGACTGAAGCCTTGGCGAAAAAGAATGTTGGGGTCCAAAAGGTTGCAGATTCATGGGAAAATTAACACATTTTAAACTTTGATCAAACTTGGCCATTCCTAAATGCCTTAGAGATGTAGCACCGAGGAATCAATCACAATTTTTTGGGTACTTGTTTAATATTGAGGAATGTAATAGTATTTTTGACAAGTTTTTGAAATTTTGAACCTATAGGAAAATGGAGAGGAAAGCTTTGAGGAATTACAGGAATTGTTTGAAGAAATGTTCCAAGCGCACATTGATTCATTTGGATGTAGTGGTCAGCCCACTACATCCTGTTCTGCTGCATCTTCATTCGCGTCTTATGGTGAAAGTTCCAGTTCCAATAAAAGGAATTCCTCTGGTATTAGTTCTGAGGAGACTAGGGTGGAGAGTAATTCTAGCTTTGATGCACAATTTCACGGTTTTTGTCTCGGGGTAAGTGCAATACCTTCCTGCATATTATTATATTCTATTTAATCTGTGAATTAGCCTCATCAATTAATACAGTGTCATGGGCTCTTCTAAACGTTATAGTGGGAGTGGGTAAGTTGGATTCTATAGACCCCAATCTTCCTGAATTTTTATTTGACATATGTTGGAATTAATTTAGTTTACAAAATGTGCAGTTTGTTAATGCAGGAGAAATAAACTCAAGATGGCTCTAGTCTATTCCTAGCTTGACTAAATTGTATGTGCTGTTCACAAGCAGATTCATCATGTGATTTGATACATAGAAACTCGTTACATAGTGCTCTATTTTGGACTATAGATGCTCTATTTTGGACTATAGATCGGTATTTAGAAGCACTTACATCTAGTCCAGTCTTTTGGTTAATCTTTGTCAGCCTTTTATGTCAAGTTATGTGTCATAAAATAACATTACCGTTAAGGGAGCAAACAGTGGACTAGGTATATGAGATACGGTGAGAGATGGTAAGTGCTTGTATTTTGCTGTCTGTTTATCTCATTATTAACATGTTTATTCTAAAAGCATAGATTGAAACTGGATTAAGTATTTGGGCAAATTATATGCAAGTAAATTTGGCTGAGGTATTTGAAATACTTTCAAATTTTCTCCGCACCATCCTTTCAAGTAAATGTAAAATTCACATGGATGCAATTGTTTCTGATTGATATTTTGAAGACAGGTGGAGCACAAGCAAGATATCAGGCAAGAGAGAGGAGCCAAAGGAGGAATGCTAGGAGTAGCCGGCGTTAGTAGACGCAGAAATGGCAGGAAACAAAAGGTTTCATCTGGCCATGATGTTTCTTCCAACGACTATGGCATTTCTGCTTCATGATACACCAGTTTAGTAGTTGATTAATGCAAATTCAATCTGACCATTTTGGCCAACTTACCATATTGACTCGACCGATTAGGGAGATGAATGTGCATCCTGTGGCCAAGATTGAACCAGTGGGTGAGATTTTGCTCGTCATGGACAGTGCCAAGGCTGCAACATCACCACCACTAGGGAAGTCAAATCTATCGCAGGAAGATTAGCATGGCTGTTATACTTAAGCATCGCAAAGAAATGAGGCAGCTATTAGGGTTTTACCTTTGTTATCATGGCCTGTCTTGGTTTTACCTGTCTGGCTTTTGTAACCATGTCAAATGAATTTTCATCTGAAGCTGTATTTACTCTTTACCCTGTTTAGTACTCTATATAATGCTAATCAATTGGCTTCCATTTAGCCTATGCTAATTTGTTACTTCCCAGCACATTTGGCCAATAAGATGATCAAATATTAGTCATAAATTCTTGGGGTATAATCTTGGTACATCCTTCAATTCCAACACAACCGAAAGGGGGATGGGAAATTGAAATCATGCTCCATGTCTGCATTTTCGTCCACCACGTTACTGATTTTTACATGACTAAAATTGTTTCAATCGAGGAGGAAATTTTGGTTGATTGGTTCCAATCTTTGATTTTTTGTTCTTTTCTTTTTCATCATGCTTGGGCCAAGCAATTAAACTCAAAAGACGGCAATTCTTGCAGCTGCTGCTGGAATGCTCAGCCAAGAATGTGTCCAAAATCTTTTCTGATTGCTCTATGTTGTCCAAAGGTGAGGTGGCAATGTTGGGTGGGTCCAACTTCATGTGGTTGGGGACCCAGAAAAAGTTTTGCCAAATGCGGTGATTATAGCCAAGGCTTGCAAGTTGCACCACTCCACTTTTAACCCAAAAAGAGCCTCCTCCATCTGCTTTTTGTTTTGATGGTGAGAGATTTAGAGTATCCCCCTCCAGCTCAACATCCAGCATCACTTTTTGGTTTGATGAAGGCAAATAAAGTCATGGGCCCCAAAACCATAAGCCAATATTCCAAGTTGCCAAAAAAACTCAATGCCGAGTCCCAAGGGTCCACTTTTCTCCACATTTCCCATCGCTTTCCATCTCCCTTACAACTTGGGCAACTTGCAGGGTTTCTGTTTCTGATTATTATTATTATTTTCATTTTTCAAATAACAGAAAAAGAAAAAGAAAAAACTATTTCTGGTCTCAATTCAAGGGGGCTGTTTGATTCCATTTTAATGTGAAAAAAAAGTGGGGGATTTAAGTTGAATGTTCATCAAGTGGCTAAAATATCTAATTTTAAAGAATGGTTGAGAATTTTTGAGATTGGTTTGATGGTTTCACATGTCATTCATTTGTATGATTTGTAATTTTGGGATTAGATTTTGGGTCAGGTCGATGGATATTAAATTAAAATGCTTTATTTTCAACTGACCAGAATTGAATCTTGACCTAAAGCTAGCAAAGAACATTATTATCTTCAGAAAAATAATTCACAATAAATCTTCATTTTTCTAAATGATTACATAGATTATAGCATTGTAATTTTATTCAAAATCGTTTCTTTAGATATTAAAAAAAAAAAACAATAGTAGAAAACAAATAAAACAAATTAAAATTTTGAATAAAAAAAATTTATTATGCAGTCATCAACATCAAAGAAATTTAAATTTTAGATCTCAACTCCCATAAATTTTTTTTCCCCTATTAATAACATTCTTTTGAATAAAAAACAAACTAAAACATGGAAAACGTTACTACTAAACTGTATTTTTCTTCATTATAGCATGTACATTGAATTAAGCATGCCTTTTTGTATTGCTAAATGAATTTAAAAAGCTGAAAACGACAAAAAAAATTACATCAATTTTTAGATCAATTTATGGAACATTTCCATATAAACGACACCTTAATTCGAACTATTTTTAGTATGTGATCCTTGAATGAAACCCTTATCCAAATTCCAATATACAAAAGCTATATATTCCTTGCTGCGAAGATTAAGACATTTGCTAAGTATATGGTATCCATTCTATGTTCTTGTGCTAATAGTTTTGCCAAAGTTTCACTATTTGAAGCTGAAATATTGTGGCATTGGCCATTGGGAGAAAGTTATGATAATGATGGGAACTACTGACTAGATGTTGTAAAATATGGCAGTGAACAAGTTGAGTGGTTGGGAATTGGGATACAGCAAAATTTAAACAAAAGTACAAGTTGATGTTAAGTAATTTCATTGTTTTTTCTTTTTTTGGGGGGTGGGGAACATGATGTTAACCTTTGATTATTAGGGATACACTCAAGTTGACAATTTAAAGATAAAGCTGGTGAGTATCAAGTTGAAATAGAATGATAGTTGGAAATCATCTAGATTCATGACCTCAAGGATTGGTTTGGTTGACATGTTTCCCACTTGTGAGCAAGAGGTATTGGTAATTTGGTACCATGTTTTTCACGCAGAGGTTAGATTCCCAAATGATATGATTCAATCTTTAACTTTTTTTGTCTATAACAGAGTTTTCATCTTTGATCACAAGCAACATGCTATAAGTTGGAAAGATCCTAAATTTTAAATCGTTTTATATGTTTTTATAGGATTAATATCATTAATAGCCTCTAAGTTCTAATAAAATATTTAATATAATATTTAAAATTTAAAAAAATTTTATGTAATATTTAAATTATAAATATATTAATTAATATGATACTTGAATAATTATTTATTTATCATTTGAAATTAATTATATTAAAGATAAATATCATATTAATTAATAAATTCATAATTTATGAATTAAATTAAAAAATTTTAAAATTTAAGTATAATATGTAATATTTTACTATTAAAGTCATTTATGATATTAACTTTGTTTTCATATATATTAAATCTCGTATATTTATAGTTAAAATTGATTTTTGAAAATTTAAATTTAAAAGAAGAGAGTTGAATTTCAAATTTAGTATAAATAATACTGTCAGCAAAAAATTAAACATATATAAAATATACTAGCATATATTGATTCAATAATAGATAAATATATCTTCTCACTCAAAGCATCGAATTCAAATCTCTTTCCATTATCGACGAAGAGTAAGCCTTTTTAATTTTTTTTCCCCCTTGGGGTTGAAGTTTAATGGACCTAACACAGTGGTGAAATTGTTAAAACGACCACAGCCCCCACGAATGAAGGAGAGGCGTAATGGACCAAATAGTCAAATGGATAACCTTTTCCCAAAAGAAAAAAAAGAAAGAAAAACAAAAATGGCTAATGACTGACGTTTTACTTTCAGCGTGAGTTAGACAGTGGCTCTAATTTTAACTTTTGAACCGGTCAAGATGTAATCGAATCGATATAATGAAAAATTTGAGTTTAATTTTTAATTTGAAATTTGATATTCGATTTGAATTTAATTTTATTTTATTTTTTTTAACTCGATTTCGATTTATGATTAAAATTCGAATTCGTTCGATTAATATGTTAAAATAAGCTCAATTTTTATATTCGATAAGAATTTGATTATCTGTGCTCGAGCTCAAATTCGAATTCGAGATATTTTATTAATTAAAATAATAAAAAAAATTTAAATATTAAAGTTCGATTAGGCTCGCAAGCTACTCGAACTCGATTCGATCGATAAGTCGAACTACTCAAGCTCGAGCTCAACTCGATAATAATAAAACCGAATTCAAATTTTATTCGAATCAAACACGAATAATTTATGAGTACTAATATATCATTTACATATCTAATTGTGATATATGGACGACAAGATTCCTGTTAGATATTATTGGGCTTTGGGTTCATGCACCACGCAAACGTGTCGACCTTCATTCCGATGAATCAGTCAGTGCCAGCTCAAGCCCAAAGGCAGCTAGCTCAGCCTTGTCTTTCAGAGGTATTTGGGTGAAGAACTTTAGATCTAATGTTTAAAGACCCTGTGAAGAATTAAACTACTAAAGTCAACAAGAGAGGAATTGTCTTCCATTCATGTAAACACATTAGAAAGAATTTTCTTTCAAGCGGATTAAAGTTATATATATTTATGTAATGTACATCACTTGGGATTTGGGACATTCTGAAACATTGAAAAATATTATTCTTAATGCAGTAGTTACATTGCTAGAGAATTCAACAACCTATTTATATTGTCGTTTAGAAAATTGATATTATTGACCAAATTAAGATGCTTGATGACACAGACATTTGGTTTAAGATAGGGTCTCTTTCTTTGAACATTTGAGATTTGCATTTCTCTTTAGATTAAGATAAGATATACACTATGTTTGAATTGAGGGAAGAGAAAAAAAAAGAAAGTAATAAAAATATTTTTTTTTATTTGGATAAATTTTTAATTTAAAAAAAATGTGAAAACTCAATAATTTTTTATTTTCTTTGTAATCGTCATTTTTTTGATATTCCAATTTAGGAAAAAAGCTAAAAAAAAAAAGTTAAATTTTTTTTATTTTTATAAAAAGACTATTACATTTATTTTTTATCAATACTAAAAACCTAATAAAAAAAACCTAACAACATCATGATCATCTTGTAATTTTTTCAAAGTCATATCTTTTTTCAAGTAAATTTTACGTGTCTCTTCAAATATAAAATTTTTTTATAATTTTTTGATGATTTGATTTTGATGAATGATCGAATATGAATATATATTTTTTTTATGTTTATAAGATGTTAAACTAGCTCATAATAATCATCAATGCATATTTATAAAATATCTTATTATTTTACTTGATTAAAAATTATTAATGTAACAATAATTGTGAGATCAGATAAAATAATAAATATATCATGATTTATGAGTGTTTTAAAATCATAAAAAATAAAATATTATAATTAAAAAATTTTATTATAATAAATTTTTTTTATTTTTTTTACTTTTTATCCAAATAATAATTATTAAGTTTTTTTATTAATTTTAATTATCTAAATAATGGATACATATATATATATATATTTAAAAAACTTTTGTTTATTAATATTAATTCAAATATAATGACAGCAATACAAGCTAGGATGACCCGACCCATTGATTCCTTGTTTGAATTTTGAGAACAAGACAGTTTTGGAAAGTGTTGGAAGCCTCCAAATGATAATATTTTAATTATGCTATATAGTATCTTTGTAAATTTATTTTTTAAAAAAGTAAGCACAGTTACTCTTCATTCCCGTGAAAAATATATATATATAAAGCAATTAAATTACATTATTATATATCTCTTTTATTCCAATGATATTATATAATTATATTATTGAAAAAATTAATTATTTATTATAAAATAATTTATTAATTTATTAAAAATGATGATAAATAATAATTTTTTAATAATATAATTATATGATATAATTAAAATCTAAAAGATAAATGTTGACGTGTTGTAATGATTTTCCTTCCATTCTCATAGCCTGTTTTTTAGCACATGTGGCATCATCATTATTATTATTATAAAATTGGATTATTACAATAAAAATTTAATCTAATCTATTTTTTTTTCAGCAGCAAAAGGTGGTAGCAGCTAAGGCTAGCTAGATGCAAAATCCTAGTCACGTGACAGATAAGGAAGTTCACACCAACCCAACTCAGCATCCAGTGTTGGTGGATCTACATAGATTTACTTCAATCTTATCCCATTGACGTGTAAATATTAAATCTATCAAAGTGGGGGCCCCATGTTCCCACCCACTTGACCAAAGTCCATTTTCTCCCACTTTTTTGCTAACGGCTCCCCTCCCCCTATCACTTTGGAGCCTTACTCCTCATCTCTCCTCTCGGCTTAATTAATTTGCTATAAATTTTGAGTGCCCCATTTCCATTTTACTTTTTTCGGATTATTTTTTTAATCTTAATCTAGTTTTAATCTCATTCCTTATTTAGTTTAACTAATTTAAACAAGACATAATTTTCATAACCCAACCAAAAATGCATGTTTTTAAGCTAATATTGAATTAATAATTAATTGAGTTTCAAATGTGCATTAATTTTATGTCACAATCAATTTCATTTTATTCCAATTATAATAAGAATCGTTAATGATATAATTTAAAATTTTAATAAAAATTATGTATAAATTTATTAAAAATTAAAAAATATATTTTATATTTAAAATATCAATATAAAATTAATATAATAATTTTTTAATTTTACATATAAATAAAAAATATAATATAAATAAATTTATAAATCATCAAATCTAAATTGATTAAATTACTCTTCTTAGACAGTATCCCAATTTAACCATGCTTCGTTTGATGGCTCCAAATGAAACAATATTAGCCGGAGCCATGCAGCCCAAATTTAGCCCTCATCAAAATTTAACTTCGCACCTTATCCATTCCTTCTCTCCCCCTCACCCCTTCCTCTATAAAAAACCCTAATCCACCATTTCCGCTCCGAGAATTAAAAATAAAACTCTTTCAACATATCCCCACCAGCTCGCCAAATCTTCCCTTTTCCGTTTCGTTCCTTCCCCTCTCTTAGTAACAGTCGTTTCGGCGGAGTCACAAAAACAACAACATCAACAACAAAAAAAGATATATATAGCAACGAACTATAAATATCAAATAAGTAATCTCTTGTTTGTTTTGTTAACGGCTTTTTAACGGGTGTTGCGTTATAGAGAAGAGCTGATCATATATCGATCATGGGGTTCCTACAAAAACTTTGGGACGAAACGCTTGCCGGGCCTATGCCGGAGACCGGCCTCGGAAAACTACGAAAGTATGATTCCTTTTCTGCCACAAGATCATCCCATGCTCCTGTTGTCGATGGTAATAAGATAAGGGTAACTAGGAGCATTACGATTCTTAAGAGTAACTCTGGTTTTAGAAACCTATCTGTGGAGCCGGGTTCGGCTCCGGATTCTCCTTTCGGGTCTAGCACTCCTGGGACACCTTTGTCACGTAAGTCTATTTTCATGGTGGTCATCACTTGTTTTCTTTCTTATTTTCTTTAATTGACTCGTACGTCATAGTGGCAAAGGGTTGTTTTGTTTCTTAGTTTTTGTCCATTTTTCTTTTGAAGAAAGAAGATTTGAATGTTGTTCTTTTTTAAGATTACAAGAGATCATCTATACACCAATCAATTAAACCAAATATTCAAATATAATAGCATTAATAATTTGTTTTTCCAGGTTTAAGTTTTGAAGTTTTGGTAATTGTATGTACTTAGAACATGTGTTAATGGTTGCAGCGGGGACACCACGTGGGGATTTCGGGAGATTCACGAGAAGAAAATCGTCAGCTGAAGCACTTGAATCCGCTGAGCCTACAAGTCCAACTGTTTACGACTGGTTCTCTCTCTTTGTTTCCTATTTATATATATAAACATATTCTATCTTTGCCTTGATCAAATTTCTTTCACCCTTAGCCCCTTGGAATAAACATGATCATTCAAACAAAAAAAAAATTTTGGAACATGGCTTGAAATTAGGTGAATCTTGACTCAAACTAGTTTCTTAGAAAAAAAATAGTCCATAATTTTGTTGGTATATATATTTAACTAAGTGTCTTTTGTAATTTGTGTTGATATTGTAGGATTGTGATGAGCGCTTTGGATCGTTGAGGGAGGAAATTGACGATTTTTCTTTTGAAGAATCAACATGTCGAAGAGACTTTTGTACATAGAGAAACCTTGGTGGAAATTTCATTATATATCTTAAGCATCTATGCAAATATGATATATCTATATATCAATAAACCCTATATTAAGTTAATAAGTTGGTTACAACAATAAGACGGATTGAGTGATTGAATGAACAATCCCGACCGATCGAGAAAATCACTGCTTCTTGGAGTTTCTGAGAGAGGAAAGCCAGACGTAGGAGAGGCTATTTTGAGCATGTATAAATCTTTGTTGGCGAGCTAGAGATTTTTTTTTTCTCCATTTTTTGTACATATGATTTTCTTGTTTTCGTGTCTTGGCTTTGCTATGTACATAGAGATCTGTGTACATTTGAATCCTCTTCTAATGAAACTCGTTAATTTGCAGCTTGAAAAAAAGATGTATGGAAATTCTACGTCATCTTATTAGATTTTGATACGTACTTTTCTAAGTTTGTTTTGGTTTTGTGCATTTTTATCATTCATTGTCTACTTTTTCTTGTATGCGTAATCTTCTTTTTCACTCTCATTTTGCCTGATTTGCTCTCGGGAAAGTGGGGGCAAGAAAAAACCGAAGCAGTCACTGCCACCAGTCATTCTCCACTAGCTATACATGAGATAAATCTAAATGGACTTTGTAAGTTCCCTCAAAATTTGTCCATGCAAATCGACCACAAAAACAACTTGGTTTAAGTAATCATTTGACAAATATTCCCTCACACTTGAAAATTTTGATCTCAAGATATAGCTATATTTGATCAACAAGTTAAAACAAAAAGTGCTAATTGTCTAAATTAGGTCGAATTTGAGCTTAAAATTTTTTATTCAAAACTTCAAGTCTTTAACTCACAAACTTGACAAGCTGTCTGATTCACTATCAAATCTACATATTGGGACAAGAACATATCCATTGAAATTTCAAAATGATATCAAAATAAACAAAAAGACATGGCCTGGTCATTATTATTGTTTTCTCTCAACATGAAATTAAGTTGAGAAAATTTAAGGTTCAAATCTTTCCTGCCTTTAGCTAATAAACACAATGAAGCACAAGAATTGTTGTAATTAGCTGGTAGTTCTGAAGCCGCTAGGAATATATCAGATGATCTTCTTTCTGCAGCCTTTATGACTTTGGATGTTATTAGGCACTAATATAATTTAGACCATACGCCTATATCAACTGTGATCATTTATATAGAAGCAGCCTGCAAATTATATGCATACTTCAAAAAATTATTTTTATTAATAAAGGACTGAGCATGCATCAACAAACCCAAATGAAAACTATGAAGACTTTAGTGTATAAGTACAACCCATAATTCAACAAAAAACGATGGCGTTTTCCGTCGGTTGCCCATTTAAATTTTAAATCGGATAAAAACAAGGAGGTACAACTACTAGGCCGGCAACCCTTTCACGCCGGTGAACGATAATTCCCCAATCGAATCCTTCCACCTCACCCTCCGTTTTATACATCCTTCACGGCTTCACCGAAACCGTCATTTCCCCTCTTTCCCTCCCGTCAACTGATAGAAGACACCAAAAGAATCAAAATCCAAAAATAAACAATAAACAAAAAACCATAATTCTCTCTCTCATTGAAACCTAATTTTCTTTTTCTATTTTCCTTTTTTTTTCAAATTATTGAATTTCCTGGATCTCCATGGAGGAAGACGAGGAGATCCAATCGCACCCGTCAGCTTCCGCTACCGGATCTCTCTCCAGTCGTCACCGTCACCGTCACCGTCGTGCAACGGTCGTATACCGTTACGGTAACCAATGCGCCTCCTTCCAAACCATCACCACCATATGAGCGTCAGCAACATGAAAACACGCTTACACTGGCGCTTCCGCAGCCGCAACAACCGAAGAACAACAGCGGCGGAGGTGGAGGCGGAAGAGAAGACTGCTAGAGCGAAGGTGCAACGAGGGTTTTAATCGACGCGTGCGGAGACAGGTGTTTGGAGCTGAGCCGTGGGAACTTGAAGCAGAAGCATTGGCAAGAAGTGGCAGACTCCGAAAATGGATATTTAGTGTAAGAATCGAATCGATACGGTTAAGAAGAAGTGTAAGTTAGAGAAAGTTAAGATTGCAGCTGGAGGTGGGCCGAGTAAATGGGTCTTTTTCGAGAATTTGGATCAACTTACGGGACCGACGGCGAAGATTGCTTTTAATGAGGCGTGGTAGTGGTGGAAGTACTGGCTTGTTGTTTCAAGTACCAATGGGGATTCTGGTTGGGATCCGGTCCAATTTTTATCCATTTCGAGTTTCTCAACTTCAAGAAAGGCGACGACAACGACAACAAAAGCAACCGAGGATGCTTGTATTAAACAATCAGAACAAGATGCAGCTTAGGAAACGGGGTCCCGTGGATACGAATTCCCATAAGGACGAGGAGGAGGGGGAAGAAGCGGATTAATTGGATAGTTTACCGCCGCCTCGGACGAGGAAGAGAGCGAGAAGGGTGGTTCATAAGGGTGTCAATTCAGGGGGAAAGGAAATGAAATGGGGAAATTCGGTTAGGGAATTGACTCGGGCAATATTGAGGTTTGGGGAAGCTTAAGGGTAGGCGGAGAGTGCAAAGCTACAACAGGTGGTGGAGATGGAGAAGTAGAGGATGAAGTTTGCAAAGGAACTGGAGTTGCAGATGATGCATTTCTCCATGATGACCCAGCAATAGATTTCACAGTTGAAGCATGGGAGAAAGAAGTGGTGGAATTGGGAATTCTAGTAATCAGCATAGTAACATTAATAATAGCAATAATAATAATAATAATAACAACAGCAACAATAACATTCATGAAAGTAGTAACTAAATTCAGTAGGTTTTTGTTATTGGTTTAGAGGTTAGAATTAGATTTTGTGTTATCTTGGGTAAAGACCCTAGATTTGTATTTGAATTGGTAGTTTTTTAGTATATTTTTATACTTGCTTTATTGTAATTAATTAATCACAATCTAACTTTAAGCAATGTCAAGATAGTGATTAGATGCTTAATTAGTTTGTACCCAAAGAAACTTCTCTTTAAATTCATTGTGAATGTAGTTGGATATTATCAAATCAAATCTGTTGATGACCGCGTTGCTTGTGTGTGGTGAGCCAGTTGATGACTGCCTTCCAGTGTATACTACACGGTTCCTCCCAACCTTAAGTTAGTTTTATCATACTTGCTGCAAGCATAGAATCTTCTAGTTGCATCCGAGTGGATTCTGGAGCAATGCTCTGGTTCACTGCTTGCTGATAGTAATGTTTTCCCAAACTAATCATATGCAATCACTAGAAATGATCGATTAGTTTACTATGTTTGTTTTCCAGAATGCCAAAGAGTAGAAAACTTGCTTTGAACTGCAATGTTGTGCTAGCCAGAAGCTAGGGTTTTGGTGGATTGTCTCCTTACTGATATGCCAAGCGAAACCAATAGTACGGTCGTGCATAAACAATGAAAATATCATTTAAGGACCCTGATAATAAGGCAGCTATAACTCACTCTTCTAGCGTAAATGCAGCATATGTTAGGATTTAGAAAGAGATGAAAATGAAGCTGGTCATACTAAACCAGCATTAGCGAATAGCTCAGATGCTAGTAACCGCAAATTTCCGACCATATATGCAATGAGAAATCTCTAAAAGAAGTCAGCGATTGCTATTTCTTTCTAGCTTAAATGTATACTTCCAACTAGCTTTTTCATCCATGCCAGACAAGCCATGTTACCAACATATATAAACTGTCAGACATTAATGAAAAGAAAGCAATCTTAGCAAAGAGCACGTATAATGGACAACGAAATGTTGACAGTTTCTGTTATGCCTCTGTATTGAAAATTAAGAGTGGTGGCTCACCCAATCAAACAGAGAAACCTAAAGATATCAAAGTTAACATAGATGCCCAAAACAGGGTTGATGATGGAAACAAATTGATGCCGTTAATCCTAGATAATTATTTGATTGATAAAAAAAAAAACCTAAAGATATTGGCTTTGTAAACTTGAACTTATGGACTTTGATATGGATATTGAACAATACAAGTACATAGGCTCCGCTAACTTAAAACTTGTGGACTTTGACATGGTCATTGAACAATAAAACTATATGAGACTAAAGCAGCGTCTCTTAGACCAATGATTTATATCCAGTATAGCAGAAATGGATACCCTATTTTTCTTTTCCCAAAACAGGAAGGCAAATGGAATAAAAGGAACTGCTAAATTGATATCAAATACCATATACACATGCGTTTAGATATCGTAGTAAGTAGTCAGGTCCTCCATCAAGAAAAAGCATTTGAAAAAAAAAAAAACAAGTTCAAATATGAGAAGATGAAGACTTGTCCAAAAAAGATATATGAGAAGAAGACACGAGAGTTAATATGAGTAGTTCAAAATTCAAAAAAAAAAAAAAACTTATAAGAGAATAGTGGCAAGTTTGTTTAATTGTATATGAACCATGATGATATAGTTGAAGTAAATGAGAAGAGACATTATCTGATTGAATTTCTTTTCTCTAGTAATTATCAGGGAAGAAACATCATCAAGGTGAAAACTTTAAATCCGTCGTATGGGTTATAGAAAATACTAATTCTTTGATTGATGAGATGCATTTTTATTAACTATAACTTAGTAATTGTTTAAGGAATTGACTATAAAGTTTGACGACAAAAATTTTTTTCTTTAGTTGAATCTGATGCTGTAATTCTTCATTAAATCAGATGATTACCTTAGAAAGGGGAGCAAATCTAATCCCATGATAACAATATGTAACTTTCAATGACAAAATAGTCAAATAATGGCCCAAACCATAAGAAAAGACGGAAGATTGTGGAATTCTTCACCCCTCTTTTGACAATCTTTTGGCACTTACGTCCCAGAATATAAATAATTCAAATACTAATATATTTTGATATCATAAGATTTCTTTTTGTCTAAAGCAAAACAGAATCAAAGTTGACAACTTTGAAATCGCAAACATATCGAGAAAATCCAGGCAAAGCACATAAGTGGGAAAACAAATAAAAAAAGGGTCACAGTAACAAATCTCAAAGTCCAAGTTCAATGATGTCAATTGTTGGAGACAAAGCCAAATAAGCAATCACAGTTACTTCGAACTAAATAGATAAGCTCCTAGTTTTCAAGCAATCGTGTAATATGCTTTTGCTTAACCTTTCAGTCAAGTGTCAGCTATAGAATTTTCTTTCTTTTTTTGCGTAAAATCTTAACCACCATAGAAAATTCAACAACCCCAGTTCTCGAATCATGAAAACAGCTATATAATTAAAAACCTAGTAAGGATTATGACTCTATATAAGCTAGAACTACAGAGAAAGTTGTTATCAAGTCAAGCTGAAGAATGTAAGTGCTCAACCAGGGCTCTAAAGAGCAGAGAATAAACTTTGATTGGTGGCACTAAAAACCCCAGAAATTTAGAGAAAGAAACCTTGCTTGCTGAATTATGGAATTCAAGCTGAACTAACCAAGCATTCCATGCTTTTCCATTTTTTTTTTCTAATATTGAGTAGGGTATTCATGCTTATTTTTGGGTATTATTTTATAAATTTATATTTAATGTATATAAATATTATGTATTATTAATATATTATAAGTAATCTGTTCAAAATTATATATTATTAAATATTTAAATTTTGAAAAAATATATTTTACAAATTTTAAAAATTTAAATTTACTAATTAATAATATGATAATTTATAATGTATAGTATAATATAGCATTTATACAGCATCAAATATTATTTTTTTATTATTAAATAATAAATTGCTTCATTATTGGTGTCTCATCTTATTGATAATAAAAGATAGTAAATTTCACAAAGGAAAATAATTTATTAATTATTTATTTTGTAAATTTAGTAAATTAATATAAATGAATAAAATTTTAATAAATTATTAATCCATATTCACTTTCGTTATACTGGTATATTTTCTATAAAAAAAAAAAAAATCATGTGACACCGACTATTAAGGAGTTGGGGACATAAAAAATTTCAAACCTAAGGTAGCTGTGAGAAGGATGATATGAATTCCAAAGTCATGCTCATGATTCAATCAGGACCTTCAAATTTTTAAACGATTTTGGATGGCCTACCCATTTACCTGCAATTGATGGTTACTGATGGCGACCTCACCAACGCATCTTTCAACTCATTAGTCAATCACAGCCGTTAAATTTGTTTATCATATGGCCTGTTTATTTTATTAAGAACTAATCTAACGATTTTTTTTGCGTTAAATTAAATCCTTAATCTAAGAATCATATCCAAATGTTGTGCTATTAGGTGTTTCGTTGTCAATAATAATCACAATCAATTGGTAATTATCATAACTTAATCATATGTTCGGTAGAAAACTAAACCGACAAAATTACATGCCTTCCAATTCCCAAATAAGATTATAGTAGTTGGGTTTTACTTTTTGTTTTTCAATTTTTAATTTTAAAAAAAGTCAATAATTTTTATTTGAATTTAGAGGATTAAAGTGTCATTGATAATTAAAATTCAATAAATAATTGTATTTAATAAATAAAAAATTATAACTCATTTAAAACAAATTATGTGTCAAGATTATAAAAAAATCTTGATTAAATAATTAAATTCACTTAAGTTATCCTAAATGAACTCTTTCTAGTCTATATAATACATATGTTGTAAATATACAATATTAATTTAATTGTAGATGGAAGAATAAAAAAAAAAATTATATTTATAATTTGAAACTATCAAATGTTAGATTTTAATTATTGAAATTAAGAATGTAACATTCTACCAACATGATAGATGGCTTAAACTATATTTTTAAGATAAATATTTTTTTTGATATTTAAATTTATTAAAATTTAAATCTTAATTATTGAAAATAAAAATTTAATATTTGACTTCAATCATATACATTAATTACTGAATCAAATATTTGGATATTATAAATATATTGTAGTTATATTTTGTTTAAATGATTTATTTAGTAACTTGCCAACTTGAGCACTTAATAAAAATATTGATTCTAATAACTATTTGATAGGCCACTCTTAATTATATTTGATATATAGAGTCAACTACATTTAGCCAATTTCTTAACAATAACAAATTAAATATTACAATAAAAAAACATAATAGGAGTAATGGTATAGTTCTTTTTTATATATACAGCATTTAATTCACAAAGAACTATCTATAGAATGGAATCAACAACATTCTATGTATATACGTTTAAGTAACCGAGTTGTTGTAGACCAACATATTTTATGCATAACCATGCACATTACTCTATTTTATAAATCCAAGTGACAAACCTTCAATTCCTAAGATAAAATTAAAATGCAAGACTAGAAGAATTTCTTTAAATTGTATAACATAACTTTATTTTTAAAAAAATTGCAATAAAAATCATTGACATGGTAAAGGACTGTATGTGCTTAATTATATCTAACTGCCAATCTCTCCGTTGGCATAATTGATAAATGGATAGGGGCAAAGTCATTTCGTAGTGATTTGTTCTTCTATTGATATTATTAACCAAATACTAAATTCTTGATGGGCAGACGTTAGGTAGAAAATCAGCAATAATTTTGTTGGGTAGAGGGAGAAAGAAAATTTAATTTCATAAACAAACAAACAAACAAACAAACAAAACCTCATTGTTGATTGATCACACTTTTTTTTCTTTCTAAGTTTACTTACCAAAAACAAATTTCCTTCAAAGGTTACACTTTGGGTGTGAATAAAAAAAAAAAAAAAAAACAAGTACACTCTTGCAAATTTTTTTAGTCAGAAAACACTAACTCTGGTGGTCCTGCCAAAAGTTAAGAGTATGGCCTTGTGATTCTTGACGTATGCACTATGCTCCCTTTATTCGTGGTGCTTCTTTTTTTTTTTTTTTTCTTTTCAATTACTTAATATATATATTTTTTAATAAAAAGAAAGAATTGGGAAACAAAAATTTACAAATCGGCAGAAATAAAGTTTCAGTTTTACAAAAATCTATCTTCTAAAAAATAAATAAAAGCTTCATGTTCAATTATGTAATATATTTTTATTATCTATATTAAACTTAAAAATTTAAGGATTCTTTGAAAATTATTCTTCACCCTATATATATTAGATAATTAATTAAATTTATAATTTGACGTTTCAAAAAGAAATTTATAATTTGAAGTGTTTAATCAAGAAGTGAAAACGAAAGATTTAGATGATAAAAATAGTTTACAATTTATAACAAAAAAAATCTTATAATATTACCTAAATTTTAATAAAAGCGTATCAAAGACATCACATTCACCAAATCCATATTTGTAAAATAATAATATTATTTTTATCAGCATTGAAAGGAGTTGGCCGAGCAATGAAATTGGTATTCAACAAAAGTTCGGTGACAAATGTCAAAGGGTGATTGGATCATAGCATGCCAAAAACAAATGAGGGCAATATAGTAAACTCACATGAAAGTAAAACTGTTTTTTTATTGTGGAGAAAAACCGGGGTCAGTGCTTGAACCGCACGATAAGTCCGTTTTTCACGGTTTCCTTTCGATCTCACTTTCAAAACTTTTATTTTAAAAAGAACCGTTAAAATTTTACTCTTAAAACATCCTTCCCGCTTTTGAGAAACGTAGACAGCTGGACATGCCTTGATTATGCTTGAAATGACCCAAATATCCCCATCTCCTAAAATGTGGTCCATTCAATCAATCACCTATTCCCCTGGTTTATGGACAACTATACCCTCCATTAATCACCAATTTAGAGGAGGCGTGGAGCCATGGATCTATGTTTCCAACATTTAATTAAGTTAATTCGAAGTGATGCTCAATAATTTTAAATTTTATAATTATTTTTATTTGTAAAAAAAATAGTATGTGATAAAAGATGGCATATATTAGGTGTTGAAATTTAGCCATTAATAAAAGTAAAATTGAATTTTTTCTTTCAAATATGAAAATGAATATAAGAGTGTAGCTTAGAAAGATTTGCATATTTGATCATTCGATTTAGTAATAAATACATTATTCTTTTATTGAAGAGTTTGATTTAAATTTTTTTTGTTTCGACAAAAAGTATATAAAATTTTGTTGACACATTACAAATATCTATTAACATAATATTTATAAATATATTCTTACAATAAATATAGTGGTTGACCAATAATTTGATAATTTACAATGCATTAAATGAAGATATTATATTTAATAATAATGTTCAAGCTTTGGAAAAATTTATGGAAAAATCTTTTTATTACTTCATTTTTATGAGATCATGTTGTACAATAGTTTTTTAGTGTACCGTTTTTAAAAGATTATGGATGGTAGGTGGATTGATTTTAAATTTGATTAAATTATAAATACAAGAAAGTTAGTATCACAACCTCTACTTATTAGGTTCTACCTATACAAGTTTTTAATTAAGAATTTATGTTTCTTTTGTATGCAAGATCAAAAGATCTAACTACCAAATTAAATAAGCATCCAACAATGCAACTAAAAGCAATGGTTCTTAAATTTGAGAATTGTTGGTGCTTATTATCATGTTGATAGGATCAAGTTAATTTTATTTTTATACGATTTGTTTAATACATATGGATAAAAATTTTAAATTTTTATTCCATTAATTTATATAATTATTTTTTAAAAATAATATTTAATAAATTTAAAATTTAAATTTCAGTAGTTATAACTATTTTGTTTATTTTTAAATATAATATTATTTATAAAAAAAATAATATGCATAAAGAAAAACAAAAAATATGATATAATATACGATTTATCCCTTTGTGTTAATCCAAACAAATAAATGGAAATAACAATTTAGTCCACCTCTTATCGTTTTCAAGTTCCAAATTTTTAACGACTTGCCTAATTTAGATATAATTCTTAAAATTCGATTTTCATTAAAAAATTTTAAATCTAAAAATTTTATTAAACATAATCAAATTTATTTAAAAATATTTGAATATTTAATTCAATAATTAATGTATAATTTTAGCAACATTTGAATTCGCTTTTCCAAATAAAAAAATGCTTATGTGAGATTTCATATTTTTCTTAAAATCTTCAATGAGAATAAATCGATGCAAAATCTATTCCAAGTATTTAAAATTTAAATAGATGGGCTCTTTTTTATTCAAATCACATAACAAAAAAATTTAAAAAAATCTACATTTTAAATCTAATCTTATATAATTATATCAAAAAATGAAAATTCTAATGTTGTTCGTAAAAAAAAAAAAGAAAGAAATTTCAAATATTAGAGCCTAAAACTGAAAGGAGAAAATTGTAAACAAAAATTGAAGCATATTTTTGTAAATACACATTAGTAGCGAAGAAGAGTCATCCATGTTTCAAATTCTTGAGTTAAAACTACAAAAGCACAAAATACATGGAAACAACAAAAAGCGTTGTCCCGAGAAAAACATAATCTCTTTCTCTTTCTTTCTCTCTCTACTGTATCTTTTTGGACAGAGAGAGTAGTGTAGAGAGAGAAAGCAAAGTCACCTCCACTTAGAAAAAGAAAGAAAAGATTGCGATTTGAGAAATGAGTAAAGCATAAACCATCCTGTCATTCTTAGGGTTTTCTTCAAACTTACAAAAAAAAAAAACCATAAAGTTGAACTCTTTAACTTCATCATGTAAAACTACAACAACGAAAGAAAGAAAAAAGAACCACCCAAATGCAGGTACCCATTTGAGAGTTGATTCTGAGGATCCGATTCCTTACTCCAAGATCTCACCATTTTTTTCTTTTTTGAGGTAACTTTTTTTCTTTCTCAAACGATCCAACCCTCCCATTTTCACATTAAGTAAAGTTCAGTTCTTTCTTGGGTTTTTTTATTGTTAAATGGTATTTGTTTTGCATTTTATGTTTTGTTTAAGTGGGTGGTTTTAGTCCTGTTATCTTGGTGCTTTCATTTTCAATTTCTGTATCTTGGGTTTTATGGGCTTAGTTTAGTTTATTTTAGTACTTGAAGTTCTGCCTTTTGGGTGGAATCAGATCTGGTTTGTGTCTGGTTTATATATCTGATGAATGGATTTCTATTTTGGTGCCAAGAGTTTTATTTTTCTTGGTGCATTTTTTGTTTTTCATCTGAATTTTTAGATTGAGATCCATTTTTTAAAAAATTTTTTGGCAAGTGTTTGGGGTCTAAAATTGGTATTTTTTTTTCTTAAAGTTTTTGGGGCTTCTAATTATCTTTACTCTTAACTTTTTTGTTAGTATAATGTCTTTTTTTTTTTTTTTCGTTTTGTTTTAAGTGTGAGTTACTCCTGTTAAGGTATTGGTTTCCTTGTTTGATTTGCACATGCAGGGTTTAATAAATTAGAGTTTTAATTGTCAGTGAAATTATTAGATAATATAATCTTATTTGGGATCTTTTTTGTATGATTTGTTTTTCGTTTATATGGTTTTTCCCTGTTTTACTCCAGAATCTGCATTGTTGCTTTGAAGTCTTATGTTTGAAGTTATGCTGATTATGGCACCACACAGTGGCTTCTTGTTGTGCTATGAAGCATATTTGTGTACGTGAAGCATTAGACTAGGGAATTTTGTAAATATCATAGAGAGAAGATGAAATCCGACACACTTCTTGATTTTGCCATTTTCCAATTGTCACCAAAGCGCTCACGGTAAGGATATCATTCTATGACTTTTTGTATTGCTCCTAATTTTCTTTTTACTTAAAACCATTGCTATTTTTTTTCCCTGTGGGCAGATGTGAATTATTTGTTTCCAGCAATGGTATCACAGAAAAGCTTGCTTCTGGGTTAGTAAAGCCATTTGTTACTCATTTAAAGGTGGCAGAAGAACAGGTTGCACTTTCACTTCAATCAATTAAGCTTGAAGTTGAAAAGAGTAAAAATGCGGAGACTTGGTTCACAAAAGGAACACTTGAGAGGTTAGACATTTTCAATAACTGTGTCATTTCTTTCCATTTCATGTTGATATTTTTGGCTTCATATTTTGATACTATTGGCATTTGTTTCCAGGTTTGTGCGGTTTGTTAGTACACCGGAGGTTTTGGTGGTGGTGAACACATTTGATGCAGAGATGTCTCAGTTGGAAGCAGCTCGAAGAATATATTCCCAGGTATTAATGGCCTTCATCTATGGCCTATGGGGAAAGCTTTGTTTTGTTAATTTGATGCAGTTTTACTTTACAATTGTACTGAATCTTGGAACCATTATGTTTCAGGGGGTGGGAGATCAGCCTTCTGGCGCATTAGGTATGTTTTATTTTCCTTTGTTTCTATCATGAATGGATTTCTTTTACTGACTTTGTTAACTTTACAAGTTATTTTGGTTTTGTCTTATGTTTCTGCATTCAATTTATGTCATGCCTTGAGAAGATACTTTATAAATCACCATGATTATAAATTACCATGGATGGTTATTCTTGTTTCCATTTATCAGACACTTGATCTTGTGTTTGCTCTTACATATGTATAATTAAGTCTGCCTATAAAGTAATTGAATTAGCGTTTCAGTTTTTGATACAACTGTTAATCATCATTCTTTAGAGCTTGATTGAGATGGGCAATATTTAGGTAAAATCTCGATGGGTTTGTATCCCTGTGGCAAGTCATTGTTGAAAACTAACAGTGTTTGGATAATTTGTGATAGGTGGGGATGGTGCAGGACTGACGGCAGCCGCTGATGCAACAAAGTAACTTTATTTATTTTTTTTAAGCTTTTACATGTCTGTGGTGTTATAATTTGTTTGACTGAATTGTGATTAATTAAAATGGATGATTGTGACATCAAATACTGCTTCACATACATGTTTTGAAAACTGTTAAGTTGATTTCTTTTGAAACTTTATAACTGCTAGACATTTTCTATGCTTTAAGCATTGAAGGGATTGGCAGTGAAGTTAATGATCAGAGATGGGCCCTTTGATGATTGATATATGCTGACATGCTCAGGAATGCAAGGCTGGCCTGCCTTTTCTAGTATTAGGAAGTTTGGAGTTGTTACAAGTAGAATTTATATAGGACTGTACAGAAACTATTGAAATGATTAAGTTTCACTCTTGAGATGTGAGCTGGTTGAATAAAACATTGCTTAGGAAATATTGATTTTAGCTATGCAGAAAGAATATTGCCTGAGTTATTGCATTTGTTAATTGTGGAAATGGACAGGAAGTTGCTCTGAGTGCCTGAAAAGTTCCATCCCAAAACAGCTGTTATTGCTAAAATTGGATCTTCCATTTGCTTCATCACCTATGCTTTCTAATTTGATTGTTGTATGTCCAATTTGCACAGGAGGGAGCTTTTAAGGGCTATTGATGTACGACTTATTGCTGTTCAGCAGGACTTGGCAACAGCTTTTACTCGTGCATCTGCTGCTGGTTTTAACTCTGACTCTGTATCTGAACTCCAACAATTTGCAGATCGGTTTGGTGCTCATCCCTTGAAGTAAGAACTCTAGAAATCCTTTTCAATGAGATACTGTGTCTCTTTGTCTGTCTCTGTCTGTCTGCCTGCCTCCTGAGTTGGCTATGCTGCTTGTTAAGTGGGTCTTGGTTAGGGTGAGATAGTAGTCTTTGTGCAGCTGTATGTCTCTTATGGTAAACACCACCTTTTGCAGTGATTTTGTACTGCACATCATTAAAGGTTAGATAGGAAGTTATTTCTTGATTTTGGTCCAGCCTGGTATGAGAACAATGTGAGATGGGACAATGTTTCTTTTGTTACTCTCAGCTTTTGAGCCACTTCATTTTAGCTTCAAGCTTTCGGTAAGTAATAAGGAAAAGTAGATGGAAAATTTTCTCATCTACTGACTAGCCTGAAATATAAGAAAGGAGGTGGACTAACCTAACCATTAGATCAAACAGTTTTCTACCTCTCTTCCTTTCCTTCCAAACATAGTGTGAATGATTTGATGATGTTCATCCATTTTCCAATTAAGTGGAAGTTGCACAAGGCGTGAGCGCTTTCTCTAAGGATTGAAAAGGAGGGAAAAGAGCAATTCAATGCAAAATTAAATGTTGGTTTAAAATTTCCTTCTCTTAGACCATTTCATTACTCAATTTGTTTAGCAGCGATCATGTCTGACGTGGTCAGTTCAATCACTAAGCTCTTTTTTTTTCTTTATAACATTTGGATTTTGGAGAGACAGAAGAGTTGTCACCATATAGGTTCATATTGTTCAATAGGTTTTTCTTTTTGGTCAGAGGTTTTCAATAATTATTTGACTACTTATGTTAAGATTAATCGAAGATTTGTAACTGACATGCGCCCTTATAAATGAACTTTTTTTTGCCTTTTAAAGCATATAGAGATTTCAACATCATAGAAAAGGCTGATGTTTCCTTTTCTTCCCCTTCTTTCATTTTAGTTTTGACGGTTGTAGAAAGGGCTTGATGTCAAACAAATATGTTTCATGGCAACATAGTCTTCCTGTCCTAGTTGGTTTCATGGCAACATAGTTTTCCTGTCCTAGTGGTGGGGTTCGCTCAGCTACCAGTCAGACTTTTCAAGCGGTTTTGAGTTATAATCATTATTAGTAGGTTAGAGGTCTAAAAGTTACTTGAAGTGGTACTTAGTCAAAACATAATCTAACTGCTAAGCTATTTTAAAAATGAAATCTTACCATGTGCTTAGTTGAAGGCAACCTTCAATGAATATAGATGGCCTAAAATGACATCCCTTTTGTATTTTTTTCTATTTAACTTTCATCAACTGATTTAAATTCTCTGTCGTTACATGTCGGGTTAATCTAAAGATGATTGTCTTCTATTTGTTGGGCATGAAAGGTCCAAATTGTAGTCATGTTTCTTATCAACATATCCTGATGATTTCAGCTGTTGAGAATTAGACAAATTGCCAGAAGTCTTTCTTTTTGTTTTCTTTTGAATATTTGGGTTTGGGAGCATTGGGTTCCCTGGCAAAGTGGATCACTTAGTGGAAAACGAGGATGGAAAATGTTGAAATTGTTAATGTGTAGCAGTAAGTACGCCTTAGGAATTCCCTCATAATTGTGGACAGTACTGTCATGTTGGGCCCCTAATGGTAAAAAGGGAAGGCCGCCAATTTTGCCTGGAAATCATCACATACTGCCTGATATTTGGCTGTAACGTTTTGCAATTATGTTTGTCATATTGTCCTTATTGTTATGGACAAAGCTGGTATCTTTTGTCAGTGAGATATGGCCTAATCCCCTCCACTTTGGAACCCGACCTGGTAATTTAAATTAAAAAAATCCGGACTATGTGTGGATAATTTAGATTTTAACTTACTGGTAGGGCAGTTTCAGAGTTTCCAACATTTTTGTACTTCTCACCTTCACTTTTCTATCAGTTTTTTTAAACAAATTTTTAATAGTAAGAAAATGTTAGTAATAATTATTCTCATGTAAGTTTTTAAAAACTTGTGCAGTGAGGCTTGCACCAAATTCATGTCACTATGCCAGAGAAGACCAGAACTGATTAGCCGATGGAAACTTGGTGTTGATGATCAAGTGGTCAGAGCCTCATGGGGATCTGACATGTCAATTGATGACCCCAATGAAGACCAAATTGGGTCCCATGTTAATGGCAAGCCCCACCAACCTTCCCAGAATAAACACCGAGAACAACAACTACAACCAAACACTATGCAGACTCAGCACCATTTAGACCAATCAAAGCCAGCCACATCTCAACAACCAAAGCCCTCAAGTACTACACAACAACGTTCTGAAAATGAAAACAAGGAAGAGGAGGCTGTGACTGAGCCATTACCTAGTCAAATCGGTCAACCTGCTAGGCGGCTTAGTGTGCAGGACAGAATCAATCTCTTTGAGAACAAACAGAAGGAGAGCTCAAGCTCTGGAGGCAAACCCGTCACTGTTGGCAAATCTGTGGAACTGAGAAGACTTTCATCTGATGTATCATCTGTGCCTGCAGCTGTTGAAAAGGCTGTCTTAAGAAGATGGAGTGGTGCAAGTGATATGAGCATAGACTTGGGTAATGACAAGAAGGATGGTAACACAGATAGCCCCTTGTGCACAGCCTCCTCATCTTCTGTGTCTCAAGGTATAAATAACATGTTTCAAAGTTTATCTGAGCATAAGGAGCAAAAAGATGAGAAGGGTTTGAGAGACAAGGTAAGTTCAGTTAAAGTTGAACCTATGAGTGGTCCTGGTAGAGCTGCTGATTCTGGGTTGAAAGATCAGGGAGAAGTGCAAACATTGCAAGTACAGGTTGGTAATCTTTTGGGGAAAGAAGAGGATGTGGGATTGAAGGGGCAAATGAATTTGAAGGATAAACTGGGATCGCAGAACAGCCAATATCAGTCTTTTACTGGTAAGTCAGAACAGGTTGAGTTGGGTGATCAAGTGGTTTCTCAGGAGAAGGTTAAGGGTTCCTTAACAGGAGAGATGGGACGTTCAGAGGTGCAGTCTCGAGTTTTCCTTGATAGGGCTGTAATTGTGGGGGTTAAAAAGCAACCCACTTCTCAGTTCCAGGTTGAAGGTTTTGCAGATGCAGTGGGGGATGCCACACCTGAGGGTGAATTAAAGAATAGAGTGGAGGCTCAAGGCAAGGACCAGTCGGTAACACAATTGCGTCTTAGGGCTCCAGGCCACTCCCGTACGTTATCAGGGCAGTTTGAAGGTGGTATTGGACTAAAATCTAAGGAGGCTCAGTATAAAGGCAGTGAAGGTGATCAGTTCACTCCTCAGCCACAGTGGATATCTATTACTGGGGAAGTTGAGGAAGTGGGAAAGAAAGACTTAGCATCATCTGAGAAGCCAATAAGCAAAGTTGAGGGTTTTGGAGTCCATAAAATGAAGTTCAAGAAAGAGGTTCCGGTAGGTTCTGAACAGAGCAAGAAGTCAAAGGGTAGGAGGGATGAAGGTGGTTCTATTTATGCAAATAACAAGTCTGTTCTAGGTAAAAAGGTTCCTGAGACTGAAGAGAGTTTAAGTGCTCCAATGATGCCAGTAGATCAAACTCAGAGGCTAAGGCAGTCAAGGGGAAACCAGGAGCTGAATGATGAGTTAAAAATGAAGGCAAATGAACTTGAAAAGCTTTTTGCAGAGCACAAACTTCGGGTTCCTGGTGATCAATTCAGTTCTGCTAGGAGAAGCAAGCCTGCTGATGTGCAGATTGAACAGGAAACAACCTCACAGTGCAAGAAACCGGTGGCAGTGGATGTATCTCCTGCACAGATGCCTGACAAAAACTCAATGTCTGAACCAATGGGGAGTTTGAGTAATATGGATAAATTTTGTACTCCAACAAAGATGGTAGATAACCAGGACTATGCTGACAGTTTGAGGCTGAATTTCTCTGGTATCAGCTTTTCAGATGATTCTCGAGGAAAATTTTATGAGAAGTACATGCAAAAGAGAGACGCAAAGCTGAGGGAAGAATGGGGTGCTAAAAAGGCTGAGAAGGAAGCCAAATTGAAGGCTATGCAAGATATCCTTGAGCGAAGTAGAGCTGAGATGAAGGCCAAATTTTCTGGTTCTGCTGATAGACAGGATTCTGTTTCTAGTGCTCGTCAACGAGCAGAGAAAGTGAGGTCATTCAATTTACGATTGCAGAGGGAACAGGTATCCCCCATAGCCGTTATATTTTCGGGAAATAAATGCTAAAATTATAACTGGTAGAATTGGACCTTTGTTTTTAAGTTTTGGGGATCTCAAAAACTTCTGATTGAATTGTTACTAATTTTGATAAGGTTATGCATTTGGCAGCATCAAATAAGTTCAATTCAGAGTGAAGAAGATGAAGATCTTTCTGAGTTTCCGGATCGGAAGTACTATGCACAGGATAGATCATATAATGAGGCATCTTTAGTCGATCGTTCTTCTAGGAGCTTCAACCCTAAGAAGCTTTTGCCAAATAAAAATGTTTCTTTATCCACTCCTCGCACCACAGTAGCTGCAGTTCCACGCTCAGCAGCCAAAGTTTCAAATCCCAGTTCCGGAAGGCGACGAGCACAATCTGAAAATCCTCTTGCGCAGTCAGTTCCCAGCTTCTCTGATCTCAGAAAAGAAAATGCAAAGCCCTCTTTGGGAGCTGGCAAGACAACTAGCCGTACTCAAGTGAGAAACTATGCTCGGAGCAAGAGTACCAATGAAGAGGTTGCTCTTGGCAAGGATGAACAGCCTCGACAGTCTCAGTCCCTTAGGAAAAGCTCAGCTGGTCCTGTAGAATTTTCTGATTTGTCTGCACTGAACTCTGATGGCATTGTTTTTGCACCTTTGAAATTTGAAAAAGAGCAGATAGAACAGAGCTTAAATGGCAAAACTTTGAAGATTGTGGAAGCAAAACATTTCCTCAGGAAAGGTAATGGCATAGGTCCCGGTGCTGGGGTAAATATTGCAAAGTTCAAAGCATCAGAGGCATCTGAGGCTCCAAAAGGTGAAGAGTCTGATGGGCTAGCATTTGAGGCAGATGATTCCATGGATATGGCCAAAGAAGATGAAGAGGATGAGCTTGAAACTATGGCAGTTGATGATTCTGCTGACATGGAAAATGGAAGATCAAGACTGAGCCAGGAATCTGACAAGTTGAATAATTCTGGATCAGAGAATGGTGATTCCTTGAGGTCTCTTTCTCAGGTTGACCCTGCATCAGTTGCTGAAATGCCTGCTGCAGTGCCCACTATGTTCCATACTGCAGTATCCCTGCAGGATTCACCAGGAGAAAGTCCTGTATCATGGAATTTACGCATGCATCATCCATTTTCTTATCCCCATGAGACTTCAGATATTGACGCTTCCATGGATTCCCCCATTGGGAGCCCTGCATCTTGGAATTCTCACTCACTTGCTCAAACAGAGGTGGATGCTGCTCGAATGAGGAAGAAATGGGGAAGTGCTCAGAAACCTTTTCTTGTTGCTAATGCAACCCATAATCAGTCACGTAGGGATGTCACAAAAGGGTTCAAAAGGTTGTTGAAATTTGGACGGAAAAGCCGTGGGATGGAGAGTTTGGTGGACTGGATCTCAGCTACAACTTCTGAAGGAGATGATGACGCAGAGGATGGCAGAGATCCTGCCAATCGATCATCAGAAGACTTGAGGAAGTCAAGAATGGGATTTTCTCAAGGCCACCCCTCTGATGATGGCTTCAATGAAAGCGAGTTGTTTAATGATCAGGGTAACTCCTATTTTTTCCTTATATGTCAATTACCTTGTTCTTACTTGCTTAGAATATGCGTTGATTATTTTATTTTTCCTTGTCTATTAATTACTTTGAATATTCATTAATTGCATGCATGGTTCAATAATTATTGTTCTAATTAAAAAATTGCTCCGGACTTCTACTTTCATAGAATATCTTCGCTTTATTGTAAAGCTATAGAATATGTTTTTATGCTCTCTTTAACTGTGGAAACCTGTCTGGTTGATGAACACTCATGTTGAACTGGTTTAGCCTATGAGACTGTAATATAGAAGTTACTTTTAAAAAATGAGTTGAATTCTAAACAGTTTCAGGTGTTTACTTCAGTCCTTGTGGGGTCCATTCTCCGGTAATTGATTAAGGAAAAAGAAAAACTGTTAAAGGAGAGACCCTTGTATATATTATCCCGCAGTAGTTAGAATAAGAAATCTTAATGCCTATTGGTTGATTGCTATCTCATGTCTGTCAAGAAGGTTGTTGTTGTTTATAAGGAGCAAGTCACCAGGACACGATTGAGATGGGCTTACTTTAAGGAAAGAAACATATGTGTGCAGTTTTCAAAATTTATGATGCATAGCTGCAAATATTTTAAATTTATTTTTGGCCTGCTAATTCAACTTGATGATGCATGTTTCTTTTCCTTGTTGCAATTTCTCCATTTCTTTTGTTGTATATATGAACCTGATTTGAAAGTAGAGTCATCAATGGTCCCTTGCAGTTCAATCCTTACATACTTCTATTCCAGCACCACCAGAAAACTTCAAATTGAGGGAAGATCATATGTCAGGAAGCTCCATAAAAGGTGACTCCTTGTTAATGTTAATCTAGTTATGTGATGCTTCTCTTTCTTGGAAGTAGTTTATGAAGGCATTCTATTGAACAAATGCTATCCTCTCATAGATTGTTGCTATGAACCTATCACCTTACATGACCAAGTGTGGCTCTATTTGATGCCAGAGGACTTCCCTTTGAAAGCAAAATAGTGCATCTTGAACAAAAAAGAGCATGCTACATGAAAATTGCTTCTGTGGAATCCTGGTCTTTTCGTTGAATCTTCATGCAACCTTTAGGTGCTATCCTATTATTGCCTTAAGAAAAATCTTAACTGAAAGCTCGTATAAAATTAAGCTAATGCTATTGATAATTATTTCAAAACTTCTTTTTCTGAGCGATATTTTAGAACTTCAGTACCAACGGACTAAGCCTCTACTAACATATTGGAGAATCTGTTATGCATATTCAGAAGAAACTCTTAGTTTGTTCTTGTGTTGAGTTTATGGTTTTATTATAGTATACTTGAACAATTTTGCAGCACCACGTTCATTCTTTTCATTGTCAACATTTCGAAGCAAGGGTAGTGACTCCAAGCCTAGATAAAATTCATATGAAGAAAGTCCAGGAAAAGTGCTTGGAATCATCTTAAACAGTAGGGTGTAAAGGAATACATATAAGATACAGATGCTTCAGGTAGGCACGATACAATGAACACTATAACACATCTACAGTGGGACTTGTAAATCTTCATTGAGTCATGAGTCCTTCCTCATGATCTAGTGAGTAATTTTCTATAGTTTGTCTTGAGATATGTTGTATATTGTATTGAACAAGAAAAAGCCTATTGGCATAAAGTCATTGTGATTTTGGTAATCCAGAGGCATTCTTTTTGTCCTTTTTCATTTGCTTTTGCCTTGTGATTATATATATATAAAATTGAACTCTTTGTTAAAATCAGAGCTGTTGCCAATGCGGAGTAAAAGAAAACTACTTTTATATTTTCCTTTTTTTTCTTTTCTGGGTGAAATTCCCTTGTCCCTTTGTTTTTGGACATGTTTGTGCTTCTCTATTTACTTTATTCTTATCTGTATTTTCCAAGATAACAAATCCTTCTGGTATTGATTGAATATTCTAGTTTGTGGATAAAATATCTTGATGGGGCAACCCCCATCAGATTCCTAATACAAAAGGTACAGGTCGTAAGCTATGGACAATGTACCAGGTTCTCACATCCTACATATTTATATGTAACATTATATCTATGGAATTGGAGCAGGGTTCATGGTACTTGCAAGTTACATCAATCCCACAATGGCGGGACATTTTTGTCTGTTAAAGGTACAGTTGCCTTTGTTGTCTCTATTTTTGAGAGCGATTGAAACTTTCCTCAGTGGAAAAGAACCTGTTTAACAGTTTATATACTGTGTCCTCCCTCTTATCATCCTCTAAGTATCATGGTTTTGCTTGGTTTTTTAACCATTCAAGAGATCCGACAGCGGCACAGAATCAACATGTCAAGGCAAAAAGAAAGGAGCTTTCGATGGTCAAGAATTTGCAGTAATCTTTGCTTCTTTAGGTTGGCCTTGGCCTTGGTTCACTCTGCAAATTTAAATACAAAATGCCAAACATGTACATGTCTTAAACGGAGAGAATATTTTGCTTGAATCTTCTAGCTATTCCGGATGGACAATTGGTCAAAAAAAAAAAAAAATCAAAACGATGTTAGTATGGTCAACAAAACCATCTGTTCTTTATTGTATTCGATGTAATTCATGACAAATGGAGAAACCTGGTTTCTGAGCATCGTTTTAATTACGTATGTACGATGTATCAAGTAGGGGAGACCTGTTCAGTGTTTGATATATTTCTCATTTACATCTTCTTCTACGACCCCACAACTGTACAAGAAAACATCCACTATACTATAGTCAATTGTCCAGAAAAGGATTTCTGACATGAAAAACTGTCTTCAAAATACTAAGGAAAGATTTGGGCAGAGGAGGGTATTATTGGGTAGGAATTCAGATGGCACCCTTCCATGTAAAAGTTTGAAATAAAAAACCATAACCTTTTAATTTGTATTCCTTGCCGACCTCGCCTGGCAGGGGTAGATCATAAGTCACTGCCAGCTGAGAATCCTTTTATATATTTTTTTCATTATTTATTACATGGTCCACTTCTTAAAAAGACAAGATCTGCCAACGGTTTGTAGGTATGACCCTTGCATTCTTAACCAGTTGGGGTCGGCTGCTCTTTGTCATTCTTTCTGATCTTAAATAAGCTACATTAGTCTCTGTCACTGGTGATATGTGTAAGGAATTAAAAGAATGAAACCCTTGAATTCAAGACAATTTTGAATTGGGGCAACTACATGATCATGAAAAAGACAAGCGGAATATCCAAAGTTCGTTGACTTCTAGGACACAATCTCTGAGACTTTGGACAGCTCCTCCTAAAGTAGAACCTTGTTTCGTTTATCTTGTCCGTACTTTTTATTCTATGCCTTGTTCTTTTCTCATCTCCTTTTCCTAACACTTTAATTTCACATTTTCAAAATTTTCGTCAGACCCTCTTCTTCAATCTCTTCCCATGGCTGATTCCTCCATCGAAATCGACTACTCCTCTTCCTTAAACCACCACCACCACCAAAGCCATAACACGCCAGCTTCACGCTATGCCTCGAGTTCTTTCACGTCACTCCGTTCTGCCCGAGGGTCCTGCACCACTCTACGGAGGCTCCGCCACCGGACTCCTGCCACGCCTTTTGCCTCGGACGATGATATATCATGGCAAAGTGAAGTTTCATGGCAGTTTGAGCCTTCTGGTTGGCATTACAGCCGCAATATGGGTGCAGCCCTTAGTCCTTGGGCGGCCTCCAGTACCTCATCGCTAAACAGTCAGGCATTTCGTCGACGTTCGGCCAGTGAATATTATCTTTCTCGTACCTCTGGCGGGTTTAGAAGCAGTGCAAATCCGTCCTATGAGCTTTCCGGTTATGGAGCTGTGCCGTCAGGGAGGCTTGAGCTTCAAAGCTATGTTGCTAGAGACTATGACAGTTCATCGCATCTCCCTTTGGGAGATCATAGTAAGTCTCATCACGAAATTTCAAGGCTGGCTACTATTAAAGAAGGGAATAATAGAAATGGTGCTAGTCCTTTGGCTGACGAGGATGAGCTTAGCACTATAGATTATGACACTCCAGAATATGTTGAGAGACAAATACGCTTATTAGGGACTGATTCTAACCTTCATGCAGGTGCTGGTTCACGTTCGTTTTCAGTTTCACAGGCTTATATGGATGATGATCAGGACGATGTTTCACATGGAGGACATCATCATGGTCGTGATAAGCAAGTTAGGAGTCATCACACGAGGCACAAGGTGGACAACGATCTCGATCTAGTAATGCAGCATGAGCTTGACGGTCATGATGCTTGGCAATCAACTGGTCATCATTTTGGTGGTCATCATCGGTATAATGACCTTGGCCTGTCACTGGATTTCAGTGAAGATGATAATCCAGGGCATGGTCATGGTCATGGTCATGGATTATCACATCATAGTGTTCATAGTGACCTTGATGGGCATCTTCAAACGAGACACAAGTTGGAAGGTCTTGATCATAAGTTGCATCAAGGGCATCATGGTCATGACACTTGGCAATCAACAAGCCATCAATTCGGTGGTGATCATGATCAGTATGATGACTTTGTTCCGGTACCGGATTTCAATGAAGATGAAAATGAGGAAGAAGAGGACGCAGAACCACCAAGGCCAGTTGGTTTATTTAGTTTGTTCAAGTATTCAACAAAATGGGATATAGTACTTGTGATTTTGGGTTGTTTGGGAGCCTTGATAAATGGGGGTTCACTTCCCTGCTATTCTTACCTTTTTGGTAAGTTTGTGAATAAAATTGCTAAAGAATCATCCAACATGATGAAGGATGTAGATAAGGTGAGAATTGAAACAATATTATTAATACGCAATTTTCCTCGTTCACTTTCTCCAAATAGTATTTTGGTGATCAACAATTGTCAAAAATTGAACTTTCTTGTCTGTTACAATCAATATGATCAAAGATATAACTAATATTAGAAACTCTTTTTTTTTTTTTCTCCTGCTATATATCTTCAGATATGTATACTTATGTCTGGCTTGTCAGCAGTAGTGATGATTGGAGCATATTTAGGTAATGACAACATAAATAGTCAGAACTTCTCGTTTCTTTGTATCTTCATAAGTAGTAGAAATGATTTTTCATTCAATAAATGGCAGAAATTACCTGCTGGAGGCTGGTTGGGGAACGTTCAGCTCAACGAATTAGAACAAAGTACTTGAGAGCAGTTTTAAGACAGGACATCAGCTTTTTTGATACAGAAGTGAGCACGGGTGACATTATGCATGGTATTTCAAGTGATGTTGCTCAAATCCAGGAAGTTATGGGAGAGAAGGTTAGCCCTTGATTTTATTTGCATCTCAAATGCTCGTAGGGTTCTGTCTATTTCTTTTCCAGAAGTGTGTTTCATTAGTCTGTAAACCGGAAACACTTTGACTTTACCTTCTTACACTGGCAACTAGCACTGAATCTGATGAAGTGTTCAATACTTGAATTATAATTTGCAGATGGCACATTTCATTCACCATATATTCACCTTCATATGCGGTTATGCAGTTGGGTTTTTGCAGTCATGGAAAGTGTCACTGGTAGTTTTTTCTGTTACCCCATTAATGATGTTTTGTGGTATTGCTTATAAGGCTATTTATGGTGGTCTCACGGCTGAGGAAGAGGTAATAAATTTTACAGTTATTGGAAATGTTTTCAGTGTCGGCTTGTTAGTCTTAGTATTTTGGTTCATATTTTTGGACTTACAGGTTTCTTACAGAGGAGCTGGTACCCTTGCAGAGCAAGCAATAAGTTCAATTAGAACTGTATTTTCTTTTGTTGCTGAGGACAATTTGGCAGCAAGATATGCTGAATTATTGGCCAAATCAGTGCCTCTTGGGGCAAAGATTGGGTTTGCTAAGGGTGCAGGAATGGGGGTTATTTATTTGGTTACATATTCAACATGGGCATTGGCTTTTTGGTATGGTTCAATCTTGGTTGCTAGAAAAGAGATTTCTGGCGGTGCAGCAATTGCTTGCTTCTTTGGTGTCAATGTTGGGGGAAGGTAATGAGCTCGTCTTCTCTCTCCAACTCTCAATTGAACACAATTACACCTGCAACTGCTAGTGCTTATTGTTAAAGAAATCTCCTTATACATACTTGAAACGAATTGAGCAAGATGAAAATTTGCTTGCAAAGATTTCTGATTCCAATATGTTTCCTTTGAATATTTCATTCTCTCCAAACACAAGAAGTAACCAAAGGTTGTCCTGATCTTTTTTCAGGGGCTTGGCATTATCATTGACATATTTTGCTCAATTCGCTCAAGGCACCATAGCAGCAGGTCGGGTATTTGATATTATAGACAGGGTTCCTGAGATAGACCCTTATAATCCCGAGGGAAGGACATTGTCCAGTGTTCGAGGAAGGATAGAGTTTAAAGGTGTAACTTTTTCTTATCCATCTCGTCCTGATACTACAATTCTCAGTTCTCTCAATTTGGTTATTCGATCAGCAAAAACTCTTGCATTGGTTGGAGTCAGTGGAGGTGGCAAGTCCACCATCTTTGCTCTCATTGAGAGGTTCTATGATCCTGACAAGGGTAGGTTCATTAATTATCTCGTTCTAATAGTTTAATTGAGCTTAAATATGTGATTTTGGTAAAAGCATTGTCTATTTAGTTCCTAATCTTGCTGGGTCTTTTAATTGGTAGGAACCATCTCCTTGGATGGCCATGATTTAAGGACACTACAAGTGAAGTGGCTAAGAAGGCAGATTGGTATGGTTGGGCAAGAGCCAGTTCTCTTTGCCACCACCATATTGGAAAATGTCATGATGGGAAAGGAAAATGCCACCAAGAAAGAAGCTGTTGAGGCTTGCGTTGCTGCCAATGCCCACAGCTTCATCTATGACCTTCCACAAGGATATGATACTCAGGTCAACAACCCAAACATTGACATTCATATTAATGAACTTCTTTATGCACAATCAATATATATATATATATATATATATATATATGTATGTATGTATATATTACTAACCTGATTTTCAAACAAGTTATGTTTTGAGTTCTGGATTTGAAAATGGATTGCAGGTTGGAGCAAAGGGAACTCAATTATCCGGTGGTCAAAAGCAGAGAATTGCTCTAGCTCGTGCCTTGATTAAAGATCCTAGAATCCTTCTCTTAGATGAGCCTACTAGTGCCCTGGATTCCCAATCTGAGGCAGTTGTCCAACAAGCCATTGACAAGATCTCCAAGGGCAGAACAACAATTGTAATTGCTCACAGGCTAGCAACAGTAAGAAATGCCAACACTATTGTTGTTCTTGATCATGGCTCAGTTGTTGAAACTGGTAACCATCACCAGCTAATGGAAAGAGCAGGGGCCTATTATGAGCTTGTCAAGCTTGCTTCTGAAGCAGTTTCAAAACCTACACTGAATGAGAAAAATACTCAAAAGGGAATTGAGTTTCCCACACATGAGAAATCGGGCTATGAAGCACCAACATCACCTTATGTGTACGAAATTTCAAGGTCAAAGTACTTAAATTCCATCCAGGAAGTTAATCAAGTAGAGGAGGAAATGCAACAAAGGCCAGAGTCTAGAAATTTTCAAATTTCAGAGATATGGGCTCTACAAAGACCAGAGCTCATCTCACTTTTACTAGGTTTAATGTTAGGTATGGCTGCAGGGGCTATTCTCTCCATATTTCCCTTCCTTTTAGGCTTAGCTCTTCAAGCTTACTTTGATGACAGCGCAAAGAGCGAAGTTGGGAAACTCTCCTTGGCTCTGGTTGGCCTAGGCTTCGGTTCTATAATTTCCATGACTGGACAACAAGGCTTCTGTGGTTGGGCTGGAACAAAGCTCACGATGAGGGTGAGAGATCTCTTATTTCGCTCTATACTAAAACAAGAACCTGGTTGGTTTGATTTTGAGGACAATTCGACTGGAATCCTTGTTTCAAGACTCTCTGTTGATTGTCTCAGCTTTCGATCAGTCCTCGGGGATCGGTACTCAGTCTTGTTGATGGGTGTGAGTTCAGCTGCTGTGGGGCTTGGTGTCTCATTTTTCCTCCAATGGAGATTAACCCTATTGGCTGCTGCTGTTACTCCTTTCACTCTTGGTGCAAGCTACTTGAATTTGATTATAAATATTGGACCAAAGTTAGATAATAAATCTTATGCCAAAGCTAGCAACATTGCTTCTGGTGCAGTTTCCAATATAAGGACAGTGACGACATTTTCTGCTCAAGAAGAGATAGTTAAATCCTTTGATAAAGCTTTATCAGAGCCTAGGAAACAATCATTGAAAAGGTCCCAAATTCTAGGCCTGACACTTGGTTTCTCTCAAGGTGCTATGTATGGTGCATATACTTTGACGCTTTGGTTTGGTGCCTACCTTGTAAAACATGGCAAGGCAAATTTTGGAGATGTATATAAAATCTTTCTCATTCTTGTGTTAAGCTCATTTTCGGTTGGACAACTAGCTGGCCTCGCACCTGATACTACCATGGCTGCGACAGCAATTCCTGCTGTGTTTGATATCATTAATCGTAGGCCACTGATTGGTAACTTCGGAGACAAAGGTAAAAAAATTGAACGTTCCAAGCCATTGGATATCGAATTGAAAATGGTGACATTTGCATATCCATCTAGGCCTGAAGTGATTGTGTTGAGGAACTTTTGTTTAAAGATCAAGGGTGGTAGCATGGTGGCATTGGTAGGTTCAAGTGGGTCAGGGAAATCAACAGTAATATGGTTGGTACAAAGATTTTATGATCCAAATCAAGGGAAGGTAACGATGGGAGGCATAGATTTGAGGGAGATCGATCTGAAATGGTTAAGGAAACAAATAGCCTTGGTAGGTCAAGAACCGGCTCTGTTTGCTGGAAGTATTAGGGAAAACATTGCATTTGGAAACCCAACTGCCACATGGGGTGAGATTGAAGAGGTTGCAAAGGAAGCTTACATTCACAAGTTCATTAGTGGTCTCCCTGAAGGCTATGAAGCTCAGGTATGGTCTATTTAGCCCCCCTATTTAACCATTAGTCTATTCTTCAATTTGTCTCAGACTTAATATAAATACAAAGAATTGCAATAGCAAGGGCCATACTGGCAAATGATTCTTGTTCTTGATAGGTTGGGGAGAGTGGGGTCCAGCTATCAGGCGGTCAAAAACAAAGGATTGCAATAGCAAGGGCCATACTGAAAAAATCAGGGGTGCTGCTGCTAGATGAAGCAAGCAGTGCCCTGGACTTGGAATCGGAGAAGCATGTCCAGAAAGCACTAAGGAGGGTTTCACGGCGAGCCACCACAATTATAGTTGCCCACAGGCTTTCAACAATTAGGGAAGCCAATATGATAGCTGTCGTGAAAGATGGTGCGGTTGTGGAGTATGGTAGCCATGATTCACTTTTGGCTTCCCATCTTGATGGTGTGTATGCTAGCTTGGTTCGGGCTGAAAGAGAAGCCAATGCCTTTTCTTGAGATGATACTTTTGAATTTAGCCAATTAAAACTTCATCTAAGAGCTTTGGCCTCTTGACCAAATCTTGGTGTAGGATTTCCATTTCTGTTTCTGTTATATACCTCAACAATGGGATTCTAGAAATGAAAAAAAAAAGAAGTTACTGATTTGATTGTAGAGTATTCAGTAACTTAATGCGCAAGAAATTAATAATTTTGTTTGTAGATTGAAAATGGAAAAGAGAAAGAACGTGTCATTTATATACTCTTCATTAGCTTAGCATTTTCAAGGGTCATAACAATGACACAGATAATTATTTAGAATTTGGTTAGTAGTCCTCTCCAAGCTTCACCTATCTACAGATACACACCCAAAGTTAAGAGGAAATTGATCCCTATGAACTTATGTAAAGACTAAGCTATTAGGTTTCTTGGGGATAATGAACAAAATTTTATTCATTTCCTGCCATAACTAGAATCACAAACTGAAGAAAACCACCTCCCCAACCATATAAAAAGGTGAAAGCAACTATAATCACAGTAGAAAGGCAGCAACAGAGTTCATGACACATAGATATAACTAGAGAAAAAGGTGCCTTCTTGAAGGCAATCAAATACTTGAAACATTTTTCTTTGGATGAATTATGGACCTTTTCTTCAGTCACAATGCATAGGTTTTTGAGGATGAAATTATAGGAGTGTTTTTCAAGCAAAATCTTTTCTTAGAAATGTGAAGTAACGAAAAGAAAATTATGATTATGGCAGTGATTTACACATTTGCATTATTCAAGCGTGGGTGGTCTTAATCAAGTGATAACAAGTCTTAACGTGCACCTAATTTTAATTATCCGCAGTTGCACACCAAAAGTCTTGGTCCATTAATAGAATAAAATTTTGGCATGCAAATTAAGAAGAAGGGGACGTTTGGAATACCCTCACCTTCCATCTAAAACTCCATTCCTTCTACTTCTAAAAGGAAATGCGACCACGAACTGACCCAAGGCAACTTTACCAAAGTGCCCATTGGATATAACAGCAGTCGTGTCCTAAAGAAACTATTTTTGATAGGGGCATGTGAGTCATTGTGTGCCACATTGAAGAAATGTGGACCCAAGGTCGAAAATTCCCCCACGGAAACATGTCTCTTGGCTTTTAAGCCAAGAGAAATTGATGGTTACGTGCCTGGCATGCAAAGCTTTAGAGATTCTTGAGGGTTTGCAGCAATGCCCACTTCACCCAAAAAGGCCAATACTCTCATTTGGTTGCTGAGACTGTAGCCTTATGTGAATAAATTTTCTTTTTGATTCAAGGGCCCTGTTCTTGCGCCACTACCTTTCACCCGGTTCCTCAGCTCTTTTCAGGTTCTCGATTCTTTGCATTAACTATAGTAAAACTAAGGTGTTATATACAACTGTAACAAGAATTTCTATGAGCTAACACTTTCAGAATTTGATGGTTGAATCAGGCAAAAGATCCAATTTATAGTAGTGAGAAAATTCCAGGCTGGAGAATTCATAGACTGGAAAGGAAGAAAAAAGATTAATGGCATCACTTACACCAGGAGTGCTATTAAAGCTTCTTCAGAGTATGAATTCCAATGTAAAAGTTCGAGGGGAATATCGATCTGTGCTCCTGCAAGTAATCAGCATTGTGCCTGCTTTAACAGGATCAGAGTTGTGGCCTAACCAAGGTTTCTTCATCAAAGTATCCGACTCCTCGCATTCAACATATGTTTCGCTGTCACAGGATGACAATGAATTAATCTTGAACAATAAATTGCAACTTGGTCAGTTTTTTTATGTTGAGAGAGTGGAAGCTGGAACCCCAGTTCCCATTCTTGTTGGTATCAGGCCAGTTCCAGGAAGGAATCCTTTTATAGGCAATCCAAAGGATTTGATGCAGATGTTAGTGCCATCCGAGTGTCCAGTGGCGGTTGATAATGAAGGAAATAATGGTTCAAAAACAAAGGAATTAGTGGAAATGAAAGAGGTGAGCCCGAGACAGAAAATCGTTATCAAAGAGGAAAAAGCAGGTGTTGCATCAAGGTATATGCAGGGTATTTTGCCATCAAATCCTAAAGCAAGTGGACCAGATTCAATTAGTTGTGTGAAAAGCACCGAGAATGAGAGCTGTGGAGCAGGTAAAAAGGGAAAAAGCAAACAGCAGGAACCTAAAGGTCAGGTAAGATTCTTGTTTAACAAACAGTTTCATGTTGATGAAAATAAACTTAAGATTCATGTCTTTACAATTACAGTAGGGTATAGCATTACAGGCACACCCGGTGACTCCTACCCGTAGTAGGCCAGAGGTACCAGTCTCGAAGCCCGAGGTTGTTGCATCTAACACCAAGGAAACTATGGTGCCTCCCAAGGGCACACCTGTAAAACGCTCTTCAAGTAAACAGGAAAACATGAACTTGAATTGTTTGCCAAACAGCAAAGAAAAGAATAATTTGCCAGAGACAGGTTCGTGGAACACTCTGCCTGCCAGTCTCTTAAAGCCAGGGAAGGTATATATACACCTATCCTGAAAGATTTTTAGGTTCAATGCTTTGAGGCAATGCTTAATTGTTACATCTTTCACAATCTGGATTGTGCATTGCATTTTATTTAGCACATTTCTTCTATTAATTTCAATTAACTGGTAAAAGAAGACTTCCCTCTAGAATGAGAAAATGTCCTAATTGGATCGAAAATGATGAATCCTACGGATAATTGAATGAAAAATTCTATAACAGCATAATTCTTATTTATCATCTTTGATCATCATTTTTACAAGGGAATGCTTAGAAGAAGAAATTTAGCTTCTTTGGTTGCAGCAGATGCTCAAAGGGAGGCATCAATGGCAGCAAATCTTGTCAAGTGTCTTTGGTAAGTACATTTTTTCAGTCCAAAATTTTCAATGGCGATTTTTTTGGTTCCGATTAGTCAGTAAAGAACACGATGAATTGAATGCTATACTTGTAACGAAGATTTTCCTAACTTCCATATTTTCTTCCAGCATGTTTGCTGATATATGCTCCTCTGCCTCACCTGAGAACCCCCATCTCTCTCTCACCAAGTTCTTCACCCTTCAACAGCTAATTGACCAACCAAGTGTTGCAACAAATTTAAAAGATAAGCCACTTCAGTTATCTACTCTTCCATCTGTGCTAGACAAAGAAAAGTCTAACAAAAGGAAAGGTCTAACCCATGAAAAAAGTACATTAAAGTCTCCAAAGTCTTCAATACAGTCGAGTGGAGCTGAGAAACTAGAATGGGCCAAAGGAGATGGTGCCAAAGAGATAAAAGAACTGAGGGGAATTTTGCTGCATGAAACAAGAACTTGGTTTTTGAAATTTTTAGAGGAAGCATTGGATGTTGGATTTCGGATCAGTACCCAGGAGAAGAAAGGAAAAATTGCCACAGGACGAGTGATGGAGCAGGACAACCATATTGCTGTCACATTGTCACAACTTAAATTTGCAAATGAATGGTTGGATAAAGTACAAAGGAGTTTGAGCTCAGATAACACTGGACTGATGGAAACTGCGGAACGGTTGAAACAAAAAGTTTATGCTTCTTTGCTTAGCCATGTGGACTCAGCAGCCTCAGCTTTAGAGAGTCGACCTTGATCGCAGTTGAATCAGCATGAAAAGGATGGTTTTAAAGCTTTTTTGTCACCTACTGTTTGTAATAACTTAAAAGTATTTAAGGTGATACTAATTTTCTGGATGACTTGAGGCGCCAAAGAGAACTATAGACAATTTGGCCATATATTTAAGTTGTGGTTGTCTTGTCAGCAAACCTATGACTAAGTCATTTGTGTATAACAATAAAGTCATTGAAGGTTCACTTCAACCCACATTATTTATTTTAATTTTAAGCCTGCAACAAATGTATTATTAAAATTTTAAATTTCTGAGTATCAAGAGGAAGTACCGAGAAAATTACCTTTGCGCCGAGGGGTATGCTCACTGCCTGATGATTACATCCTTGGGCAAGCAAGGGAGAAAGAGCAAAATATACGGGATTCTACTTGTTCTAAAGACATCAGAATGTAATAAAGCCTCAACCTGCTATAAGATTTCAGGCTTGTGCTTGGTAAGGGAGAGTGTCCAAGCTGGAGAACCAGGGCACAAGCAAAATCTCACAGATCCTTGTCTGATAGCTTTAGCATGTGCCCTGCTTCTCCAGCATGGCTTACCCTCTCTCCGTCTCCCATTTGTGGTTTGCCAAATTTTTGATAGAAAGAGACTAAAAAGACACATATCCACTTAAATCTTATAGAACAAGAAAATATTTTGGCCCGAAATAGTAATAATAACAACAATAATAAGAATAAACCTAGAAACAAAGATGGATCAGTCGACCGTAGAAATTAAGCATGGTATATAGACTTTAAAGAAACATTGGGCATTCATAGGGAATGAGAATGTGAGTAATTACAGGGGATTTTATAATGGTTCAAGTGCAGTTAAATATAGGACAATAGCCATCCAAGTGTTACAAGCTGGCAATGACCAGACAAGGGAGAATGGCAAGCAACATTTGTTGTCGGACAGAGTGGCTGGTCTTGTGGGATTGCTTATTCAATAAGCTTTTAGATATTGTTGTTTAAGGCTTTAAGCAAATCGAAAGCTGAAGGCATGTGGAACCAAACGGGTTTTGGTTTACGTGACTGTCGAAGTTTGGCTGCCAAAACGGGGTATCAGCGCAGTAGCTAGGTGCTACCATTGCTTTTAGGCACAAATGGGGTCTACATCAGCATTTCCTAGACTATGGCAGACCACCCACCGCATATGATTAGGAAATCCAGAAGAACTCAACTTCTAGACCCAACTATCATTAAGTATAGAATTAGGCTTAATTAGGCTTTAACTCGTAAAACTGTCAAATTCAACAGTCCTAAGGTAAAAAAAAAAATTTCAATATCTCCTTACAACACCTAGTATTAGGGGATAGGGGGGTAAAGTTTAGGGTTTTGGGTGATCCGATCATGTCACCTCACATGAAACCCAAACATCTCATCTATTTGAAGCGTGTCTCTTTACTGTAAAGCACAAATTCATACAGAAGTCACATAGTAAATAACCTTTAAATCTGATCTTCTCTTTAGATTAATAGAATCACTCGTATAAAAATCAATATCTTACAAGACCATGCAATACTACTGTATGTGCAATCTATAGTTTTTATTGCCTTTAGAACAAAGGCAGGAGAAAACGCTATATGTAGAATTACTAATTTGACGTCAAATGCCTATCAAGGATTTACTACTCTCTGAAAGTCAGATTTAGACGCCCTGGACGTAGATTGTTTCTTCCAAGAGAGCCTTGGGGGCAGTGTTTTGCTTAATAGAAGTTACGCCATGAAAGATGTGACCAGAGTTCCCACCAAATATCAGCACATCCCCAGATTCAAGTTCAACCTTTTCTGCCTTGTCCACATCCCTTTGGTCACGACATAAAAATTCCGCTAAATCTCCTATGGAAAAGAATACCACAGGTAATCCTCTATGTAGACTTTCTGGACTTTCATCCCGATCCTGCAAGCAACATGATCTAAATTTTCAGTGGTATGGATAGGTCATAGCCAAATAGGGGTAAAATTAAATTCATGCCATTCTAAAAAAAAAAAAAAGAAGAGTCGGGTTAGAAAGGAAAATAAATTGAAGTGGTAAAAATAAAAAATCATAAAAAAGGCTCACAATGTTCCCCACAAAATCATGCAATATATTGCGTCAAATATGCATTCTTTGATCATCAAATTTGTATTCGGAAATGAGAAAATTCAGAATAAGTGTTCGTAAAACAGAAGAAAACTTTATGTGATTCAATTAAAACTGAAAGAGTTGGGTACTAGTTTGCTACAAAATTGTATGAGAATTCATTGTTGCAACGACATAAAGGCAAGAATTGCCAAGACAAGGACTTTCTATTATGTCGCGTACAGCAATGATGAAAATAACGTTTAAAGTTTGGACCTGATGGAGACCCAGTCGACCACTTGCTGAGTAGAATGTCTTCTACGTGACTTGTTCTAGCCTTTTGTTGTATAAGGGAATGCCAATCTTTTGTTGCCTTTTCAACCAACTGATGGAATTCACGAGGAAAAGCTGGGGGGACAGCACAGTCAATTGGTCGAAAATCTCCATAATTACCTGTCTCTGGATCCCAATTTTTACCAAGGCACATCATTTTCAAATGCAGTTTTGCTCCATCACGGTAACCTGGTTGATAGAAACCTCCAGAAGCCAAACCAAGCTTTTGGCAAGCTTTTATAATTTTGACCTAGATGCAAATGAGGGTGCAAAGTAAATTAAAAGAGAGCAGATCCCGGTTGCAATCAACCTTTCGTAACATGGTAAACATTCATCTTCAATCATACATAAAACATAAAGATCATAGTTGACAGAACCAAAACCACTGGATGTGGGGCTAATGCAACCTCAAGACTTAGTCCAAATGTCAAATGGGACAACAGGCTAGGACACACTCAGATTTTAGTAGTAGAAACAACATCTTTTAGTAGTAGAAACAACATCTCCTACCACAAAAGGGATAATTGCTGCCGTCCATTCTGCCATGGTTAAAATTAAAAGCACAAGAACCTTCGCTCAGAGTCAAACTTACTAAAATAAAATACTGGAAACAATTTTTAAGCACGTAACAACAAGAGGCAAACACATGTTTATGAATGTGCCGAAGAGATATAGTAATTAGCACGAAAATCCTAGAGAAAAAACTATTGCAAGAAAATTGACATACAGCAATTAGCAAGCCTCACCTGATCACTTAAAGAAAGATGTTTCTTTAGAAGCACCATTCCAGATCTCAAAACATTTCCATTTTGGCCTTCTGTAGATCTTTTCATTTCATTCCGCTTTTCTCTATTCTTTACAAGCAAGGATGGCTTTAGTGTGACAGGAGTTCCAGTACTGGACAGGCAAATATCAAAAGGCTCAATCACAGCATGGCACTCAACCTGACCTGTATCTCCAACACCTGCACTATTTTGGGGACTCCTTTCCAGGGAAGGTTCAGATGGCTCAGAGTCGTCTAGCATGCAGGAGGTGTTCACCTTGCAGGAGAGATCATGATGCAGTAGAGATGCACAACTCTCTGTCTCCTCAACTGGGGAAGGTTCAATCTGTGTTCTTTCTGCGCCAGGCCTAAGCCCTTAGAATCTGACTGACAAGACAATGAAGGAAAATCATCCTTAAGGACTGCATATGAACTGCCCATGGTTTCAGGAGTATTATTTTGCCGTTGACGTCCAACGGCCTTTTTTGCCAATACTCATTAAAGGGGACATTGTTATGTTTAGAACAACTTGACCCACTAGTCGGCGACACGTTCTGCAAATGTCTGCCTCGACTTTGGGACATTCCATTGTCCTGACTGTAACCATAATCCTCATCATAATGCCTCTCAGCTCCAACCTGGAGATGGTAAAACAATAAGCATTTAGGAAAAAAAAATTGTTCATCACTTCTAAGTTCTAACCTCGTATACAAACATTAGCACCAGAAAATATGGTAAGAAATTTGGACCGTCTATAAAAGTCAAAATTCAGGATTTCATTATCGGCAAACCTTACAATTAACCAAAATTTTAGGTTTATGAATAATGTATCGTAATGATAAACATGCGTGGTAAATCTACAATTTTTTTTAAGAAAAAAAAAGATAAAGTGATAATTAAAGGTAATTATATAATTTAATTCAATATAGGCAAAAAAAAATTTCTCCAAAATCGGCCATCGAAGAACCTTCGATTATTACCAAGAGCTAAACCCTTCAAATAATTAAAAAAAGGGAAAATAAAGAAAACGTAAAAAAGGGTAATTGGTAAAGTCAGGGATGAAAATTACAGCGTTGCGACCATGACCAAAATAACCTCCGCGACGCGAGGATCGGCCTCCGCCACCTGAATAACCAGGGCTGGTTCGACCGCGGCCACGATTCATGTTTGCCGGCGTACTAAAATGGAGAGAAAGATTATGACTGTTGGCGGGAAATTTATGGGATGATTTTTTTTGGTGATTTTTTTTAATAATTAATTGTAAAAGATTTTTTACAGTTTTTGAGATTCAATAACTTTCTTTCAAATTAGCATATTAAAATTCAAAACTAATTTTTATTTGGATGTCTAATTTTTCAAAGTAAATAAATTTTTAATTGAAATTGTTTCGGTTTACAATAAATTATGATAAATTACCTTTGTTATATGCACATTGTGTATGGAGTAGTGATTAATAATTTAAAAATATTTATCGAATTATACTTAAGTAAGATTTTAATTTTAAATTTGTGAATAGAAAAAATAAGTGTTGAGAGAGCTTATTTTTTATATAAAATTTGATTTGATTTAACTTCGAATTAATTGAGATTAAAGTGATTATTAGACGCAAAAAATTTCAAATTAAAAAAAATTACGAATATTAAAATTTATCGTTCGATAAATTTTTATTTTATTTTATTAAGAGATTCATAATTTTGTAATATCATTGGCATTCGTTTTTTAAAATTAATTTGATGAATCTATGAAAAAATATATTTAAATTGATAAAAGTTACCACACTATTTTAAAATTTTGTACTTTTTAAAATTATCAAAGAAAAATAAATGTGTGATACATTATTAGAGAAAAAAAAAAAGAAATAAAGAGTGTAAAAAAACATGTTTTTTCTTTTTACACAACTTAGAGAAAACTCAAGTTTTATATGAGGTTATATTTTGTGTGTTATTGCATATGTTAAATTTAAATTACATTAAATATTAAGTATATTTATTTATAATTAATTGAATTTGTAAATATTATAAATTTATAAATGATTTAGTAAGTAATTAGATTAATTTAATTTGAATTTGAATCCTAATTAATTAATAATAAATATAAATCTAACCTTAAAATTTTAAAAATACAAAAAATTAAATACATTTATTCATAATTAATTGAATTTATGAATATCGTAAATTCAAAAATGCTTAATTGAAAGTACATTTATTTATAATAAAAAATAATATTTAACATGATAAATGAATGATACTTTCATAACAATATTTACATAATTTAATATTAAAATAAAAAAATGAAAATATATGTGAGTATATATATTTATATGTATTTTTTTTCCAAAAGCTTGTGTTATAATTTAGAATCGAATTTATAGCTTTCCAAATTTTTGTTGTTTCTTCTAATTTCAAGAAAACAGTCATAATTTCTTTAACGATTAGTACAAGGTTTTCTATTTAAATAATTGGATTTGAATTCTCCTTCTTAAACTTACAAAAAAAAAAAAAAAAGAGAAACAAGTAATGTAAATAAAAAGATCCCAATAACAATAAAAAATCTTGCTCAAGAATAGCAAATATTAAGCGAATTTGTTGATAAACATTTTGATTAAAATCTTTAAAATAAAAAAAAATTGATGAATATCATCAAACAAATTTAAGTTCTCCCTTGCAAAAATGCTTAAACTAAACAAATTTTATGCCTCAGAGCCTTGCAAATGTGTTGAAAAAATTGACAAACTTTTTTTTTTTTTTTAATCTTTCAACAACCATTGTTTTTTATGTCATAGTGCATAGATTTTATTTTTTTTTGACTCGGCTCAAGGGATCTAAGCTAATCCAATACATAAAAGTTGAAATCTAAAAGCTAAATGAATTTGTATATTTATAAGAAATTGTATTTTAGAATTAAAAACATTTTTTTAAAGAAAAAATAACATGTTTTTTCTCATGTAAGAAAGAACAAACCATTTCCTTTTTGCAAAATTTTATTGGACATAATAAAAGGCAAGATTAATTTAATTTAGATCACAAAATTTCCCTTTTTTTTTTTTTTTTGAAAATCAACCATCCAAACCCAAAAAAAAACGAAAAGTGTTGTACCTTTGAAACCTGGAATGACAATCTCAAAGGTACAATCCCTGAAAACACGACGTCCTGAAAATCGTAGCTTAAGAAAAAAACACCCAATCACATTCATTTTTCTATTTTCTTTCTTGTAATAAAAGCCCTGTTTTTAACTCTATCCTTGTTTCTCTCTTTCCGTTTTTTTCACCTCTTAAGACTTATCGGACCGTCGGTCGTTTCCCCATCTTCGTATCGTTGAAATCAAGAAGAAATTCAAAGATCCATATGCTATAATCAGGTACTCCTATAAAACCAATAGTTTTTGTTTATCAATTCGTAAATGTGCTTATAATTGTTTGAAGGAAATTGTTCCTTTTGATTGCAATGTCGTGGAAAATCTTCTCGATATGAGATTCTTTCAACTGAATTTCTGAATTTTGTTAGAATCCCAGAAACAAAGTGTATTTTTTTGAGATCGTGATGGTATTGATTAGATGGGCTGTCTTTGGTTACATTAATTACCATTTGATTAGAAAAGAAGAATTGGGTCGATCTTGGCTTCGATCGATTAAGAGAGTTTAGTGAATATTAGAATTATAGAATTAACTAATTTAAGAATCAAGTTATGTTTTTTATTTGGTTAATTTTAATGATTTGAATGATAATTGTGGAACTGAAAAGTGTTGTATTCTCATCATTTTGGTGGCTAGTTTTACCATTAAGATTTGAGAACCAAATTATGGAAATCTACTCAATTGGTATTTGCTGCATCTTTTGTAAAGAAAAAATAATTAAATATTATAGAATGGAATTTGGGTTGTTAAGTTTTGACTTAAATGGAGTTTATCTTTTCAGTATCTAATCGGGGCGTTACTATTTCATTTTTATTAGTTTGAAGGGATTTTGTGAAGCTGCAAAATAGGGGAGTAAAGATGGTGAAGATGACAATGATTGCTCGTGTTACTGATGGTCTTCCTCTGGCGGAGGGACTAGACGATGGTCGTGATCTGATAGATGCTGAAATGTACAAACAGCAAGTTAAGGCTTTGTTTAAGAATCTCTCCAAGGGCCAGAATGAGGCTTCAAGAATGTCTGTTGAAACTGGCCCTTATGTATTCCAGTATCCTTATTCTGGATTCTATTTTTTGAATCCCATATTTCTTGATTTATGAAATAGGTTTATACTTTGTATTTTTTCTCAGGGAAAAAAAAAGTTTTTGCATAGTTTTGGTATTATTTGCAAGTGTATCTGAGTTGTACTGTTACCTTGACCTTAGTTCTTAGCTATATCATTGAAGGACGTGTTTGTTACTTGACAATGTGTGACCGTGCTTATCCTAAGAAACTTGCCTTTCAATATCTGGAAGACCTCAGGAATGAATTTGAGCGTGTTAATGGAGCTCAAATTGAAACAGCTGCCAGGCCTTATGCCTTTATTAAATTTGGTAGATTCCTTTTCTGTATCTCCTTTGGTTAATTTTATGCTGCTTCTCTTACTAGACTTGATTTTATCTTTTCTTTTTCTTTAAGATACATTCATACAGAAGACGAAAAAGTTGTACCAGGACACCCGTACACAACGGAATATTGCAAAGTTGAATGATGAACTCTATGAAGTTCACCAAATAATGACTCGCAACGTACAAGAAGTTCTTGGTGTTGGTGAAAAGTTGGACCGTAAGATATTCCTATTTCCTTTCATAACTACATTAGGCCATTTTTAATTGAATTTTGTTGAATCAATGCCCCATGATGAATGCTGAATTTTACAATCATGAGCAAGGTAAATGTGCTTTTACAATTTTAATGCATCTGTCCGTTTTGGTTGTTCTGGTTAAAGGGGGGAAAAAACTTGTAGGTGAGACCAGCCTGTTGCTTCTATTTAACTTTTATAAATTACCCTCAATTAGGTAATACACGTTGGAACATGACTGAAAACTGGATGGTTTTCGTTTTTATATTATATATATATATATATATATATATTTGTCTTCGAAAGGAGATTCAATGTTTCTTGTGTGAGTGCATGTGCAGGTTTTATACCTTCCGTTCTTTTGATAGTCTGATTTAGCTGTTCATAAAACTTTGATTTGCATTAATCATACTAAAGCTTGCTTTACTGGTCTTTGCTTCTCATTGAGTGTTTCCAGAGTGTTGTATATCAGTTAACATTATGCCAATTAAGATTTAAGAACTTTACTTCTAGTATTTTATTCTCTACTAGCAATTGGCATGGTTTAATATGCTACGTTCTCTCCCTCTTCTTTTTCACTGGCTGATAGATTGTATTTTTGTTTGTCTAACCAAGTGTGCATTTCACTTCTTTTGCGGATAATGCAGAGGTCAGTCAAATGTCCAGTCGTTTGACATCAGAATCTCGTGTATATGCTGACAAGGCAAGAGATCTAAATCGACAGGTTAGTTTTCTCTGACTAGTGAAGAGTGAAGAATCATTATTTGGAGGCATTTCTTTCTCTTTCTTTCCCCCGTTTTCTAGGTTAAGGCATTTAGCTCTTGCTTGTTGACATTTTTGTTCATGCTACTAAAGGTGTGCTACTAAGTCATGATGTTCTTGGTGGTAAAAATAGATGATTGACATAATATTCTTGATCAGTGTCACAATGACTCCCTGAGCATGGACTGGCATCTCTGGATAGAAAAAGGGAAATCAATTTGTTTGCATAGGGCTCTTTAATGCATCAATTAGTTTGAGTTCTAGGCTTTATTGATAGGCATGAGGACAAACATGAGATAGTTACATAAGTATTTCTTTGTTAAAATTCATTTTTGAAGTTTGTACACCCCCCCCCCCCCCTTTTTAAAAAATCATAAAGAATAATGGATTTAGCACCTAAATGTGATATGATTTATGTCATACAGATTGAGTGAAGTTTCCATAAGTAAGTGCCATGGATGAAGGATGCTTTGATTAGCTTTGTTGCTTAATTTCCTTAAACTAAATTTGGATTTCATTTTTCTTTTAAATGGTTCCTTTGGCAAGAGGTTTAAGTCAATTTTCCATGTTCTTGTTGTGGCCGGACTATTTTTGCAATATTTCTTGATTCATTTTAGAGATTATAATTTTCAGCAATACTGAAGTTTGAAAATTCTTGATATGTTTCACCAATTGGCCTGTAGGCTTTAATTCGGAAGTGGGCTCCTGTTGCCATTGTGTTAGGAGTTGTCTTCCTCCTCTTCTGGGTGAAATCAAAGTTATGGTGATTCCACTTTGCTTCATAGCACTCGTCATGGAATTTCTTGGGTTTCTCTATGTTGCTGTGGATAACTTCTTGAGACCAAACATTGGAGTGGATTCTGGTATTTGCTCATAACACAATTCGGCGAAGTCTAGGGACATTTGCAATGTGGAACTGTGAAAGAGGGACCCTACCTTAAGAGAATTATGTTAAAGACAAAACTATTCTTTCTATATGTAAAAGCCAGAATACAACAGCAAATAGTAAATTACTTAAAAGCTTCGTGTGGTAATTATTTTAAGTATTAGCACATTATTGCCATTTTCCTTCTATGGACTTACTAGTGTTTATTTACTCAATCTATGGCCCACCACGTTCCCGAGGCAATGTATCGAATTAGTTTTTTTTTTTTTTATACACTGTGACAAAGCCATGTTCTCGTCATTATTTATGTTTACTCACCCCCAACCCTGCATATATTTGTATTTCATACCTTTATTTGTAATTATTTACAAATAAAGTGTCGATAGTTGAGTCTCCATTTCGTTTCGATTTTATCGCACTTTTGATGTGATATGATTATATTTATTATATTATTAATTAAATTTAAATATTAATTTTAATTAAGTTAAATTAACATAAATTTTTTATTAAAAATTTTTTTAATCATAATTACATTATTTTTTTTTTCAATCGTAATTATAATAATTTTTATTATTGTTTTCAACTTTATCATTCGTTAAAAGGGAGCTTGAGTTTGCATAGACAGGATTAGATGAATTATTATATATTTATTTGTTTTGGCCATTATTATATATTTTAAGTAGTGCAACTCCAATCCATTTTCACTTTTTTTTTTTTAATAAAAAAAGTTAAACTTCTGCAATGAGCTTAGTGGGCCTACCTCCAATGACCCAATAAAACTTTTTGGGCCCATTAAATGAATTGTTATATATTAATTTCTTTTGGCCATTATTATATATTTTAAGTAGTGCAACTCCAATCCATTGTCACTTTTTTCTTTAGTAAAAAGAGTTAAACTTCTGCAATGAGCTTAGTGGGCCCACCTTCCATGACCCAATAAAACTTTATGGGCCCATTAGACACCCCAACGGTAAAGAAAACTTGAATTTCAAATTCTCTTCCATAAAGGGCCTAGACCCCAAAATTGAAACTAGGAACCAGAGTCATCATTCATCAATGGCAATCTATGACTCTGAAAGCTCTAAAGATTACAACGAAGGATTCGAAGAAGAAATAGAAGATTGCAGTAGTTTCTATGGATCCGACCCATATTACGATTCGGGTACTGACCCAAGTTACAGCATTGAAGAGGACACTCGCGCCAAGTTCCAGAAATCGTCCATCAAGAAAAAATCAAGGCCAGGGTAACTCGTATATCCCCACATATATTAGCAATTAATTTTAGTTTAACATGGTGGATTGCATTAGAGTTTTTAATTTTTAGTTTTTTTTTGGGTTTTTTGTTTATACTTGCAGTGTTGCTAGGGATTCTGATTTCAGTATTGAGAAAGACCCAGAAGAAAGGGAGATGGATTTGCCTGAGGTTGATGACAAAAGTTATGAGAATGTTCAAGAGATTATAAAAGGTTAGTACTTATGATCTCAATAGAAGGAAATGAGAAATGAAAAGAATGATCAGGAAAGATTTTCATATTCATTTTCACTGAAATTAATTAGTTTTCTGGTTGTTTTATTTTGGAAATGTGATTTTCTTGCTATAATGCTTGGCAGCTGGGAAGCTAGAGAAGCTGAAAGTAGATGAATGTAAGGTTTATCTGAGGAAAAATGGACTTAGATTGAGTGGAAAAAAGGATCTGCTTATTCAGCGCATTAAAGAGCATTTAGAGTAATCTCCATTTTCTATAGTAGCAACATCATTTTGTAGACTTACTGAATTTTTTTTTTAATTATTGTATAATGTATTTTAGGATTTTAAATGGTGGAGGGGAGAAGAAGTATCCGCTATCCAGCTTTGTATTGAACTGTAAAGGTACATATTTTAGCTCATGGTTTACTGAATTCAGAGTTTTTGAACCAGCTTAAAATTTAAGAAAACACTCCATATCAATTTATACCTGCTATATTATATGACCTGATCGAGTTTTTTTTTTCTTATTTTAATAGATTTTTTTATGCATAAGGTGTTCAAGATTTGTACCTGCTTTCTTTATAAATTTGTTCTGAGAATCAAAGGAATTTGGTGCAGGTGATGCATGCACTGGTGATGTCGTTATGTTTGAGCAGAATGTTTATGAAACGTAAGTGTTAGGGTTATTTTTTTGCACCAAAATATAAAGGAACATAGATGCAAAGTAGCCCTTTATATAATTCTGAACTAGACGTCACTTTATACCATGCATATTACATACCACTGTACGAGAAATAATTATAGTTTCCAACTCATTGTCTAATTCTGCCTGTACAAAATTTTATATTTTGTTAGACCTGTTTAATCCATATACTAATCATTTCAGGTTTAACATAGCATCGCGAAGTGCTTGTGGTCCTCCATGTGGTACAAGAATTATTGCAGGCCGCATTGTCAAAGAAAGTTATGGTGCTGCCAAACAGCAGCATACATTTACAGTGAGTCCAAGGCCATACATAATATAGAATAAACTTGTTTAGATTAGAAAAAAGAGAACAAGACATTAAATCTGTTTATTGTTCTTCCTAGTCAGTTTACACCCAAGTATGGCTTAAATAGCATTTTAAGGCAATAATTTGAATGAGAAAGAGCATTGAAGGAAACAACCGATTTATATTTACCTGATGCCTTTTGAAACTTTGAGCCACATTGATACTGAGTTTCCTGTGTTTAGGTGTAAAAGTTTTGCAACTTATTCCTAGTTATGTAAAGCAATCACCAAAACAGAACCAGATCTAGTGTTCTTTGGTTGCTTTTTCTATTAATTCAATAGAAGATGACTCTGGAAGCAACATTACCTTTTATGTTTCTCATAATATTGGTAAACCCATTTGCTTCATAACCCTCCAATTATGTCATTAGGCTAGATTAAAGAATGATAAGGGCCTAATTGGTGTTTATCCTACAACTGCATGCCGAAAATATGCTGTTTGATATGACCCATATAAAAGGATGAGATATTAACCTCAAGGATAAGGTAAAAGTTAACATGATGTTTGTGGCTAATGTGATCAGATAGAAGTCCTCTGGAGTAGAGGGAAGAAACCGCTTCCTCCACTTTACCCCCTCCTAATTAAGGGTCGGAACCTCTACCGATTGAAGACTTTGAGGCAGGTTTGAGGCATTTCAATGGTTTTCCTTTTCAGCTGTCCAATGATTTGTGAATATAATGCTAAGTTATCCATACTACTCATCAGAGGTGGGAAGATGAAGGGGAGAGGCAAAAAGTTTTAATGGACAAGCATTCGAGGGGCTCACTTGCCAGGTCAAATAGAGAAGTGCGGATCCAGGAAAAGGAAAGAAGGAGAATGCTGAGAGCAGATAGGTAAATTTGGTTCTGATTGCACTTCAAAAGATTCAAAATTTGTTTAGAGTGATGCTAAGTATTCTGCACTAAAAAACCAGAAAAGATGCTAGTTAAGGATGTTGATGCTTGGAATCTCATTTTAGTTGCTCTTATCATGTATGGACTTTAGGATCTTAAAACAAGAACAGAGCAAGAATCAGTCCCACTTAAGTTCAATAACAACAATACAGCCAGGCTCATCTACTAATTCAGGGATGTTAGCCCCCCAACATCAACATTCAGGTTTAACTGTTTTAGCAGGAAAAATAACAAGTCAAACTTGTGGCGGATCACTCTTCGATTTAGAGAAACTATCAATTATGTCTCAGCGATCAGGTGTCTTAGCTGAATCTCAGCAGCTTGCAATTCAACCTCAGCAGTCAGGTTTATCAGTTGCTCCCAGAGAAAAAATGATTCAACTTTCTGAACAGTCAGGTTTTTGTCCTAATTTTTGGACTAAAAGTTTTCAATCAGAATGTCAAAATGTTCATATATGGAACAGATATCAGAATCAAATTCCTTGTGATTCGCTCAAGAGCAGTGGCATTCAGGAGGTCCAGCTTCGAAGGGGTGATAAATTGTACGAAAGCTGCAAACAACCAAACCATATGAATATATACTGGAATTGTACCAGTGATAAATCCATGGCAAGTGGAACGAATAAAATGCCTGAGCCGAATTATCATAGACAGCAGCTGAAAAGCATGAACCATTGCCACCACCCAGCAACTCTGCCACAGAGGCAAGGATTCCTTTCACAAAAGCTTTGCCGATATCATGCTCAAGGACGTTGCTATTATGGAGAAAACTGCAAATTTTTGCATGAACCAAGAGAGGTGCATGGAGCAGGCGAAAGGAGATGCTGGAGGTAAAGAAAGATGGCCTTATGAACAAATCTTAAATTTTTAGTGTCCAATGGTTTGGGCAACAAATTCAAAGTTTGATGGATTTCATGGAATTTATAGTATGTCCAATGGAATAATTGAGCTTTTTGCGGGTTTTATTTAGCGTTTGCTGTACTACCAATGCCTCTTGAATGCCGTTTTCTTAGTAAAAGTTGGTAAAGATATGCTTAAATGTTTCTTTCACTGCTTTTAGACATTGGTTGAAAATATCAATGCCACTTCCTCTTACCTACCTAATTTTTTGCACTGCCTGCATCTCAATCCGGATTGCTGTAAACTAAATTGAAATCAGGTTGTGCTAGGCTATGCCTTTTTTGAAAGCCCTTTACCAGCATAGCAAACATGTACCAGTCAATTTGACAATTACTTGTGTAACTATAACCCGAGTTTTCAAGTAAACCCGAGTTGCTGGTATCAACCAGATCATGGCAGAAAACCCAGTCTACATGCAATTTTAGTGTTCTTTCCTTGCTGAAGCCAATCAAGTTAGATGGTGCAGGAGATAAGCCAAAAATGACAGCAGGCGTTTAACTCTAATATCTAGAGTAGCGTGAGTGCATGTTATTGATAGCTTCGATAAAAAAAAACCATATTTGGTCGTTTTCTGATGGCTTTCTTTTCTTTTTTTTTTTTAATTAGGAGAAAATATTATATAAAACAGGTATATCATGTCAGCTAATATCACTTTCATATAAATGGTATTGTTTTGTCAACTACATGTGTCAATATTTGATATATTTCTGAGCAATGGAAACCACGTGTGATGCAGAATATTTCTGAGAATTGGTTACTCCATGTCATGTCAGCTAAAATCACTTTCACACTGACTGATATTTTTCTTTACTAACAGTTAAAAACTGTCTTAATCTCTTGGAGATAAAAGATGAAAGTAGGTTGGACATTGGACACAGGATTTGACGTTTTCCATATGATATTTTCCACTTGCGTGCTTAAATTTGCAACCGACACTTAGATTTAGGTACATAGAAAATTTTAACCAGCTGTTGATTTCCTAACTCTGTGACAAAAATGACGTACTAGGATTTGATCAAATTTCTTTAACTTATACTTGCTTCCAGGATTCATTGTCAAGATCTTTCTTTGATAGCTTGTGAATCCAAAACAAAACAAGAGAGCTATGGCCCAGTACCAATGATTCTATATGAGAGGGGTGAAGTCATAAATCAAGACAAAAAACAAAGGCTGGCTGCTGAGTGGGGAATGATTCTCTGGATGCCGACTAGTAATAGCATAGATTTAGCTGAAGTCGATAGATCAGAATACGGGAAAAATAAATCTAACCTTTTTGAGGTGGGAGAGATGGCAAATTCAAAGAAGACAATCTAAGAAATTCTGTCAGTTTTTTACTTTTCTTCTTCATTTTTATAATTTCCAAGTAAAGATTTAGTTTTCAGAGCAAGTTGTTAGCAAGGACCTAGAAAGGTACAACACTAGAGATTTTAATAATCATAGTTCATTGGAAATTGAAAATTTAGAGATTGTTGCCCACTATCTGCTCTACCTTCACATAATAAGAATTCTGCTCCTATGGGTATGTTTTTGGAACATCATCTCGCTTTAATTATCTTTTGAGCTTCAATCCATTCACCGATTTTCATGGCATTCAAGCACCTCTCAAATATACATGTCTGTACCTAGGAATGTTCAGGAATCATAACAAGTTCCCTTTGATTTTGTGCCCAATTGCCACTTAACAATTTCAATTGTTAGTATGTAAAGCTTGAGAATCGTATAGGTGATATAAGCGTTTCCTTTTTCGTATTAATGGTCGCAACAATTTTTTTTCTGAAGCTTCAACAGAAGCATTGCCTATTGTACTGAATCCCAGCAATAAAGGTCTGTATACGCAACTCTTCTAAGATTTATTCCGGAACGTATGCATTGGATTGTTATTATTAATGAAATTGTAGTGGTAGTTAAAGCTAGATATACCAGAACGTCCAAACATGATTGATGTCCCATGTTTGCAGGATAATGGCAGCAGAACCTGTTAATGTAAATGAATTCAGAGAATTAGCAAGGCAAGCCCTTCCAAAAATGTACTATGATTTCTACACTGGGGGGGCGGAGGACCAATGCACCTTAAAAGAGAACGAGGAAGTGTTCAGCAGAATAATGTAATGTGTTAAATTGGTTAATGATCTACAGCAAACTTGTCGGATCGTTTTACTAATTACAATGTGTGAATTCTCAGTATTCTGCCTAGAATTCTTCGAGACGTGAGCAGCATTGATTTATCAACTACAGTGTTGGGTTATAATATCTCAATGCCAGTTATGATTGCTCCAACTTCTATGCAAAAGCTGGCAAACCCTGCAGGTCTAAGTCCTCTCCAAAGAGTTTTGATAGAACTTAAAACTTTTATTCACTAGCTTTATGTTTTCATTCCAGGAGAGATTGCAACAGCCAGAGCAGCATCTACATATAACACAATAATGGTATTAATTAAATATAAATGAACTTTGCTTAATTGTTTTGGCCCAAAAAAAAAAAAAAACTCTTCCTTTCTGAGTTTAGGTGTTTAAGTTATTGTGTCTATTTTGACTATCAATCATTATTCCAGGTTTTATCCACCTCATCTACCTGCTCATTGGAGGAAGTAGCTGCCTGCTGCAGTGCCGTTCGCTTCTTCCAATTATATGTATATTTGGCCTTACTTGAGTTCTTTCAATACCAGATGTAGACTTTATCATTATTTATCCCCAGCAGTTTCTTCTCTGTCCTTAGCAATATCATTGATAGGAAATGAACTCTAATTTGGTTTCATCTGAATAGGTGTATAAGAGACGGCATATATCAGCTAAGCTGGTGAAGAGAGCTGACAATAATGGATATAAGGCTATTGTCCTAACTGCTGATACTCCAAGACTTGGTCGAAGGGAGGCAGACACTAAGAACAAGTAAAATATCAGCATTCTCACTTTCATTGAGTTTCTACCAACCAAAATTTGAATTGCCTTTAACTGTTTAGATTAATCTGCTTTATATCCTTGAAATTAAACACTGTTGTGGTTTTACATCATACATGAAAAGTTTTCTTGTCATATCATGTTAAAGATTACTTTTTACAAACCTCTGCAGACTCATTGTACCTCAGCCGAAGAACCTGGAGGGTCTATTATCAACTAAATTTGTTTCTGTGAGTGGAACAGTTATCATTCAACATTTATGAACTAAAGATTCAGTTGCTTTGAATGTTTAGATTTATCTGCTTCATATAACTAAGACAAAGCACTTGTTCTGGTTTTACCGTGATAAAAGTGTTATTTCTGACTGACATTGTGCATGAAAAGCTATGCCTTATGCATCATTTGAGACACTGATTATTTGGAAATCTCTGCAGAATCATTGTACCTTAGCTGAAGAATCTGGAGGGTCTTTTATCAACTAAAAATTTATCTCTAGTGTAGTCCCAATCCAACATTTTGTGTTGGAATTCCTTTTGATCTAAGACTATTGCTTGGACTGCACTATCTCTCTTTTATCTCCGCACTGCTGAGCATAAAAAAGGAGAAATAATGAACTTTTATTGATTATAAAATACATAAGGCTGTCTCTTACAAAATAAGCTATTGTTTTACATTTTTCATTTAAAGCACTTTCTCAGAGAGGGGTTCAAAGTACTGAACCCAGTATTTGCTCTTTCTTTTCTCCTTTTTCTGCCTTATTTTCTCAAAAACTATGTCAAATCAAAAGTCTGAAGCTAGTATTTGGCATATGAAACCTGTCCATTCTCTTTTGGATAATTGAAGGAAATTAATAAAAACAAAGGATATAAATTACATCAATTAAGCCTGTTTGATGTTTGTCTTAATGAAAAATATATTACCTGCAATAAATTTTACAGGATGCAGGTTCAGGTTTGGAAGCTCTGGCCAATGGGACTCTTGATGCTTCTTTCTGTTGGGAGGTAACAATAAATATATAGGAAATGCCCAAGTCCAAACTAACTCTTGTTTTTTGATAGGAAATCTTTACTAGTTTGTTTGAACACTTTGTACAAAGGGCCTCACATATGTAATGGACAGTTTCTTCTCTCCATAACATTAGTGTTGGTGGGGAAGAATAGGGTGAACATGAGAGCAATGGTTGTGGTACTATTATTGGTTTAACTAGTACATTGTCATATCTGCAGGATATCAGATGGTTGAAATCTATTACAAACTTGCCAATTCTGATCAAAGGCGTGCTCACTCATGAAGATGGTAAGGTTGAGGCGCCACCTGATAATATATTTTTCATCTCTTTATTTCTTTATTTATACGGGATAGATTACAAGAAGGATTGGATCATCTCTCCATCTTTAGAGCTCTAAGGCTCTAAAAAAAAAGTTTGGATATTGATTTTGGTCCATGTTGTCTTAAATTTATCTTTTCTAGGATGATAAATTTTCAAAAAGACTCCAGTTGAAAGCACATTTGGAAACCTTAGTCCTAGTTGAGCACACCATTACTCAGCAATTTATAGGCCCTTCAGCTATTCATTTAGATTCTGTTTCTTACATATATGCTCAAAACTCAAAGGGTTCAGTAGATGCATATCATTTTTAACTTGTAGAAATTGGGGTATTTATTGTTCTATATAGTTTTTAACCTGTTTTCTTGGTTGTATATTTGTGTCTACGCACTTTCTTTTGGCTTGTCTGCTAATTGAGTTGCTTGTTGAATATTGATATTACTTTTCACAGCACTAAAGGCTCTGGAAGTAGGTGTTGCTGGGATTATTGTCTCCAATCATGGAGGTCGCCAGCTAGATTATTCTCCGGCCACTATTTCTGTTTTGGAAGAGGTGCACTCCTTCGCATATTACTCTTGTTGGCATTGTTGCAGCTATAGAATTTTATGTGCCAAACTGACAATTTAGTTAAGCAAATCAACCATCAGTTTTACATTCTTAACTCCCCAAAGAAAGCCTTCGTAAAATGTGCCAGCATATGAGAGATTATTGAAATTTCTTAGCGACAAATCTGAAATAATTTTATAGGTGCTGATGCATTCATGCATATGGAATTTTCCAACTCACAGCTTTTGTTTCTTAAAATTTGAGTATGCTACTTCGCTCCAACATGTTTGCTAGCAAGGAAGATTCTCATTCTGTTTATTTTTGTGCAAAATGAGGTTACAGGTAGTTCATGCTGTTGGAGGAAAAGTTCCAGTTTTCCTTGATGGAGGAATACGGCGAGGAACAGATATTTTCAAGGCTATTGCCCTTGGTGCACGAGCTGTCCTGGTAAGCTCTTAAACTGCCATTTATAAGCTCAGTTAACAAATAAATCCCATGTTTCATTCACCCATTTCCTAGTGGTTGTATGGTAGCATCGGATTGCAACCGCTTATGCTAATAATTAAGACGGTTCACACTCACCAGGCTATAATTGGGGTTCATTTCTTTTTTTCCCTGTCACACTTTCCTTCAAGTTAAAATTATGAAACCACAGAGCTTTTGCATTCTTTCCTGCACTAACTTTCTCCGTTTTTCTCTATGTGCTCTAATAAGACAGTTTTGTATGTTATAGGTTGGAAGGCCAGTTATCTATGGACTTGCAGCGAAAGGGGAATCTGGAGTCAGGCGAGTCCTTGAACTGCTTAAGGATGAACTTGAACTAACTATGGCCCTTTCTGGTTGTTCTAGTGTGAAAGAAATTACTAGGAGCCTTGTCACGACCAAACATGAGCAGCTTCCCTCAATGCTTTAAATTCCAGCAGAAACAAATTTCCAGTAGATGGATTATGTCAGGAACTTTTTAGACATCAAATAAGTGAAAGCTAAGTTGAAGCCTTACCTTAACAATGTTCCTTCATGTTTTTCATCAGTTCTGCACCTTTCTACCATTGTTGAAATCGTATCTTTAGAATTGTAATGTGTAGGAATATAAATAGACTTAAGATTACCTACTCCAATACTACTTCCCAAGACAGATTTCCTGATGTTTGCTTCCCAAACTCTCAAAGATTTACTTCTTGATCAGCTTCTTGTCCTTCTTGTTTACGAAACAGTTATTAGGTCCATAAGTTTTTATACTACAAATTCAAGGATTTTTTATGGATACTCAAGGATTAAACAAGAGAGAAATTTACTAGTGTAATTGAGATTAACCCATCTTATTAATTTCTAGAAGTATATTAGCTTATTTATATAGCTTATATATCAATCATATTAGAACTAAACCTCTTACATGCAATTCTATTATAAATACAATTTTAATTCAACTCAGAAATTAGATAATGCCTATATAGGTGTACACTACTGATGGATTTGGTTCCATTTAATCTTACCTATATTTTAACTGAATGAATAACAACAAACAGCTTCCATGACCAAAAAGGACCAAAGAGTTTCATCTATAGAAAAATAATGTTTCAAATATTGCTGTTCACATCTTTCCCTGTATACATTATGCTCAACTACACTTTTTAAATGTTAAATGGCATAATCATGGAGGTTTAATTGGGTAATCGTAATCCATGCAAGTCTGATGTTCTAGATTGAGAAAAATTCAAAATTGGGTAGGAATAATAACACTTCATTGATCAGATTGGACAAAATCAAGAAGAACGATAGTCCGTCTAGCCACTGAGCGAAGTTGTGGGTCTTAAGATTTATGGTACGAATTGAAGTTGGCGTATAAACAATCATGTCCCACTTGAAATAGAGCTGAGTTTGGGCCCAAATCATGGAATAGAAACAGGTTAAGGTCTTTCAGTTGGATCATTCATGGTCATAGATGAGGTTTGGTTTCTAGGACTCGAGCGGATCAAACATTTTTCCTCTACTAAAAGACAAACAGAACCGACCTTGTCAGTGTTCAGAATTGATGATAAATCAACTACCAATTGTGAGAGCTGCAAGGTTGGACTTGACAGAAAGGACAATGAATGAATCGTCTTTACTCGTCTTTTTTGCCAACACTACATATATGCACAGTTGCATATATTGGAATTGAAACTTTTTTATCATTGGGATTTTGCAGGGTCATTTTGGTATAGTTCAGTCATCAAAGGTACACTGTAAACTTTATCAAACAATTTTTAATTCAAGTAAGAAACTTCACTTTGGTACTGTAATTTGTGTCTTTTTTCTTTTAATTTAGCCATGTTATATGACTCTTAGAAAGAGTTTTAGGGTTTTAGCATAAGATAGCAAATTGGTGCTTTGGGCAAAATTAAATGTTAGTATTATGTTTTCCATGAATTTTATTACTGTGATTTTTTTTATTAGATTTGGCTTTTGCCTATTTTCTCTATTATGAACTATGCTCTGAATAAAACCTGTTTAGCCGCTTACGAGCCCCAGCTTTTCTCGAGCCAGTCTAGTGTGTATCCTTGTAAGAAAATTTATCTCAAGGTTTTTTCAGGATAAAATGTGAATCTTTTATGATTCTGGATAGTAGCAACATCCTTTTAGGTTGTTTGTGCAATAGAAGTTTAATTATGACCTAAAATACGTATTAGAAGTAAGGGCTCTGGAGCATTGAAAATTGATAATGCCATTTCTTTTTGCTGTATCAGGATCTCTATTTCCGGGATCAATGGCAGCTGAACCAGTTAATGTTAATGAATTCCAAGAATTAGCCAGGCAAGCCCTTCCCAAAATGTACTATGACTACTATAGTGGTGGAGCCGAGGATCAGCACACACTAAAAGAGAATGTGGAAGAATTTCATAGAATTACGTAAGCTGTTAAGCCTGCTAATGAAATTGATGTAGCTAGAAAAGTAAAACAGTCTACTGATATGGATACTTCCATTCTCAGGATCCGGCCAAGAATACTTGTTGATGTCAGCAGGGTCGATTTGTCGACTACTGTTCTAGGGTACAAAATCTCAGCCCCTATTATGATTGCTCCAACCGCTATGCATAAGTTGGCACACCCTGAAGGTTTGAATCCTCTTATGCTGTCTGTTTAATGTTTTATTTCAAGTACCAGTTCAACTATTTTTGTTGTGTTTTTAACAGGTGAGGTCGCCACAGCCAGAGCAGCTGCTGCATGTAACACAATAATGGTATAAATATAATATAAATAGTTTTAGGCTCATTGGCTTGCCTTAAGTGTGAATACTGAGATTGTGTTATGAATGCAGATTTTATCCTACATGTCTACCTGTACTGTTGAGGAGGTTGCTTCAAGCTGCATTGCTGTTCGGTTCTTGCAATTATATGTATTATGCTGCTTCAAGTCTTTTAGTGAATCTTCATTTTTTTTTTTTTACAGCAATTTCTCTTTGTCCTTCCGGATTTCCAATATCACAGGCAAAGAACTGAATTTATAACAGATTAATATTTATCCTTCTGTGAACAGGTCTACAAGAGGCGAGATATATCTGCTAATTTAGTGCAGAGAGCTGAAAGATGTGGATACAAGGCCATTGTCCTAACTGTTGATGCTCCTAGACTTGGTCGAAGGGAGAAAGACATAAAGAACAAGTGACATAGTGTCTCCTTTCATTCATTTTGTTTCAGTCTGACAGATTCATATAACTTCTTTATATGCTATAGATAGGGCACAAATTTTGTTCCCTAATGTTGTAGAGAACATTAACTCATTCATCCACACATTTAAAGACAAGTTGAAATTTATGCCTTTCATTTGAAATTTTTCATACTTTTGCAGAATGGTTGCACCTCAATTGAAGAACTTTGAAGGTCTCATATCGACCGAAGTTTCCTCTGTAAGTGAAAATATTTTATTTTCCCAATTATTGCTGAATATAACAGGATGCAATGTCTGACCACTACTATTTAATTGGAAAGAAATATGCATTAATGCTTATATCCATGTTCAGAGAAAAAAAGTCATTTTGGCCTGGTCATATGAGGGCATATCACCCTTGGATAAGGCAGGATCATATTTCCAAGCCAGAAGGCTCAGTGCTAGCTTGGGGTTCACTGATGATATACATGTTTATGCTCTCTTCCTTTATGGGAATTTATCCACCTTGGAAATTCTATTCAAAATTGAGATTCATTATAAGCATGTAATAGTCATTCAGTATATTGAACTTTTACAGGATGACGGTTCAAATCTAGAAGCTTTTGCCAACAATACATTTGATGCCTCTTTGTCTTGGAAGGTATAAAGTATAAACCAATAAACTGGATTGATTGACTTGTCGCATATTGTTTGGAATTGAATAAGTTCCCATCCTTATGTTAGAAGTAAATGATGAATATACAGGACTGTTCTAAATACTTAAGTTGTTTAATTTACCATCATCTCAAAACTTTGATAAAAGGTCCTTAAATGGAAGCTCCTATGTGTATATAATTTTTCACTTTTATTTTTAGTCATTAGGCATATAAGCACCCATGTTTTTTTCACTCCTGTTAACTTGAAGCTGTGCATCACAACATTTGCAGGACATTAGATGGTTAAGATCTATTACAAATTTGCCGATTTTGATCAAGGGAGTACTTACTCACGAAGATGGTAAGAAAAGGCTTATTAAATCAGTTGCAGTATAGTTTCTTGCTATATACAGTAAATGATTAAAATTTTTATTCTCAACTTTTGAAATTTGAAATGTTTTGCGTACAAGAATTGCTATGGCTTTAATATTTTTAAATTTTTTTTAAGTAAATTGACAAAGATAGAGTTTTGAAACCTTTACTCCTAGAATTCTAGAGAGGATTCCCTTTTTAGCTGGACTTCATGTTCTAGGATGAACTACTCTATGCTGTCACTTCCTTTTGGTTCAGTTGGTTTGAAGGATAGAATATGGTTAGATATTCTTAGTAGTTCAACTGCTCTGCCCTTGTGAGTTTATAGAAACTTTTTTCCTCTTTTTCTTTTTGGATGCTCTGGTTTACTCGATATAAAATCATCACTTGAGATTTGATATATCAAAATTGGCAGCAATTAAGGCTGTTGAAGTAGGCGTTGATGGGATTGTTGTCTCCAATCATGGAGCTCGCCAGCTAGATTATGCTCCAGCTACCATTTCTGTTCTTGAAGAGGTAAACCTGTCTCAGTTGATCATGCTTGCTTGTTAAGCTTTTAGATTTTCCAACGTGATTAGATTTCTATAGGAAGTGGTAAATGCAGGAAAAGTCATGGTTTTTTTTTATGAAGTACGTAAGGGGAAATAAAATTGCCGATTGTTAAATACATGTTAACAGCTATGTTTCTCCCAATCTGTGTTTTCTTTCTTCTACTATTTCAATTTGTTTTTGTGGCTTCTCCTAGTTGTAATGTCTTTATACTTCCCTCATCTTGTCACTAAAATCAGTTGTGCTTGTAAATCTTAAACTAGAAATGTCTTTGGTAGCACTTGGCTTATAAGAACATTTGCATTAGGCATGCTCTTCCCTTTCCATTTCTTTTGGAGATATATAGAACCAAGAACAGATATTTTTACCATGGTTTGCAGGTAGTTCATGCTGTTAAAGGAAATGTTCCTGTTTTATTTGATGGAGGAATAAGGCGGGGAACAGATGTTTTCAAGGCGTTAGCCCTTGGTGCGCAAGCTGTCCTTGTAAGTTCTTTCTGGATCCCATTCCACTGTTCCTTTTGGACATATACTAGATTAATCTTCCTATATTGTGCACCTGCGCATTAGCACCTGACAACAAAAGCGCCTCAGACCCTTTGGACTAGGCGCATTTTGTCAGGCATACGTCTAGTTCTCCTAGGTGTTTTTTTTCATAAGGTGGTTGGTGCAAAAAAAAAAAAAAAAACCATTGAAGTTCTCTTTAATTTCCTTTAATTTATTTATTTTTTCATTAATTGTAGCTTTACTAGTAAAAAAGGGGGAAAATATCAAACTCTTTTGAGTATTCAACAACAAACATGAAACCGTAAAGAAATCATGCGTATTGGCCAATAGAAGAAATATAAAATTTTGCATATTTACAAGGATAAACTGGACCACTCTTTAGAGTTTATTATCAGATATATATATATATATATATATATATACATACATCTTAAGCTTGTTTTATATATATACAAACACACATACATAAACAATACTCTTAGATTCTTGAATTGCTTTTGCCTCTAATACTTTTCAATCTTTAATCAACACTTTGTGGACACTGACATGTAAGAGTTGCAGATTGGAAGGCCTGCTGTCTATGGGCTTGCAGCAAAGGGAGAATATGGGGTGAAAATAGTTGTTGAAATGCTGAAGGATGAGCTTGAGCTCACCATGGCCCTTTCCGGATGCCCTACTGTGAAGGATATTTCCAGAAACCATGTCAGAACAAAGCATGAGAGACTCCACTCTATGCTTTAAAATCTATCATTATTGTTACTTCCCATTGATAAGTTTGTTCAGATCATTACTGAATCTGTCATCACATAATTAAACAAAGGCTGTCATACAACAAAAAAAAAGTGAATAAATTTGTTCCAAGGAATGGTTGAACTACTTTCCATTCGAGGCATTTGAGAAAACTGCAACTTCTCAAATCGAGCACTCTTGAAGAATATTAAACAAATGTTACTGCATGCTGGTGATATAAGGGCAAATTATTTACATGACTTAAAAGTTTTAATGCACATTATATTTTTATTGAACAGTTAAATCTTCACTTAGTTTTTTTTTTTTTTTTTTCAATGAAATATATTAGTTAGCTTTAATGGCACTCTAACAAAATAAAATTTATTTCTATTACCGAGAGTTACATTTTTAATTGAAAAAGTATTTTTCTTTTTTCAGAAGTTTGTCTGATATCTATACTACACTAGATTAAAAGAGTTCCTTAAGGATTCTCAATGTGACATCTACCCAATATTATTAAATTACTATCGTACTTTTATTCAAAATTTTGTTTTTAATTATTTTATGTTATTTTTTTGTTTTATGTTATTTAATTATTTCTTTATTTTTTAATTTGTTATTTATTTAAATTTTAAATTAGGATAGATTTTAATTAGTTAAAAAATAATAATTTTATAAATTTGAAAAAAAAAGTAATAAATTTTGGAAAATAAATAAAAAAATTCCGTTGATACAATTTTTAATAATCATTAATGGTAGATTTAAAAAAAAAAATTTATATGAGATTTTTAAAAAAATTTTACCCAAATTATGTAAAATTTTAGAAAATATTCAATAATGATAATTGATATTAATTTTCTAGCCAAAAATAATATGTATTTAAATTTTGAAAAAAACTAAAAATCATTTCAAAGATGATTAAGTTTTGAAAATAAATAAAATTTTTTTCAAAAATTAAATTCAAAGAAATTACAGATGATTGATTTGTTAAGAAATTTTTATATGAAAAGCTTTTCTAAATATGATCCAAGTGACGAAATTTTTTTTAAAAATGTCAATAATGATAATTGGCATTTATTTTCAAGCAATTATAAAATAAAATTGAGAAATTTATAAACATAATAAAATAAATTTTATTTGGTATTAAAATTTAGATTTTTAGAAATAATAAATTCAGTAATAAAAATTTTATAAATCATGAATGAATAATTTTTAAAAAAATTATTAGATGAAAAATTTTTTTTTTAAATATGATCCATACGATGAACTTTTTCATCAAATAAAATGATAAAACGACTTAATTAACATTTGTAACTAACCCATTCGTAACGGGGAATCAACACTAGTGTAATATGAAACTATTGTTATTTTGAGAAGAGGGAAATAAAACTTATCTCTATAAATAGAGAGAAAAAAAGTACATATAATTAGTCAAATACTCGGGTGCTAAAAATATTTCTTAGTTACTACACATCAACGTTAAATTTTTAAGATTTTACTCGCAAAAGAAAAACAAGATTTCAGAGGGGGAAGCTGGCCCCATTGCAACTTGTCTCTGGGTAGCTTGGCACCAAGGCGGCTTAAGTATTAGCTTTCGCACTTATCAAAGAGTACCTCATTCCCTTTTGAGTTTTGATCAAAAGCTGATCTGTCTGCAAAATTAACTTTACAGGTTCTTCCAGGAAAGGGATTGCTAGGCACCAAGGCGGCTTAAGTATTAGTTTAAGAAAAAGAGTGCTGCGAACATGCTATGTGTTGCCAACAGAGTTGCTTTTGTTCACACCCAGCTCCATAGGAGAATTTGTGATGCTACTAACTGAGCCAAGGGTCTGGGAGCTCAATTGGGGGCTAGCTGGACAAGCCTCTGGGTTACCGGCACTTAGTGCATGTATAGCACCTGAGCTCAGCTGTGGACTCATGGGAGTCCTTTGATTCATTTGTTGTGGGCTGGTCTGTTGCTGGCCCTGCTGTTGCTGAGGTTGCTGGTTCAATTGTGGAATTCCGATGGTTGATGGAGAGCCTAACTGTGAAGGTGAAACGACAGCCTGCAGTGGTGAGGTTGTTTCTTGCTGCTGCTGCACTTGCTGATGTGGCAACTGCTGTAACTGTTGCTGTTGTTGCTGTTGTTGCTGCTGCAATTGCTGCTGCTGCAGCTGCTGGTTCATGTAAAGCTGGTTCATCCCAGGCATCATTTTTGGAGGACCCATGGGCCCCACAGCAGTCCGCTGCATCGGGTTCATGTTAGCCTGGTTCAGACCCTGGCCCAGCATAGAAAGACTAGCAGAACCTGGATGCATCTGCCTGGTTCCAGACATCCCAGGCACGCTTGATTGAGTACTGACTAGCATGTTTGCTCGGCCCATCCTTAATTTTGCAATTAAAGCAGCTTGCTGAGCTGCTGTTAGTGATCCAGGTCGAAACTGGCTTATTGCATTGGGAATATTTGAAGCTGGGCTCATATTACCCATGCCAGAAATAGGTGTCATTGAGATTCCTGTTCCACCAATTCCCCTTGCACCTCCAATTCCCATGGCATTGCCCAGGCCCCCAAGCCTGACCATGTTTCCCATACCTACAGCTGTTCCTAGTCCCATCATTTTCCTCTGCATTTGTGCCTGCTGCTGTGGCTGCTGTTGTTGTTGCTGCTGCTGTATCATCTGAAGTTGGAGAGGGGAAGGTTTGTTGACCATTTGATTACCCAACTGCATGTTTGAATTCTGCCCAATCGCATTCAAGTGTGAGAGAGGATTTGATGCAAGCATCATAGGTGATCTCTGGAATTGCTGATGTTGTTGAAGCAAGGCATGTTGTTGACTTTGCTGCTGCTGCTGCTGCTGCTGTTGTGGTTGTTGCTGCTGTGGTGCTTGTGCTGCCTGCGGCTGCATCAGAAGTGGTGGTTGTGGATCTAATTGCGGTGGCCTTGCAGGCATTGAAATGCCAGATAGGAGTCCTTGAGACATCTGTAAGGCCTGAGAGTTTCCTGGAGGCACAATCCTAGTGTTTCCTAGCACACTTGGAGACGGATTTACAGATATATTATTACTGATATTTGGCTTTGCCATTTCATTGGTTGCCTGACCCGGAACAGCTTCAGCATATTGCTGCATCGTAAGCTGCATATCGACTGCAGAATTGTTGGGAAAGGTTACAGCAGAATTTGGTTGACTGCTTGAGGCCATAAGCACACGAGTAGGTTTTGCCTGGATATTATCTTCCACAAGGTGATATCCTTCACGCAGCATCTACATAAGCAAGTTAAAATAATATTGAAGTGAAATAATAAGTTTCAGCCTAAAACCTTTAACTCTGAATATCAAGACTATTAGCAGACATACCAGTGAACAGAACTGCTCTGCAAGCAAGTCCGCTAAGTGCTGTTGGAGGATTCAATCAGGTGAACATGTCAGAAGAATGGAGAAATTCATGCATGCATAAGAAAAGTGGAAAATAAAAAGGTTCAATTGTTCAAACTCTAAAATAAGGTAATGGCAGAGATTTGCTTTTACAACCCAAAAAACTGGGGCCAGGCAGTTTTCAATTGGTTTAAAAGGCATATTCTTCTTTCAGGACTGGAAAAATCTAACTATTAAACAAACTTACAGCATTTGGAAGAGTAGGAAGACAAGAAATATGATCCTCTGCACCGAGAATGTCACCGTCATCTATGTCTCCATAAAACATTGCTACGGTCCCATCAGTTGGTTTCTCAGACAATATCATTCTAGTTCGTGCCCTAGGAACTAGAGAAACAGCATTCCCTGTTAAAGTAGAGCAAAGTTAATGCAAGTGAGATAAACCACTAAATATCTGGGGGACCAGAACGTGACAAATAACAACAAACCCGACCTTGAACATGTTCACCCTGCACAAAATTTAAGATTCTTGTCTTGTAGGTATTCATCTTTCCACCGAAAAGTGACTTTGATAGTGAATTTGAATCGTCTTTAAAATCCTCATTACTGGAAAGACTAGTTAGACAGGCAGATAATAGTTGAGGAGAATATGTGCTGGGTTTCCGGATGTGATACTCATCAACCTTGTTCTTTTTGCTGTTGGGTTGATACCTGGAATCGAAACTGTAATATGAATATTGCCATCTATACAACTATTAACAGGAAACTGTGAGACATGAATTTTACTTCCTGAAAACTAAGAACGTGTTCTAATAACCAAGCAGATTTCATAATATAATAATCCACCAAAACACATTCACGATCTGGAATCTCACCAGGACAAACAAGCAAACATTTATGCTTCATAAGAAGAAGAACCAGTATCCTATAAAGTTAAACAAAGATGATACTTACACTATATACAGCATAGAAACATGAATTTATTTATTCAATACAGTAGTAATTCAATTCACATCGTACCTCATAGTCACCGTTTCAATCTTTGAGAACCTTTCAAGCATTGTTTGATCAGCCAAAGGTGGGGTTCCAACAGAAGGACTGCTTGCATTTAGTGGAACACTGATATTGCTAACACTTGCAGGAGATCCAACTGCATTTATTGCTGGGGTCTTGGGAAGGGAATTTGATCTTCTCTTAGCAGCAACTTGAGTGTGGTGTTGTCGTTGCATAGAGTCATTTGCACTTGAAGTCAAAGATGGGGTACCACCAACAGCAGGAACTGAGTTAACAGCTGCCTTCTCCTTTAGAGATGCTCCATGCGCAGTGGTTGTTGCAACCGCCCCAAAGTGAGGTCCTACAGAACAACTTGAAAAGTCCCCAGATTTTGATGATAATGGAGATTGAGGCAAAGCCCCACCTGACACACGTGGACTTTGCACCGATTTCCTTTTTGGGAAATGTTCCTCCTTTCTTGCATCTTTCTCAACATGCTGATTAATATTGTTCCAAGGTGTTTGAGGTAAACCAGGTTTCACAAATCCATGGGGTAATCTTGGTTGAAGCCGTGTCTGCTGTGGGTCCAAATGGTTTATATCAGTTTCCCGATTGAGCTCAGAACTATCCAACTTGTCCGGATCAAATGGCTCTTCCTTGGCACTGAATCTCAATGCTGGCTGTCTTGCAGCAAATGGCATTGCACCAGACTCCTGTTTCAGAACCCCTTCAAAAACCTGCTGTGGATACTTCTGCATGCCTGCATTTGCATATTGAATTCCTCTTGCCAGTGCTTGCTGGGGCAGTAACATATTCTTCCAGCTCATATCTGGTCCATGGAGGCCATCCATATGTGGCCCAATTTGTTGCTGTGGAATCCCATCTGGTCCAACAGCATTAAGCCTATTTCTTTTATTAAGGCCAGATAAGGGTGACATTGGACCATCGGGATTCTCCCGTTTCCCAAGAAGTGAAGCACTGGAGTTTATGCTGTCAGCATACGCTATTGTCATTTCCTGCCCAGCAGGGGATGCAGCAGATGCACTGACAACAGAACCAGACCCATGGTCCTGCATGCTTCTTCCATTCACAACTCCCATTTGATACCTTGGTGACTGGGATGTCATGGGTAGTGCTTCTTGCACAAAACTTTTAGGTCTTAATGCTAACATATTGCTTGGACTAATACCTTGAGAAGTCAGATTTTCCTGAACTTGTTGCGGCATCATACTCCCTGAAATAATTCCTGCCTCTCCCAACCTGCTGTTAGAGCTTTCTGGCACTCTATCTATGAAAACCTTCTTGCCATGGACCTTACTAGTGGAGGCTACATTAACTTCTGGAGCCTGCCTCAATCTCTTTCTCCGCAAGCTACAAGAAGCAAGGTTGAGCTGCAAGTTGATCATGGTTAAGAAAAATATGACCCGATGCTCAAAGCAGATGAATTTCACATTACTCTCTGAACTCAGTCATTACCTTTGTTGGAACAGGATTAGTACAGAGCCTGTTCAGTTTGGGAGTCGGATCTAAACAAAGTTGTGGTTGCAAGGCTTTCAATATCCGAGACTCTGCTTCCTGAAGTCAAATGGGTGTTAAATGTATAACAGCCAAGCAACATGTAAAACAGTAGTTTGCAAAGGATGGATGGGCTGCCTGTATGTACCATTAAATCACCATAAGTCCACGAATTATCTGAGCTCAATGGAATATCCTTCACTACATTCTCCAAAGACATCCTAAGACACACTTTATTGATGATGGGGGATCCACCCAAAGATGGGACGGTAGATCCTTGTTGAGGTGCAACTTTTCGATAATCTCGCACCTTCAAAAGGAAACATGAATCTTAAGTCCTAAATATGAGTTAATTAAATGCACATTACCTATGATCATAATAGTTATGAAGCATGTACTTAAATAAGTATAAAATGCTACCTGCTAAGCTCTCTCTGAGACACACCAACAAAGATGTCAAAAGTTATTTGTTCGCAAAATTTGAGGGTGGAATTTTAAGATTTAAAAAAAAACCGTAGAGATGGTGTTGTTGTGAGTGATTTGTGAGTACAATGTTGGACACAGACAACAGTAGTGACAACAAGGAGATGGGTTAAAGGGCCGGTTCAAGTGTGTCGATACTTGCTTTGGTAAAAACTCATGTTAAGACATATGATAATAAAAAGGAACTACCACAAAATCAATGGAATGAAGTAGAATATGCATGACTTATTACATAAAAAGATAAACAGATGCAAACTATGATAATTTTATAACTCACCTCACAGAAGAGTGTCCCATCAACATATTTGCACGGTATATCATCCAAAATATCTCCTGGCAATCGGCCAGATTCAATTGCCTTCAAGCACATTCATACATAATTGAGGAGAAAACTTATAAGTGGAGCTTTCGCTAAAAGAAAAAAGTTAGCTAAGAAGACATTGAGAGTAATTACACTGCAGTTTCAACATAATATCAAGCAATTGCCTCATTGAATTAAGACAAATTCTTCCTGAAACCCAACTGAAACCCAAATGATTTCTTTTCTTAAACCAAGTTTCAAGACATAAGCCAATCAAAACCACAAAAGCTCAATTTAGGGGAGAGCACACAGTCGATTCAGTTAATTCGGTTGTAAAAATTCAAAAACCGATTTAACCGACTTAATGTATACAAAAAAGGAACTAACCGATCAAATGATTAAAAAATATTAACTGAACTGACTTAAGTTGGTCAGTTTTTTCAGTTTGCAAATCCATCAATAATCATTTTCGTTTTAATTTCTTCACATTACTCTATTTGTTCCTTAAGAAAAAATGAAGGAAAAAGGAATCAACTTTTGAGAACTATGATTTTCTTTCACTTAATTGGTAAGACAAAATGAGAACCCAATTCAGTAAAAAGAGTGGAAAATTTTGGAAAGTTGGTTTTTAGTTCATACTGGTATTGGCAATGACTGAAATAATGAAAACATTGGCTCTAAAATTCAATTCAATTACTTCTCATTTCCTCTAATTTTGTGGCTCCTGAGCAGATTATTCTCAATGAAAAGACTAAAAAAAATTGCTTTTGAACCCACAATTCTATATCTTACTCCTAGCCGACATTGATAATTTCAATGTAACACCAATCCAAATGCTCAAAAAAAGAAAAACAACTCATTGAAATTGCTAAACTTGAACTTAAAAAAAACTTTAATTCCCACCCAAAGAAAAACAAAATTCATTGAGAATCCAAGAAAACTATCTCCCCATCCAAAAACCCAATTTCAAAAACCTCTGAAAGAATGAAAATTTCCGCTACCAAACCATCAAACAAGCTCAAAACCAAGTTCATTCTTTATTAGTAGTAGCAAAGGCAATGGGTTTGAGACAATACCTTCAGTGATAAGAGAAGAAATAGAAAGAGGGGAAAAGAAAAAGAAGGAAAATGGGAAAGCTTTGAAAGGAGGAAGAGGAAGGAAACAAAGTGAAGGCATGAAGCTCATGTGGTGGAAGGTCGCTTCAGATGTTTGGCAAAAGGGGAAGGGAAAGGACGAAAAGCTGTTTGGACTAACCATCATGCCGTGGCTTTGGTCGTCACTGGTAGCTTCTGGCATGATTATGAGAGGTGACTTTTGGTATGGTGAAGCCATGGAGCTTGAAGGGCATTGCAGTAGAGAGAGAGGAGCGAGGGAGAATGTTTGAAACAGAGGAAATGAGTCTTAGATTTTAGGGATAAAGAGAGGTGGAAAGTATGAGAGGTGTGAATTTAGGGTATTGCTAGTTGGTTTTTTTTTATCAGTTCAGCTTGTAAGATTTAAAACCACAAACCGACCAACTAAACAGCCTAAACCGAAAAAACCGAACTGATTTACTTAGATGCACAGTTTTTGTCGGTTTTTTCGGCTTAAACCAACAAATACTCTCCCCTTGCTCAATTTGATGTTACTTTTGCTACTTGTTTTTTCTTTTTGCTACTTAAATTTTGCTAAAAACTGAAACTACATAGTAAAAGGCAAAATCATAGTTGATTAAAAGTGATGAAATGGCTAAAATGTAAAAAAAATTCCACCATCCAGCTTCTATGTAAACAGAAGACTGTCAGGTTAAATATCAATGAAAGTTTTTTTTCCTCAAAATATATTGTATCAAAAAGCAGTTTCTCAAAGTAGCAAAATTAACAACCAAGCAAAGTTACCATTTATCAAGGTCAATGTGCTCCTATCTTTTGAAGAATATTTATGAATGACCTAATCCCAAGCCCAAATAAAGGAAGTCTAAGTTATGTTACCAGGCAACACAAAAAATATGGTCAGGTATTATGAACATTGTTTTCTCAGATCATTAAGACATGAACCTAGGACATACCACTTTGCCAACCCACTGTTTACAGACAACTGACGCAAATGATGGGCATGGGCTATAAAAAGGAGATCATGCTATCCCTCCACTATCCACCAAGGACCAGTGAAGATAGGACAAAGACCTTCACTAATCAAACTATTTGACTCGAAGATTTTATTCTTGACCATACAATATGAGCTTCCCAATGTGCACTCAAAACCAAAATATATTTGACATAGGAAACATCATATTACAACATTGTAGGAATAACAATAAAGACAAAAATTAATTTTAAATAGCCAGAAATAGCAAACAGAAGAAAGACATGAATTAACCCTTACTGAGAAAAGAGTTTCAGATGACCTATCATATGGATGCAACTTTGGAGCATCCTGAATAGTAGCCTGATCCAAAGCCTCCTTCTGAAAATTCAAGAATTATTTTAACTTAAAAGAGACTTACAAGATGGATACAAAAGAATCTGTCCTTTTAGTAAAGTTCTTAATGAATAGAGTATCATTAATATTGTCTTAAACAAACCTCTGGCGGTTTTCCAATAGAATATCCATCTGGATAAAGATTCAAGGTGAAGGAAATCTCATGGTCTGCAAAAATAAGAAAGAACCAATACAATCACAATTTGAATATTGACAACTATCTGGAGAGAAAAAGAAAAAGGGATAATATCACAAATGCCTCTTGAATTATAGTGAAATGTTCAATATAGTACTTGAAGGGCTGTTTGTCAGCCATCTGTCACCATTTGAAGCTAACGATATTAAGGTGAATACTACATTAGTTAATAAATTCAGGTGTCAAATTGAAATTTTCACTATAGTTCAGAGCCATCCGTGTCATTAACCCAAGTAAAAACAAAGCACAGTTCTAGTTTTGACTCTAACCTGCAGGAACATGAAGCTCTGCATCAGAAACAATTGGCTGAGACACCCCAGGAACACGCTCAACACCTTCAATGACATCATCCTAGATCAACAAACAATCAAAATAATCAGAAAAAAAAAATCACACAGAAAAAAAGCATACAAACTAATTTCTTTTCGCTATTCCCTCTTCTCTCCGTTAGGGGCTATGAATCAAACTAGAGAGAGAAGTCGTACTAAAATCAGAACTTATACCAGTTATTAAGAAAGTTACAAACTTAAAACTAAACAAAATCCCATTAACTACAGTAACTATTACACCAAAAACGTAAGGGCTAAAACACGGGCAAAACAATATTTTATGAAAACAGGCAATACATGAAATCAAGCTTATTTTTTTTTACCTTAAAACTTGACTGGAAAATTTAGTTAATAAATAAAACATAAAAAAAAAAAATCAACACTTCAATCTCTCCCTAACTTCTGCCAGCAACCAATAAGCAATATTCCAGTAAAATAGAATAAAGTACAATTATAAGATTTTATTAAAAAAAGGAAAGTGGCAGGATCTGTTCACTGAAACAAACCCAGAATTTCCTTCCACCAAAATTTCTCATTTTTTTTTAAATTTTCTAACAATCATTTTTATCAGCAATCTAAAGGAGCAAATGGGTATCTACAGAATTTGCCTGAAGCTTTCTAGGCCGTGAGCTCTCTTTAGAATTCTCAGGGACAGCATCAACTGAAGCCTCTGATTGAAGACAAGGCTTCGGCTTGAACCTAGTACCGGTTTTTGAAACCTTAAAAGAAACACCCATGTAAAAATCTTCTCTGCTTTATCAGAATTAAACCATGAGAATTTGAGCTTTCACGGTTTTTGCTTGGATCAAGAAAAAGATAACCTCAAGTGGAGATTTTAGACAATTAAGAACCCAGATGATGTTTTCGAGTAAAGAGTGGAGAAAATTTAGCGAAATCCAACGAAAAAAAAGACCTTGGTGGGTTTGACATGGGCGAAATTGAGAAAGAGAGCCCCGGGGTCTGATTAGATACAACTAAGGACGTGTTTGGATTAAGAAGAAAGTTAAAGAAAAGAGAGGGAAACAGTTGGGGAAAGACAAAAAAGACAGTGAAATGTTAGTTCTGATGCAAACAAAGAATGTTTTTTTAACAGAAAATAAGGTTTCGAAGAACTCATAATTCTAATTCTGAGTTCCGCAGAACAAATTGGCGAAAAGTTCTGTTAAAAGAGGATCGGATTTTATAGAAGGGAGACAGAGCGAGACTTTGGTCCGGTTCGGTTCGTTCCTTGGATTTTAACAAAGGTGAAAGGACTTCAATAGTTAAACTCTGTTTGGCGTAGCCTACTTGGTGGGTCTTGCGCCACTTTAAATTCTTCATTTTTTTTTTTTTTTTTTAAATAAAAAGAGCAAAATGAAAATTCTATGGGAAGTTTTTCCCTTCTTAAAATCTCTTTTGTTTTTTAAAATATGTCCAAATTAATTTACTCTATCAATATTATTAGACTCAACTTTAAAATTGAAGATCCCAAATTTAAACCTCAAAAAAACCAAAAAAAAAAAAATTATACTCCTAATAATCTCATTTGAATTTGAATTTGGAGTTTATTTTTTATTCGACCAAAAACTGAACACATTTTACTATAGGCATGTTTGGTTTTGATGTTGTTAATACTCAAGACCATAGTTTGGGCATTTTTTCACTATTAGCTTGTATTTTCTTAAGATGACACACTTTTGCAGATAGCAAGGATTAGATGAAGGAAAGAGAGAAAACAACAAATGCATCTCTTAAACAATTTTTTTTTTTAAATAATTCTCTTTTTTATATGAAAAACATGATTGGGTGAGTGTTTAACCATGTCTTTTTCTTTCTCTATCTCAACTTCTTACCCTCAATTATTGTCCTGATGCATCCATATCCTTGTAGCTTTAAAGTCATTGTTGGTAATTTTGTTTTGATCTTGATATACTTTAATTATGTCAAAATATAATATATTTAAAAATAATTTTTTTTATTGATTAAACTTGATATCAAATAATATCAATTATTTGTATTGATTTCAATTAATTTCATAAATTTCAATGAAATAATTAATCAAATTTATTTCGATCGATACATAATTATAAAACATATTTTATAATTTATAATTTATCTTTTGTTACTTGATTATTTTTTACCTAATAAAAATAAAAACCAATAAACAAAATAACCCTTTAAAATTAAATTTTTTTATTTTTACAACTTGTTTTTTTTTATACTTTATTTTCAAAAATCAAAATTTATAAATATTTTAGTTTCTTTAAAATATATAATAATACTCCCTCTAAAGCTTAAGAATCTTAACACTAGAATTAATTTCTTTTTCATCTCTTTATTTTTATCTTAATATATTTTTACATTAAAAAATATTTATTTAAATATCATATAATCATATTAAATATTTAAAAATATCACAATAAATTAATGATATTATTTTTTATACTTTTAAACTCATTTATTTAATTTTTAAAAATATTATATTTCATTTGCATATTATTAATAATATTATTATACATAAATTTATGTATATTTATAAATATATTTATATTAAATCAAAAAATCTAAAATAATATACCAAGACAACTAATACTAACACATACCATCTAAAAAAAAAAACCGAAACATTATATTGAACGATATTAACATCCTCGTTTAGAACCTCAATTTGTCATGTTGGTCTAGATCCAGGCTATCCGCAAAATTGAAGGAGTGTTCCATGTTTCAGAACTCTCGCTCAATCCAGACAGGGAAAGAGGCACATAAAACTTGGAAAAAAATAAAACAAAATATTCTTTACTGAATAAAAACTACAGCGTCAGATGGGAGAGAGGAATGGCACATTCTCAACACCGCCGATTCCGCATAAGGCACAATGATATTAAACCAGAATTTGGCCGCAAGCTTACTTAAATCATGAGGAGAGCTCCTCTTGAATCTCCATTTTGCATATGGAATATTCCCTCTCAAACAATAAAAATTCCTGCTCAGGAGACAAAAAATAGTTGTTTGAATGAAATTATGACAGTCCCCAACAACATGAGGGGAAATGACCCAAAAATTAATACAACAAAGCTATTTAAGGAGACATGCAATTCCCAGATGAATGAAATGAGTTAGCTGCCAAACACCACATTTATATCGTGAAAATTTTAACAAAGTTGACAGAGTTCAGTGACAAACTCCTAACATCATCTATAATTCTTCTTTTTGCTGTTTAAGTTTGCACCTTGATCTTATAATTTAAAGTCTATAAAAATGGAATTTAACCTTTATGTCTATAATAAACAGAGGCTTGCTTCATCTAAAGAGGTATAACTCTATGTTTTAGGATTGTCTTATAGTACTTATATATGTCGATATGTCGTACAGAGATTGGCATACTATTTACACAGGAGAAACACATACAAAATACAAAATATTATTCTAAACATATTTCAGATGAAATAATAACGGAACAAAATGGGTGTGCATGGTGAATCGCATTTGTCATGACGTTAAAAAAGAGTTAGTAAGAATGTTCCCTTGCTCTGACAGAAAGAAGGATGAGAGTTGCTTACGAGGAAATTGCTTAAGGAAGGACCAATATGAACCTCCATTCCCACTTAACCAATAAAAATATCCACTTACCTGCAATTGTTGCTGGCTGAAAAGATGGATAAACCCAGTCTCCAAACTCGAGACTAGCTCAATCAACTGATCATGGCTTTCATGAGGATTACCTGACTCCATGAGAGAAGCAGAAACCTGCAAATAAGATATGCTAAGAACAAAAATATTGACATGGTGAAAGTTACAAAATAAATGCACTTCCACAGCTGTTGCGTTCTTTTTCCTTGTTTCTTGTCCTTGCTTCAATTAAATTTGCAAAGTAATATTCCCACAATGATGTTGCAGTTTTTTTTTTTTTGTTTCTAGTCCTCATTTCTCTTAATTTTTGCAAAATACCAGTAACAATAGTTGGTTAAAAATTAAAACAGAACAGTATAATTCAACCAAGAAAACAGACTCCCAAACAAATGTTGCTCTGTATCTTCATTTTCCTTCAAGTACCTAGTCCGACATATATCAGACATGGGTATGGAAGCTCAATCTTCCATAAGGAAAAACTCAGAAGAAATTAAATGTACCCATATTGGATACATGACCGTGTCCAGCACTAACCACTGAATCCAAGTAACATAGAGCAAAAAAGCATAGCTGTTGCTAACATGAGACATAAACTTTACTTTTTGAAGCCATAAAATTTTCCTATGCTTAGGTTTCTATTTCCCCTTTTGTCTTTTGTAAAACATTTCTTTCAATGAATCATCAAAAAAGTTTTTTTTATTCTGACTCTTTTCTGCTTTTAAAAGCAATGAGGCACTTTTTCCATTACCAAATAGGGTGCCTATATTAATAATGGGCCTCATTATTCCGTTAAAAGTTTACCTGCATACATCTAAGAATGACTTCTGGAATACAACACCTACGACAAAGGCCACGCACAACATATGTTGCAGGCCCTTCCAAGCAACCATCTTTGCTTGAAAACCAAGCATCTAATCCAGATATCTTCATCGTAAGTCCAGCTTGGAATCTAGCAAGCTCACCTGCATTTAACATGTTCAATCAATACTGCAGAAAATTACCTCGGTAGGTAATGTTCCTACCACTTGCTATTTGACAGTGTATATTTCTTCCTTGACCAGTGATGATATCATACAATACTTAAAAAGAATAGGTGTCTACCTGTAACAACCGTACCATGAATTTGCTCAACAATCATAAATAAGCAATTTTTAATCTTTACTTCATAATTAGGTTTCTGCCAGAGGTACACAAGACTATGAGAGTATGCAACTACAGACAAGCATGGCAGATTGGCATCTTCTTAGTTCCTTACCTTTGAAGCCAGCTGCCACAACAGAACCCAGAAGGCCACCATCATTCAGGATGTGTGAACCAATACCATCACCCTCTACTGCCAAGCAGCGCAACACAACCTCAATACTGTAGCTGTCCCTTGAAGAAATGGCAACATTTACCTGCCCATAAAAAAAGATCATGTCAAAGGAAAATATGACAAACATAAAATTTCATGAACCTAAGGTTCATTAAAGGCAAGCAGAAAATTTGGCCAAAACTATATCTATTGGTAATCTAAATCTTATAATGAGGTTAAATCCAAACCATATTTATTTTCTTAACACTATTCCCATTCCTTCCCAATTTCTTACTGTTTGCAAAGCTATATCTAGTAAGAATGGCTTCCATTTTCTTCTCAATTTCTAGCGGTTTGCAAAGCTGTCTACTATGAATGGCTCCTACTAGACCACGGCCCATGAGTTGCTATTCTTTCTAATATCTAGAACTAAAAGGATCCTTTTCCTCACTCAATCTCTCAAGCAAGCCTACTATTACCCATACTTTCTCTCAAGGTTTTGGAGAAGCAATTATTTAGAGAATAGTATCATCCCATTTCTCTTCAATTTATATGAAATTACCACTAGGATTAAGTGGAGTTGATATCTAGAATGTAACCCTGAAATGATACAAGGCCTCCTTTTGCAGATATGCATATCTTAGAAATTAATTGTTCAACACGATGCAAATATACCTCTTATTTTATAAAGCGCTAGATCATTCAGGTTTTGGAAATGCAAAAACTGTAGCATATCAGATCAACAATTTAATATCAGCATGGGCAACTAAGTTGCTTAATGGTTAACAAGATAAATAATCATACCATTAACTGACGTTCTAAGACAACTTCCTCATTCACTGAAGAGTAAAGTGCACTCATCAATGCAGCACAAACAGTAGCATCTGGACACATGGGTTCACCAGAAGGCAGGCGGAGCATTGCAGTAGCATGCAATTCAAGAAATAGAGGTTCCATCGATTCATTTACATGCTCCTCCACAAAAATCAGCCAAGGGTTCTCTTCCCCTTTAGTAAGCATTAAGATTATTAACTATCAAGGCATCGATATGTTGAGAGCAAAAGACAAGTATAAAACTTCCACACTCAAAGGAAGCAAAGCTATCACACACTTGCCAATCAAAATATATCCTTCAGTCAGAGCACTGCTTTTGTGCATAGAAGAACATATGATCGAAAATCTACTTACTCAGTAGCAATGACAAAGATAAATTCAATGTCTCATGGGCTGCTGCTATTGCTCTTTGTTTTTCCTCTACTGAAAGTTCAATGGGAGAAACATCTGCATTTGCTAATTCAATTTTGAGCCAGTTGCGATATGTTGCATCACAGGAGTAGTATTCACTCTATTTAAAATGAAAACACAGATAAGCATAAAGAAGAAAGTAAAGAAA